TGGAGAAAATAACAGTAACATGACATTCTGTGGTTGATTTCTCTCCTTAATTTCATTATTTCTTTCTTTCCGTCTACCATTAAAAAAATAATAAAAAATAAAATAACATGTTGTGTAATAGTATGATCATTTTTCATGAGCTAGACTTGGCGAGTTAGATATCTAGACTGTTATAACATTTTGCATTTGACCTCTGTAGAGGTCAAGTTCTTGGGAGTTTATTTCTTTTTTTCTTCTTATTCGTTTCTTATATTTTCTTTTTTTTCATCTGTAAGCATTTCCTGCTTGCAATAAAAAAAATTAATTTATTATGATTAAAGATTTGTAGTAGTGTAGTCTTATTATTTTTTTCATACTTCGCTATACAGTAGAAAAAGTTTAATCAAGAAAATTAAATCTTTAAATTCACTCTTTTTCTTACGTCCACTTCAATGTTTAAATTATTGATCGTTGCGTAATTTTATGGCAATAATTTATTTAACGAAACATTGCCAATTATCAGTAAATTTTATTTAATATCATCAAGTAATAATTTTTTTTAGTTTAAACAAAGTTATGATAAAAAAAAAATATGCTTAGCTTTTAAACAAAATAAAAGTTATAGTATTTAATAATGTTTTCATTATTACACACACCCTTAACTGTGTCTAGTAAAACTAAAAAAAGAAGGGAAAAAAATTATACATTTTTTTAACTTGTAGTATTAATTATTCAAAATAAATTCTTCATTCATAGGTAATCGTTATATTTATCTTCCTGAAATGAAAATAGGCGGTACCTCTCTGTAATATCTCTTTATAAATGCAGCCATTTCTTCTTGAAATAATAGCCAGATCATAAATTACTCTATTTTGTGAAGAAAATTTTCCCCAATAGTTAGTTCTGGAATTCCGAATTTGCGTCATTGTCAAAAGAACAATGCTAGAGGCTATTTATAAATAAATATCCACATAATCTAACTTAAATTATGTTACTGCTAGTCTTTAACCGTTTTTGACGAAATAGTAATTACTAATGATTTTATAATATACCTTCGTACCTGAAAAAAAAAGAAGAAAAAAAACATTACGTTGATATTCGTAATTCGGAACCGCTTGTTCCCCAACATAATTGCTAATTTTTATTTTATTTTATGAACAGCACTGAACAGAGCCGACCCATATGTTGACGATCAATTTTCAACTCCTTAGCTTTGTAATTTTAACCTAACCCAAAACATAACGGAATTCCCAGATCAAACATTGTGACTAACTTTGCCGTCGCGGGGGAATTTTTGAAGGAACAAATCTGCATTTGCGTTTCATGAGGTGGAAAATCATGAAAAAACCTATCACGACGACAAGGGGCGTATTTTCTAACTTGAAAAATCTGTGACTGAAATCTGCATTATTCTCCCCGCTTTTTTACACTTTTACTTACTTTTTACTTACGCTTTTTTACGTTCTATATTCGTTTCAATTTTACCATTTCACGACGCTGTATTTCAAAAAATATAAATGAATTTTGTTCAATTTAAAAATGGTACAATTGTTACGTTTTAAAATTTAGAAGAAAAATATTAAATTCATTATAGTTTTAAGAATTTAACTGATATTTGGATTAGATTCATACTATACAAGGTATTCCGTCATGATCGCCCTTAAAATATATATTTCGCATAATCTTCAAAGATGAAGTAAAAGAAAAAATCTGCGCATTAAAGAGTCTCAAAATTAATATTCTAGTGAGGAAGGCGGTACTGGAAACATCAAAACCTAATTCATTTCAGGAAGGAACAAGGAATTAAAGAGCAGTTGTAAAAACTCTTAATTTCAGCAGGCAATCAAACTGGATTTGACATTTTTCATCATACATTTTGCAGGAATAATTAAGCTGATTCTGTTGGTGTTCTTTTTTTTTCTCCATTTCTTGAATGAGTATGACTTTTTGACCCTACAAATACTTAAATGTTTGTGACTGACAAGACAAATTCATAAATGTGTATCAGCTTCTCTTTGTCGGTAATAGAATAAAAAATTCTTTACAATGTATCTAACTTTTTAACAAGAATTCTAAAAATATGAAGAGCTATGTATATGTGTACTTGCTATTGTTTAGATTTTATAATGTATTTTTTATTTTAAATTGGTTAACAAAGGAAAGTTTATTTGAATCGTCCACCAAGCACTAAAGTAGAGTGAATAGAAGATACTAAAGTAAAGTGAATTGAATAATTAAAAAGACTATTTGCTTTGTTCCAGTTATTTTTTCATCCTGAAACACATGATGCAGGAAAGAAATAATATTTAGAAAGAAAGAAAAAAATTAATTTCATTAAATTTAATGGCACTTAATGTTTCCTTTCTGCCTAGAATTACTAAAAGGTACCGTATTTTTTGACACAACATAATTATCTCTAACTTTTATCTGTAGCTGCAATGAATTTAATGAGGTTTGACTGCAATTTGTGTCATTTCATTTCCTTTGCTTTCTAATCTCGCAACATTTTCAACTTTCGTCACATTCTTAAAGCTTTGAGAACCGGGTTCCATATGGATGGTTTATTTTTGTGTGTGGAAAAAAAAAGAGAAAAACTAAGGCGAACATTTTCTGGGCGGATGTGAAGTGGTTATCTCGTCGTCCTTTTCTTTAACTCCCCCTCTAGACATCTTACCATCAAACCACTCGACCATTTTGAACTTCCGCGTTTTCTACTTGTAAATGCTCTTATCTACTTCTCTTCTTTATTTCCACATCTCCAGTTGCTAATGTTAAAAAAAAAATAATAATAATTAAGTAATAACAATAATAAAATATTTAGAATAGTGCATGGGCGGTGTGTTTAATATTTTCATACTAATTTATGTGAAGAAGAAAATTGGTTTGTTTACTTATCAATTAAAAGGGTATAACAATCTTTAAGCAGGGGTCTGTCCAGACATTTTGTGAAAGGTCCGTTTTTGTAAAATTGCGAAAAAATTACTCGTAACTTGTGAATATTAAATAAATGTTAAGTCACATTCATTCAACCAGGGTCCGGCTTTTGGGAATTTGTGCAAATAGGGTCCTGTTATTGCAAAAAACTTTTTCAAGGAGTTTTTAAATTGTAAAGACATACAAGATTATGCTCAACACTGTAAAATTATAATTAAAAAAAATTAAATTTTAAAAAATAAACAGCAATTGCTGCTACTAAATTAGAAATGCAACTTACAAATATTTGATATTTAGCCTATACTGCTGCACGCAGAATATTCATTTCGGACGAATAAAGGAAGAAGCGTCTGCCGAAAACAAAACTTAGTTCGTTTACGTCTGTCTTTCCTTCCCCCCACAAAATCTTTCTCCCCACACACACCACTTTAACAAAACAATAATGAAGATAAACAAATTTGTGAAGGGTATTGTGAAAATAGTGAAAAAAATTTTTTTTACTATTTTTCAAATAAAAGTATTTTATATTTTAAAAAATTGAAAGCTAAATTTTCTTACAGTAAAGTCTGTACTAAAGTCTGTCTTTACTAATATGCAATCATTAATAATTGAATATTTCCGACTCTCAAATAAATCTTCATTTCCTATTTCACACACTCAAGTCTGCATATTTATTCTGAATAATTGCTTTTTGCAGAATCAACATTTTGGCGGTTTACAGTTGAACAATATGAGCGATATTTTTAATTGAATCGATGGGTTCAAACACCGGTCATCTCCAACAAAACTAATTTTCCAGAAGAGAAAAAAAAACTGAATAGTTCAGTATCAACTTGATATATATAAAAAAAAAAAATTTCCATCCTAATTGTGTATCTACGTCTGCTAAACTTAAAAATATTTAATTCAATTCTAAAAAGAAGAAAAAAAATTCTTAAAAATAATGCGATAATCTCAATTTTAAAAAAAAATAGAGATTACTGGTTTTTGGACTCGTCGATTCACTTGAATCTTCTAACTCAACTTAAATCAGGGTTGATATTTTGATTGGAAGAAACCTCTTACTTCTAGAAGAAAGTGGGGGGATAACAAAAAAGCGCAAGAAATTGGACAGAATGGAAAAAACTGAACGAAATGGACGAAATTTAAATTGCCCAATACAGTTATTTTACTGTAGTTCAAATTTAAAATAAATTAAATTTAATAAATAAATATTTTTTTCTTTTTTTTTTAAAATTACTGTTTATATTTATTTTAATTTTAACTAGAATTTTAAATCTATGTAACCTATTATAATAATTCATTTTGAATTTTGATTTATTTTTATTTTCGTTAATAAATATGTACACTTATATCTAGATAAATTATGTGCTACTAAATCTTCTGTTTATTGTTAGAATTGTCTAAAAAAGTAAATATAATAAGTAAAATATTAATTCAAAAATTATTACCTGTTTAAAAATTTTCAGTTAAGAGAACCAGTTTTTCTCCTTAAATTTATAACGTTAGTAAAGCCTAAGCTAAATGCTCTTAAGCTATCGAAATGTATCAGGAAAAAAAATCTTAGCTGTTAACATTTATGCTTAAAAACCTATAAGTTTTTCTTTTAACCTTTGTTCTTCTTAATTTTTAACTCAACATCCCTGTAAAAATTGTATATCTTTTTTTTTATTAAACATTTAAATTTTACACTTTTAAAAATCTATGAATTTATAGAGTAAATATCTGATGAATTTATGTCAAAGATTATTTTTTAGTTCTCCTGCAATAAAGTGTACAGCATTAGCATAGTCAGATCCTATAAGCTAAATTGAGGTATAATCTACCTATACCTACTTAATTCTTCGCAGGGCAGAAAAATTTACTAAAAAAAACCCATTAGAACTGCGGTCATCTAATAGATATGTGGAACAGTTTTTATCCCGTCAATTTTGTAAGTGTTAAAATATGTGTTTTGGTTTTGAGAAGAAGATAGGCGTTTGCCAAATGAAACTGAAATTGATACCTAAATTTAATTCATTTGAAATGCTTGTATAAATATGGAAATATTAAAATAATGCAATACTTAATTAATATTTCTATTTCAGGAAGAAGATGGATGAGAATCAGTGGTGGGAGTTGTTTGATAGAGAAAATTCTAGATTTTATTATTATAATGCAACTAGTCAAAGGACTGAATGGCATAAGCCACAGAATTGTGATATTATACCACTGGCCAAGCTTTGGGTATTTGTCTTTTTTTTTTTTTTAAATTTTGCATGATGAATAAACCTTGATATTAACATTTATTTATTGCTACCTTTATTACTAAATATATACTCTAACGGAAAAATTATATTTCTTCTTATCAATTTTAGGTGTGAAATGTGTTTAAAATTAATTTATAGCATAAATTAAACAAGCAATCTTGCAATCAAACTGTTTACTTCAAATTTATTGATATACTAATTGTCCTATCTTTTTCTGTACAGACTTTGAAGCAAAATACTGAAGTAAGGGACAATGATGACCGAATGCATGCCAAGAAAGAATCAGTATCAACTCAAACCACAAATCGAGGCATAGTATGTGACTTATTCATAACTGTGTATTCAAATTTTGTAAAAATTAGGAGCAAGCCGCTGTTTTGATACCATAGATAGATAATATCATTAATACTGGTGCAGAAAATGAAAGATATTAGTTTCTTAAATAGAAATTTATAATTTTATTTTCTGTTTAACACTGATGATGATATTTATCTACATCATTAAAACATCTGTTTGTTTCTAAAATTTTAATTTTAGTGTAAACTTTAATACTGTTATATTATAGTAGTTTATAAGTTAATATTCAATCATGTTTTTTGTATCTTAGGGGGCTGATGGATATATTCGTTTTTCTAAACCTCCTATGTGCACTGTTTCCACTCAGACTAGTCCTGCTGCATCCCCTCGAGATTGTAGGGTATGTATTTCTTGTATCTTAAGCACAGGCTCGGTATCAGAAACCTTCCAACAAAGCAGAAGGTGCTGCAGATTATTTTTCATCAAATTTTTATTTTTGTTTTAAGTAAACAAATAAATAGTAAAAAATAAATTATGTAATAAAAATACGTAAAAAAATAAAATTATGTATTAAACATATATAAATATTTAGCAAAAATTTTTGTGATTCCTTTTTAAAACATCTTTGAACTAGTTTATAATAAAAAAAATTAGCAGTCACATCCAGAGGATACCGCAAAGAACAAAAAGTAAAGTTTTTTTTTTTCATTGAATAAAATACTTAAATTTAACTAACATAAAGTGAAGATAGTGCTACAGATTCACTCCGCAAATTCTGCTACCAAGATACAGGAATACCAATTTTCTGCAATTTTTATAGATTTTAGTTCTGATTATCTAAAACCTTTTTTGATGATCAGAAAATAAGAATAAATAAAACCCTACAAAATAATTCATATTTTTAAAAGGTTAAATTTCTTATGTGAAAGTTAAAAGTAAGTTCGACGACCTCAGGCAGCCTAGGAATGAAATAAGTTCTTTCTTCGACTTATATATTATGGATCTCAATTTTGTTATTGTCGGCACAATTTGATTAAAATAGATAACTAAAAATATAATTTGACAACTTCGAAACAACTTTACTTATAAATACATCATCGCAGGTTACTTATGGTGATGGGATATATTGGTTACCAGTATTTTAAATTAATGTTTTTATTCTTGACTTTTACGAGGATAAAAATTGTAAATAAATAAAATGAATAAATTTAACAAGAAAAAAAAACTATCTTAATGTAATATTAACTAGAAATCTACTTGCTGTTAAATTTTGAATCAAATAAGTTTAGGATTGGAAATAGTTAAAATATAAATTGTATAAAAGTTAGGATAGTGTAAGAGTTAGAAAACACCGAATTTAATGTTAACAAAAGTTAAATGTAAACTCATTCTATGCAAAAACATTGTTCCTTTCTCAATGATATAAACTTCGATTTACAGTTTTGCCAACAACAATCGCAAAAGATTATCAAATTATGTAAAATTACAACAGTAGGATTTTTTTTTTTTTTTTAAATTTTTGAATTTTTAATATTTATATTTGTCATTTTCTGAAACTATCCTGCTATAAAGCAGTAAAAATACAAAAATGGTGTATATTGTATTTAACTTTTTGTTCTTCCTTATTTAACTATTTTATTACTTAGATATTATGTATTCACTATTTTTCTTAAATAAGAAATAAAACCACTTGATAATTAATAATAAAATTTTTATTACCAACAGTTGAAAAACGTAAAAAGAAAAATTATGCATAAGCTGCATAATTTTATGAGTTTATAGTATTTTAAATTTCTTTAGATTACATTTTTATATGCTTATGAAGGTTTTGATTATTTCTTAATAGCATCATAGGCATCATCACCGACATGCATCTAGTCCATCTGGAGCACTCTATTCATCTCGAAGCCCTTCGTACAGTGAGGATGCTGTAGTTAGTGATATTCGAAGAGATGGCCAATACCCACTCTCCAATTCATACTCTGGCCGTTCCAATGATTATGGTCGCTTACAACCATCACCAGGAACCCACACTGGTCATAAGTAAGTCAAAAAATTTAAAAATAGTTATATTACCATTTTAAGAACTAAGTTGAAGAAAAGGTTGAAACAATTATTTATTCAAATCATTTTAATGTAACTTCAGAATAATGTACTGTGTATTTATTATACATATAAATATTAAGTTCTGAAATGGTAAGATGTTTTGAGAAATGATTTTTTGTTAAGGAAAATTATACAAAAACGTCTGATTAAAAACTATTGAATTATTCAAGAATTATATAAAGGGGATTTGTATCATGAGAATAATTTTAAAAAAATTAGTCTTCTCTTGTGTGATTTTCTTTTTAAAAGAATTTTGTCCAACTTTGATTTTACTGATTTACTATTTCTCATGGAATTTGATGCTAAAGGTTCATTGTAATGTGTCATAGTATTTATTGTACTTATCATTTTATTCACAAACTCTCAAAGCTTAAAATACCCAGAAATAATATTTTTAATTAAATTACAATCAAATCATAACTTTTTGAACGAAGAGTAAACTGCAATTTAAATTGCTTTTTCAAAATATAAAAATAAATTTTTTTTTGTGTGTATTTACGAAGATGCCAACCAAAAATGTCTGACTTTGTCAGTCTGTAGAAAATAGTCATTTTGTACATATTATCTAATCGAAATTTGGTAGAATATTTTTACCGTCTCAATTTTTTTTTACAGGACACAGAATTCGTTGTTTATTTGATAGTTTGCTTATAACCTGATTTAAAGGGTCAACAAGAATACTATATTACTTTATCGAAAGTCTACATCTATTACCAAATTTTCAGTTGGAAAAAAATTTCTGAACTTGTTAAAATGAACATTTTAGTTTAACATTTTGACTTAGTCCAATATTAATGTTCATGACTTTTTAGTTTTTTTTTAGATATTATATAACTGAGAAAAGTAACACAAAATTTGTATACTTATTATTTTAGAGCCTTTTTAACAGTATATGTTTATAAGTTTTAACTTTCCACTTTCATAGTGGCAGTTATTATTAAAAAGTACCTTTTTTTTTAAAAATTTATGAGCAAAATACAATTTTTTAATAATATTTCTTCACCGTTGTATGGAGATGCACTTGCTTGAAAATTGACGTGAATTTGCATTTTTGCGATTCTTTTAGGATATTGCTTATCTGTGTAAGGTACTGATAAATTATTAAAACTTCCATACTATCTATATTACAATACATAAAATTAGAATACTGCAGTTACATTCAAATTAGGATTGCAATGTTGCTATTTTATAATCAACATTGAATTTTATTTATTTATTTGTATTTTGCCATGATAACTAATGTACAATAAACAACTAAAACAACAATATATTTAAGAAAATCTGTGAATATATATATTTTTTTCAGGAAGTATGATTCTTGTTGTTCTTCTGATAGTGTCGGATCTAGCTTTTCACAGAAAATACATGATAGTCCAGAACAAAATGGCATGGTCTATGACCCTCGGAACTCTTCAAAGCCTTTGGACACTAGTCGTAGACATCGATCTTTAGACCATGAACGTGGAACGACCAGTACTTCTTGGAAGCATCACAGCATCGATGATCAAGGAAATGTAAACCGGGGAACCACGCCTAGAGTTAGTGAACCAGTATCTCAAAAACCCCAACCTCACAGAAAACACAAAAGTGAAGATCTGTCACCGAAAACTAATTTCTTCTCAGCATACCCGCAATCTGATAGCTTACGTGACAGCTGCCTATCTAGTACACCTTCAAATATAAGACATCAGTGGTCTCGTAGCACTTCTGATTCCAGTACATCTAGTCCTCAGAGTCCCCCTGTAGTGCCAAACAGAGAAGTTCAAGTGATACGGGGAGAGGATGGCAGTCTTTTTGCTTTCAGTGATGTGCCACATGATTCAAGTGACAGTTCCCCTCAATCTTTGGACTCTGCAAGGGGACTCGATAGTAGCTTCATTTCTCAAAGTAGTCTTATGTCTTTAGATAGCCAACAAAAGAGCGTGTCTGAATCTGCGACTTCACCAAATCTCCGACAGCTGCATGTCGCTCCTAAAGTTCCTTCGTATGAAAAGGAACAAAGAACTAAACTTCACCACAGTCAGGAAACTAGAGAAATGCCAACTTCATATTATCAAAGTTCAGCAATTGCTCATGAACCCAAAAACAATGTTGTAAATAATTCCTTCAGGCAAAATGAGCAACCCACTCCCTTGTATAGCAATTATCCCTCCCTCTGGGACTCTCAAGGTGATAGCCAGACATACCTTTTGCCTTTGCAGCATTATTTGCTTGAGCAAGCTAAACTGTCAGGTAATTAAAATTTGTATCTTGTTTGTCTTTTGTACCTATCTAGTATCAGATACGCCTAATATTATTTAGTATTTTATTAGTTTGTACGTTAGTACCAAGTTGAGTTTATAATTGGGCAGAAATCATTGATAGATTAAAATTACTTTTTCAATCCATCTATATTATATACTCATGAAGTAATTTTATTCAATAATTTCAAGAACTTAAATGTGCTTTGTGTTGTTGTTTTAAAAATTCTACTAAGTAATTTTTGAAAATCTATATAAAAGCTGAATAATAAAAATTTAGCTGTAACAAAATGAAATGAGCATAAATAATGTTCCACTATAATGTTTTATATTGGAACACCTTTTTCTATGTCGAAACACAGAAAAGAGCAATCTTTCATTTTGACACCAAGGAAAATTTATAAGATTGCTTTGAGTTTTAATTCTAACTAGACTATCAATTAGGATACATAATTATGTGACTTAATTTCACTAAGTGATAAAAATTCATGATAGTACTAAAATGATTGCAAATCTCTTTTTGTCCCATTGAAATTTGTTCTCTTTTTGTCCCATTGTATCAGCTTTATTCATACATGCATTCATGTACACAAAGAACCCTTTTTTTTTACTTAAATGAAAGTGTCATATGTGCAATTGGTTTAAATCCAAAAATATTCTGTTATTAATTATGGTATTTTTTTAACTCAATGTATTTAAAACTTGCTTTCTTATATTGAAAAAAAAACTATGCTATTCAGTTTCTCATGATAATAGAATGAATGAAAATTTATTTGAAAATTTATTAATCAGTCAATTATAGAATGAATTGGATATTTTTGAGATTAATATTTATTTGAAAACATATGTTAAAACTAAATTTGTGAGAAACAATGAATCTTATTTTTATTTAATAATTTTAAACTATAAAATACAATAAATGTATCATATTTATTATTAGCTTGTTAGAGCAACAAATAAATCGTCTTGAAAATTTCAAAAATTAATTTTTTTATTTTAACTAGGCTATCAATTTGGGGATATAATTGGTGATGATCTTGACTCACTTTCACAAAGTGATGATGATTCAGATGGGCATCGAGATGAAGATGATGATTTTGCAGATGATGAAGCTATGAGCCATCAAGACTCTTCTTCTCAAGAATATTTAGATGATGTTAGATATCTAGATGATGATGAAGATGAAGTGTATTGTGAACCTCCTCCTAATTTTGGAGAATCTGATCCTAGTCACATGTCTAGTAAGTGTCCTAATAAATGCATTTTAAGAGAGATAAATGTATTATACTCATATTCTCAAAAAAATTTTTGTTTTTATAGGTACTCGCCATTCTTCCTTAAGAAGAAAAAATACTAATTTAATGCCTAGTCATTCCCCTTCTATGGAAAAGTCTCAGGTATTCATTCATGTTTATTGATTTTTTTTTTAATTATTGGAATTATTTATTGCTTAGTAATGATTGTATACTTCTATATTGCTTATGAATTCCAGATCATTTTAATTTCCAGATTTATATAATTTTGACTTTCCTTTAATCTAAGCCTCATTTCATTATTCAAACAATTTCATGTTTACCGGGATATTTCTTTACATATTTTTAAGGTGTGAAAAAAAATATGAATAATATAATATTAAGTGTGAAAAATAACTATAAATATTTTCTTTTAACATTTTCTGAATGATTGAGTATTTTATTTGAAAAACAGTCTAATATTTACTGAAAAAATCTGTTAGATTATAAGAGTTATATTTGTACTACAATATGAAATTTTAAAAAAATTTGCATTTTTTTTCCATTTATATTAGAAATTTATTAATAATTGATTTTGTAAATTAAAGAAATTTCAGTGATGAGTAACTGTTTCTGTTAGATCTAAATAAGTGTAAATTTGAAAAATTAATGTTTGGAAGTGAGCCATGTTTGGGAGATTTTACCTTTAATGCAGAAAATGATACCACTATTTCATGCTATATTTTATAACTATAAATCATTAAAGTGCTGAATATAATATTTTCCCCTTGTTTTGATATTTATCACTTGAATAAATACAAAATAATGAAAAATAGCTATGAACTGTAGAATTATTGTATTAAGCGTATTATGGATCAAATCTAAACTACCCAAACAGTCCACCTTTACAAAAAAAAATGTTAAATATAACCAAACTATTAGTAGTTTGTTATCAATTACTTAACAAAATGTATAAATACTATACTTTATAATTACAAGTTTGAATGCTTGATATTTAAGAAATCAGGGATAGACAGATATTTATAAATGATGAATTTTATTTCAATTTATTTGTATAGCAGCTCTATTTATGGTACAAAAAAACTTTTAAATAAACATGGTAATCTTTTCTATCCTTTTTTGTTGTTTAAAATTTTGTGCAATTATTAGTAGAATTTATAAAATGAAAATTCATGCATAAGACATTAGAAATTCTTTTGCTTACTAATGATTAAATGCTATGAACTCTTATATATGTTATCAAATTCTTTCAGATTACGTAACAATGTTTATTATTTGTCTTCTTAATTTCATTTGTTTGATTCTTAAAATAATGTTCGTGTTATATTTTTTGTGTCATTATTATCATTTTGATTGTTTTAGTCTTTCCAGCCTGACATGCACCATGGCCAAATTCCTCGTCCTCTGTCCATGCTTGTTACAACCGATGGGTCAATGGGCATCGATCCTGTGACAGGAATGCAAAGACAGGTAAACAGATGTTTGAGTACTTATTTTCTTCCTTTTTCAAATATTTTACATTTTATAATAGATTTTTTTTTTTGAATGACTTTCATTGGCACTCATGCTAATTTTTCAAATACATTTATTAATACATATTTTTTTAAATTGTTAGAATGTAGAAAAAATAACATGAAGGAAAAATTCAAGTTGTTGAAAATTATCATATTTTTCTCATTTTAATCAAAGTAATAAATTTGTTTGTAGTTTAAAAAATGATATGTCATATTTGAATTTCAAAAGTCAAGAAACATTAATATTAAATTATTTATTATGAGTTAATTGTTTGCAAAATATAATGTGTATCAAAGTACAGTTTTATTATTTTCTTCCTATTCAGTTATATTTAATGTTTCATGCTCAAAATATTAAATTATTTTATGAATCTTTTTTTCTTAATTTTAATTTATAAATTAATAGTATAATCTATTTTATCTCATTCCTTAAAAGTTTTATAAGATGATTTTCTTTTACATCTGTGATTTTATTGAGATCTTCTCATACTCTATTTATTTCATGCCACAACACTTTTATTTTAAAATTTAATATATTGTTTATAGTGAGTAAAGATGATTTTTAACATTTTTGTTTTAATTTTATAACTATTGCAGATTATTTAATTTTGAGTATCGTTTGCATACATAATGAAATTATTCTACTGACTTTATGACTTCAGAAAAAATATTTTACTGTTATATCTCAAAATCTATTGTTTAATCTAATTCTCTATCTAATCTAATTTAAACCTTTTCAATTTCTTACCTTTTCACGTTAGATTTCATAAGAAAAAAAAAATAAAAAGCATTTTTATGTTTCTAAAAATAATAGTGTTTATTTTGGGTGTGTATCAACTTTGTTAAACCTTTGCTTAACGTTATGTACTTTGAATTTTTTCTCTTTGAAGGAAGTGGAAGGTTAAGAAACATTTTTATCAATTTTATGATAAAATTCTCATCAACGAAAACATTTTAACATGTATACTGGAAACTTGATTTAAATAGTTGACTTGCATTTAATTTTTGTAAAAATTTATATTTGTAAATTAATCATGCTTTTTCCCTTTTTAACTCAGATTTCCTCTTCGGGTGGTAATAATGCTGGAAAAGATAAAAAGCAACCTTCTGAAAGTGATATTGAAAAATATGCTCAAGATAATCTCAATAGGCACAAAAAAGGAATATTTAGGAAAAAGTTTACAATTCAAGATATGCTGTCATGGTCCAAAGTAAGTTATGTTATGTCCATTAATATTTAAATTTTTGGATGTAGAATTATTTTTTGTTCAAACTGTTTTAAACTTAAATATTTTTTCTCAACTTTTCAAAGCAATGACTCAGTAGTTAAATGCACTTAGCTGTCATTGTAAAGAACTGGGGTTCAATCCTCAGAGGCAGCTTGAAGTTCACCCAACTTTAGATCAATGAGTGCCAGCTTATTATGGAAGTAATTGTGACATTGTGTGCAATGCTGACTTCATTGTCATAATCATGTTGTTTTTCACAAGATTGTTGAATCTTAACCTCTATAACTCGTAACACTTTTTTGTCAAAATACTTTTTTACAGCGATAATATTTTGCATCAGCCAACTATATAAACTTCTTTTAACAGCTTAAGTTCAACGTGATGTATATATCTAATTATAAAAATAAGGTTCAAAGAAATTGTTAACGCCATACTCTGAAAGGTAGATTTTTTTTAGAGTGAAGGTACTGTTTTTATTTTTTTGATACGAAACAAGTGTTTTAGCCCTAGATTTTATTTCAAGTTAGATATTCTTTATATTTATCTTAAAAGGTAAAATTTATAAAAATTAAATTTTGGAACTGTATTTAAAATATTAGAATGTTGACAGTTATCAATAAGTGGTTATTTGTAATTACAAGGTCTTTCATCAAATTTCCATGGAAAATAATCTTGTTTATTACTTTTTTTAGTTTAAATATAGAACACTTTTATAAATTTGTGGTAAAATGGAGTTTTATAAATTTAACTCACCAGTCATATTATTATTTTGTTTCTCAATTTCATTATTATAGTTGTTTTATATTATTATTCAATCAGTTCTATTTTCTTTTTTTTAATCATACATAGTAATAAGTATTTAATAATCATCGTTATTTTCACAATGAAGTCTTTCTGATCATTAAGCGTAAAATATTTTATGAGCTTTTGTATTAAACTAATCATTTCTGATTATTGACTCATATATTGTTTTTTTTTAAGGGATAAAATTAAGTTTAATGTTTATGAGTATTATAGAAATTTTAATCAAAAAATTATCATTAATGTGTGCTGTTACAATTACTTTTTAGGACCCCATACGCAAGCCCATGATCATGACTACTGATAAATCACTTAAGAGAGATGCTTGTGAACTGTTTAAATCTATTCAATGTTATATGGGTGATCGCAAACCTAAAAGTGGACAATCAGTTGAAGCTGTTTTACTAGAAATCGCAACTAAGGGATGGAGCAGTCAGTCAGTGCGAGATGAGATATTTATTCAAATATGCCGGCAAATAACTGACAACCCAAGACGGTAAGAATAATTTGTAATATGTTGCATTTATTTTCCTACTTACATTAATGCTGAATGGGTTAAAATTCTTCCTTAGATCTGTAATTTTCACTTTTATATCATTTTCTTCATTTTTTTGAAAAACATTTTCTTATATTTTTCCTTGAGGATATTGATAATAAAACATATTGCTACACAGTTTCTTTTAATGCACTTCTTAAAATATATAAAAAGGAATAAAAGAAACTTTAAATCCCTAGATTGATAAAGATTAAGGTTAGATTTCTCTACTGAATCATTCCTAATTTATTAGTTACGGATATTAGCCATTTAGGTAACTAAATTTAAAAAAAGGATAGTTATTTTTAGTTTATATAAAATTTATTTTTGTAGTTAATACAATTTTTTTAAGTTAGAGGTGTACTATATTAAAAAAAGATGTTGACAATTTCAATATAATTATTTTGTAGAGGAGTAATTTTTACCCTGGTTTAACAGTGTCGACACATTTGAACTATTACCTCTTGTTACAAACTTCCACACCAAAGAGGGGATTTTCAGCAGTGACAGGTATAATGGGCATTTTGCTGTGTATTCGTGCAAGTTGTTTAGTTGACTAAAATTATTCAAATTCCTTAGCTATCCTCCAGCAGTGTAAGATATGTCCTAACTGACTATGCTACCAGAAGGCATAGCTACTTACCCATCCAATGTTGAAATTTTATATATACTATAAGGAAGAGCATCAGCTTAACCCATTGATTCGTCAAAAAATTTCTGTTATATGTACCAACTTATTTTAAGTAGTATGACAAAAATCTGTATATTCCATTGAGATGCATGCTAGATGAAATTGGGTAAAATAAGACTAGTTGCCACAAGAAACTGTGTACTTTTTGCCTTGAATATGTAAGCTGTTTCAACAAAAAAGTTTTAAAACAAATCTATTTTGATCACATTAATAGTTAGATGAAAGTCCATTACTTATACGGTCAGAAAATATTCAATAAATCCTCTTTTGGTAGAAATTTTTTATTTCATGCTGTTTTAAATTTTAATTAGATATCTTGGATTGCAAACTATTAAATATTTAAATATTTTATTGATTTACCACTTTATAGCAATAATCATCTATTTACACTTCGTGTAATCATATAATTTTCATCTGAATAGAACATGTTTATTGAAATTTATTCACATTTTATTCCAGAGAGGGTTTAATGCTAGGATGGGAACTTATGGCTATATGTTTAGGTTTCTTTCCCCCATCGGTCAAGTTTCAGCCTTATTTAGAAGGATTCATTAACAGGCACAAAGATACTTCATTTGATGCTCCTGATGTAAGTTATAATTTTTTTTTTTTTAAATTTTTATTTTACTTATTGAGCTATAAATTATTTCTAATCTTATTTATTTAATTTTGTTTAGTTTAAGCTAAGTCATTATGCCGCTATTTGCAGTAAGCGCTTAGAAAGGATTGCGAAGAGTGGTGCAAAACGAGGGCTACGGAAACCGACAAATGAAGAAATAGAACAATCAAGGGTATGTTGTGAAATGAAATTGTTTGTTCTTTAAAGTTTGAGTACTAAATCTAATTAAAGTGCTTATAAATAATGGTTAATGATTTGAAGTAGCTTTTTTTTAACAATATTAGTAGATTTATTTATATGCATATTAGTCTCAAAAAATCTACTATATATGAATCATTTTCAATCTGTTAATTCTGATATTCATTAAAAGTAGTACCTATTTGGAATTTAATCTGGTTTTATAATTTACTTTCAGTACAATCAATACTTTAGCATAATTTTTAAAATGTTGGTTGACTATCAGTAGAATATTGTTATTTTACAATACTATTGGTTTTAATTGTGCTTTTACTATAATTTTACAGTATTTCTTTCTTAATAACATGATAAACATATAATTTCTTTAACCAGTGTTTTTTTATGTTATGAAATTGTTCTTTTTGTAGTTTTTTTCTTTTACAATTTAAAACAAAGACTTTATTTGTGCTACTAATATTACTGTTCTCATTTTTTTTACTGACATAATTCCTAAGTCTCATTTTGAATTATTAAAGTAAATAATTATTAAAATTTAAATTTGCATTAAAATTTAAATAATTCCCATTGATTTTTTATACTATCTTGTACTATATTCCATTGCTACAGAATAAATTATAACTGAAATGTCGATTATTTTATAGAATTGTCACATTTAGAAATTCTTATAATTTCATAATTTTTAAAAATACCTCTACAATTTTAAGTAGTTCAGTGATTTATTTTATCAAATGATAAATATTAAAATAAGCTGATTCCATCGAATGTTATGGCTTTTAACTTCTTATTTTGTATTTACTTTGCAATTAAAAACACTTAACATTGCATTTTTTTTCAGATTCAAATATTTAGGCCATCTATGTTTGGAAATTTATTAGAAGAAGTTATGGCTCTACAAGCAAACAAATATCCTACTCGATCTTTACCCTGGATACAAACCACTTTGTCTGAAGCTGTTTTGAAACTTAATGGAGCTCAAACAGAAGGTATATTCAGGTAAGAGTTATAAATATTTTTTTTCTTTTGCTAATAAAGGATTCTTAATTAAAAATTGTATCAGATTAAAATTAAAAAGGGCATTAAATTTAAGTGTTCGAGCTTATGACTGCTCACTCATTTGATATTTCAATTTTCTGTTCTTTGTTGCGAATGTGAAATAGAAGATTCCTTCGTTTTCTAACAACAAAATAAATGCATAACAAAAGTTAACAATGTGTACATTAATGTTTTATATAATAAGATTGATCTTTTTTACGACTCATAGACCCTTTAAGTTTCACTGGTTAGTAATACTTAGACTTAGTATGATATCATTGTGCATGTTTATAATGGTAATATTTAAGGATATTTTAATAGAATAAAATTAACGAAAACTAATTTTTATGCTATAATTTTAGAGTACCTGGTGATATTGATGAAGTTAATGTAATGAAACTTCAAATCGACCAATGGGAAGTACCTGCTGACTGTAATGATCCCCATGTTCCTGCTTCTCTTCTAAAGTTATGGTATCGTGAACTCTATGAACCTTTGATCCCCAGTGAATTCTATGACGAATGCATTCAGTTTTGCTTAGATCCTGAGGCTGCTGTAGCTATTGTGCAGAAATTACCTGAAATTAATCGCCTAGTTTTATCCTATTTAATTCGTTTCCTCCAAGTAAGTCTTAGTGTATTATCTATTTAAACTCACAGTGGCTAATGGAATAGAGCTTTCACCTCTCAAAGAGGTGTTCCAGGTTCAAATCCAACTGGTCGCTGGTTGATACAAATTCTGCTCTCGGTTCGCACTGATTACAGTGTTGACATAAAATATCTTTGATAAGCAGATCATAGATTAGAATCCCCTTGTTGTTGAGCTAACCAAGGAGGTTTTCCTCTCTGTAACACAAAAGTGGGTTAGTTCCTTTAAAATGTCTTCTACGAAATTCCAGTTAGCCCAAATAGAGTCCAGGAGTTTTCTTGTCTTCTGAGATGGTTTCAAAATTAAAAGGCTACAAAGTTGAACATTGATAGTAATTAACTGAAAATAATTCAGCTGTTCAACTCTGGTTATAAAATAAAATATATGTTTAATCTATGTATCAATTTTGTGAACTTTTCCTTTCCGTACAAATTTAGTGATATTTTATGTAATTCCTATCCAAGATGTTTTTTAAGTTATTTATTTTAATGATAAGTTAATGTATAAACATTTTTATTTAATTTTACGCACTTTAGAAGGCTTCCATTATTTTATAACTTACCTATTCATTTTTTGTTGCTATTTTCTTTGCACTAGTTAAATTAAAAAAGTTATATCTGTTATTTTTTAACTTGACATAATGTTTCATTTCATGTTAGCTAAAGCTAGTAAAACATTATTAAATGGAGAAAAAAAACATAAACTTTCAGCATGCCAATAACGATAGTTTTTAATTAATTATGAAAAACAGACATATATTTGTAAAATAAAGAGAAGAAAACCTTTAGATTGCTAAATATACTTTTCCTACTATACAATGCTGAAGTTTCATTAAGTGTCCGAAGAAAAAAATTAATATTATTTTTTATTTTTTTAATATACCAGACTTATTTTATTTTGATGATAATAATAATAATAAAACAATTTTTCCTTATTCTTTTTGAATATGAAATCTCATAAAGTTACTTATAATGTTAACTGCACCATCAATATTTATTTTAAATATTTGTGATCATAATATTTATTGAAAATAATTAGAATGTGAAAAATTATGAGTTGTTCTGTAATTTGATTGGGTTGATTAGTCAAATGTCAAAATAATTCTTTAATTTTCACCAGAAAAGGATTCCTCTTTAATTATAATCAATTTAAATATAAAAAATTAGCATCACAGGCAGTTTTACAATGGTAATCAAATATATTTTGATTCCTAATTTAGATTTTACTCATGCCCCTATTCTTCTACAAATTGTATGAAATATGTGTAACATCACACTTTAGAAATACCAGTGATATTGCATTGAAAATAAGATAAAAACTTTTTGCATTTTAATGAAACACAACAAATGAGCTAACTAAATATACAGGGTGTCCCAAAACGGCCGTATAAACTCTGCACAGCTAGATTCCTCTTTGGGAGTACATAAAAACTGCCCAAATAAGCGTTCATGTACGATCCATAGTTTGCGAGAAAAATGCGAAAAACAAAGTATGACGTCACTGTCGATGCAAGAAAAAAACACTTTATTGGACATATTCACGGCATGCTCAAGCCTGCCTCGACATGCACGGCGGACACTTTGAACATCTGCTTTAAATTATGCATGGTATACTGCTGTTGATATGTTCAATAAAGTGTTTTTCCGGCAGTGACGTCATACTTTGTTTTTGCGCATTTTTCTCATAAACTATGGATCGTACAGGAACGCTTCTTTGGGCAGTTTTTATGTAGGTACTCCCAAGGAGGAATCAAGCTTTGCAGAGTTTATGCAGTCGTTTTTGGACACCCTGTATAAATGTGATGCTGAGGAAGTGGATAAATGATATTTTAGCTAGTGCTACTTTAACTGCTCTGTGTTGATAAGTATAGTAATCAAAATATGTATCACCATCTAAGTTTTTATTTCTCGTTCTTAGGTGTTTGCGGCTGAACAAAATGCAAGTGTAACTAAAATGGATGCCAACAACCTAGCGATGGTAATGGCTCCTAACTGTCTGCGGTGCATGTCGGACGATCCTAGAATTATATTTGAAAATACGAGGAAAGAAATGGCCTTTATTAAAATGCTCATAGAAAATTTAGATACTACTTACATGGAAGGTGTTATGTAAAGAAATAACTTTTATTGCTCTGTAAGGAGATAGATCAAAATATATTAATATATGGCTATCTTTATGTAAAAGTTAAAAGATTAGAAAGAGATCATTTTGTACTACTTCATTCATTACATTAACAAAATAGAGAATCTCAACATGTTTCTTTTTATCTCTGCATGCTTCTAGCTCATCTCCATTTATAATAAGTGATTGAATATTATTATTTGACTGCATTTAAAAAAGTCACAACATTTCTGTTAGCTTGTAATAATGCTAATTCGTAATTGCTATTTATCATGTCTTAATATCCAAATGCATATGTTACATTTCTATTATCATGTTGTTTAAATGTTTTCATATGTTATAGATATTATATGAAATTTTCACGAAAACTGTTAATCTTTAGGATTTGATTGATTAAAATTTTTCATTAGTTGGCAATAATTAAAATGAAAATTCAAGAAGTTTTTAAATTTTATTGAGTGTTTATTTAAGAACTTCAGTGTTAATGTTTAAATTATAGTTTATCTCGAACAGATCTGATCTGTTTTCAGTATTTATATTATTCCTTCAAAATATTGTTTTTTTTTATATATATAATGTTTCCAATTAGCTACATTCCGCATTTACTTATTTTAGTTCATCTGTTAATTTATTTCTGAGTTATAAATAAATAACTAGAAAATATATATTTCTAGTATAGTTAATTTTTAACTTAGAATGCATAAAATGTATGCTATTTATAGAAGACTGCTTTTCATTCATTCTATTTAATGAGTTGTGATATACAATCATTTGTAATTTTTAATTTTTTTTATTTTTAAAATTACAGTAGAAGATCTATATAGTGCAATTCTTTAAATCACAATACTCCAAATACCGCATTAATTTTGCAATCTGAAGCTTACTAAAATTAACAAATTTGTTGGTTTTCATTTCTAATAATTATTCTTCTATAAATAATAAGATATTTTCCACTGATATATTGCATGTTTATTAGGTAAGTTTAATGATATGTGAAATGATCAATATAACACAAAATTCTCTTCGATGCAAAGCCTTATGTTTCAAGGTTTGCATTATAAAGATCTTCTACTATATAAATTTGTAATACATTTAATAGAATGTCAAAATTCTATAATTATATGATAGAAATTTAATTACATAACAGTAAAACTACTTTTATTTATTCAATTTTTTATGTATTTTTTAAAATTTTAATCAAATGCTGTTTTAAAATTTATTTTTATTAGATGAGGCTTTAAGTTTGCTATGTGTCTATTGGTGATTTAAATTAAATTGATCTTTATCATAGAATCATTAATATTAAGCTGAGTTTCAATTCAGTAGATACTTTGTCCCTATGAATTTATTTATAAACTTATATAAATAATATTTTGTTGATTAATATAAAAACAGGGTGACAAGAAATGACTTTGGCGCACACTTTTGACAATTGACGATCGAAATGGACTAGAGGTGGCGCAGAACAGAATTTTGCCTATGGCAACACAACATACTTTCACCATTAGTGTGTGGACAGTCATAGGAGAAAGAAGTACATTAGTTTTTGTCTTGATTTTCAAATACATTAAAGACTTAGGAAGCTATGTGGAACTCAAAACTGCATTAAATATATCTTTTAAAGGAAGTGTCGAAGAAATTTTAGAAAATAATTTTGACAGTTAAAAGATAAAAAATTTTATGAAAGTTTAAAATATCATAGTACATTCCCATACAACTAAGAAGGAAAAAAGAGTAGGGTCAAAACATGGAACCGAGTTTCTTTAAAGATGGCCTATTCGAGCATTGCAGTTGGGAATAGTTTATGCTTTTACCTCCATTTAACTTTAAGTTACAACTTTTTTATCTATTGATAACAGCTGCTTTATTAAAGGATATATTTAACCCTCAAGAAATTAAAAACATGAAGCATATGTGAGACATTTGATCTCATCTACTTTTTTTCAAAACATGATTTTTTTTATTTATTATTAATTTATAATTTGCCTCTTTGAGCAATTTTGATCATAAATAATTCATTACTACCAGGGAAGAAATGTGTCTATATCTGGGCTTCTAAAAAGGTTAGTCTGTGTCTCTAGTAAAACATCTAAAAATACATTGATGTCTCAACATAGCTTAATAAGTACTCATGGTTCTAATCTGATTAAAAAAGAGTAGGCTCGATTTACAAACAGCCTTTTTTATGCAATAAAGAGATTCATTATTTGTGGATTATAAAAGCACAAAATATTATCTTATTTGTTTACCAAGAGAAATAGAGATGTATAGTTATATCTATAATATATAATTTTTACAAAATTCTCTTTTGGGGAAATTGATAGGAAATTGTATGGTTATACTGCCACAGTTATTTCTGGTCACTCCGCAAAATCTAAAATAATGATAAATGTTTTTCATTTAAATGTATTTAGTTCATATGTGTTTGTTTTTATATTGTTTAAGGGACAAAATATATGTTTTAAAATAGTAGCTTTCAAACTTTATGGATCATGCATTTATAGTTGAATATCTCACTGTAGGTCACATTCTGAAAATGCTTTTCAAATCAATATTATTATTTATAGCTTTTAAATGTATTAATTATAGACACACATTTTATGCCAAAAACATCTGTTTGAAGTAGAGCTATTGAGTTATGTCTTATCCTTTTTGCCATGAGAAAGTGCCCTATTGTAAATAGTTGTAAATGATGTAGAATGAAAAAAAAAATTATACTCCAGTTCTTGTACAATTAGATTATATCCTATATGTTGAATAAACTCTTTTTCAACTCACTGTGCTTTCTTTGTTTATTTTGTATTTTCTATCAGAATTAAAAAAAAAAAAAAAACATAAGCATTACATTTTATATTAAAAACAAAAAAGGACGTTTACTATTGAATATTATTAAGCCATTGAAGTCTCTTAAGCTAGGTGAACTACGTCTTAGAATAGATTTGTCATTCTCAATGTGTTTTTGTTCAATTATAACATACCAGATTTCTCATCACGTGATATGCCTACATGCAATATCCCTACATCATGGAATACCCCCTCATGTGAATGCTGCAATATCCCCATTTTAAAAAAATAGTCTGGATATGTTATTAGAGCATTAAATTTGTATAATATTACAGTTAGGTACATTAAGTGTTGTTAAACTTTTAAATATTTGCTTTTTCAATAATATGAAAGCTTCTGATGAACAATTTGCATTCCTATACTAGAAAAAGTTTTTAAAATGTTGAGTGTAACAAAATGTTACAACTCCACATAAGTCACAACCTAATTTAAAGCAATAAATTCTTCTATATTTTTCCTGAACAAACGCCTGTAAACATTTTGATGACACACGAATTGGTTAAGGAGATTTGCGTAAGTTTCAAAGCATAGCCAGTGTCTGAACCCTGTTACTTCATTACCAAATTGTGGAAAACAGAAGGGTGAAATACATAGTTCAAAAACCTTGTTTTTTATGAGCTATTTAGTGATTCTATAATCATATAGTTATTGCCAAGTACACCAACCGATTGAGACATACAGAAAAATGACTTTTTTTTTTTTTTTTTAATCCTTATTTTCCAGTAAAAATATTTTATTTAAACCCTAACAACCCCAGGTAGCAGCAAAACTTCTAAAGGAACAATTAAAAAACCTCCTCTTTACCTTTCCAATTATTTAAAAAAAAATATTAAATTGGAAAGATCAGCAGTGAGTTTTCAACATTCTTTTTAATCAGTTTTTTAGATTTGGGACAATTCTGATCAGTTTAATTATAATACTGACGTGCTAGACTCCTAAATACTATCTAAAAATATTAGAGCTAATGTTATATAAGATTAAACTGGGTGATTGAAGTGGACTTCATGTGGCGTAGAGCGGAATTCTTTATCTATGGTAACATTTCGCAGGCTTCTCAACGTGTGGACAGTCATAGGAGAAGGAAGTAGGTTAATTTCTGTCTTAATTTTCAAATCGATAAAAAAAGAAATTTAAACTAAATGAAACAACCTAAAGACGTTTACACCTTTGAAAAATACCTCATTTATACCTCGGAAATAGCTTTATTTTTCTGTAAGGGGTCAATGATCACGTTGTGAGGAAATGGCTTCAAAACACACCAAAAAATAAGTATAGGCAGTCAAGAGCTTGCAGTATTACCTAGCATAGAAAACACCATCCATTGAGCTCTTGACCTGCTCTACTTCCTGTTAGAGAGCTCAAATCTGCTGAATTTCATAAGATGTGAAGTGGAAATTTGTTTTAGTTATTTATAGATTAATTGTTAAAAAAGGTGAAAGAGTCGCCTCTTTTACTTGATTTGGCCTCTTTTTACTTGATGTTTTTTCTTGTTGTAAGAGGGGCAGCATATGATATGTTAGTGTTGGCATATTGTCGGAGCAGCGAAATTAAGTTCATTTCGCAAATTATAATTTAGGTTTAAATTTCAAAGTTGGCATACTTTTCTTAAGATAAGAAGTGTTTTATAACGATTATTTATTTATTTTTCAAATAACGATTTTTACGTCCTGAAAAGACAGGTATTCGAATGATGATTCTTTTTTTAAACCCAAATAATAAATCAGGTAACAAATACGCGTATCCAAGAAATTCTACTCAAGAGAGTCACAATAATGATCACGTTGTGAGCCAAATGACTTCAAAATACACCTTGAACAGTAACCCGGAAGTATAGGCAGTAAAGATTTTGCAGTGCACCACCCTTAAGTGTAGAAAGCACTATTCTTTAAAATATTCCTTTTTTTTCCTTCCAAATCGTAAATCTCATTTACCAAGATGAACCGCATGTAAAGAGCTTTTCTCGCTGTCAGCAGATCACGGAAGTCAAGCATCACTACGGCTGCGGTCAGTGTGCGGGTGGGTGACCACTTGGATCAGTCTGCGCAGGGACTGAGGGTGTGCGGTATTGGACCTCGTTAAACTGTGCTTCCGTAAAGTGCTCGACTTCGCCTGCAGGTCGTCTGACTACCGAAGCGGAGGTGCCTTCCCCTCCGCAGAGGATCAAAATTGTGATGGCTTGTCTTCGGATCATCCTCCGGGATGTTTCCCAGACCGTCGCCAATGGACGGTGTTTTCTACACTAGGGAACGCTGCAAGCTCGGGACTGCCTAAATTTCCGGGTTACTGTTTCAGTTGTATTTTAAAGGCATTTGGCATCATTGTGTTTTGAAATTCTTGCAAACAATGTATTTGATTACTTATTACTTATGTTTACAATGCTAACAATACTTGTGTTTACAATATCAAAAGTGTTAACACCAACGTAAGTTGGTGCACAGCTTGCAACACGAACAAACAGTAATAAACAAATTGAAAGAGGTTAAAATAAAGACTGCCAAAAAAGCGAGATATTCAAAATCTTGCAACCATGTCACTTTTTTTAATAATAAATAACAAAATCAAATTTTCACTCCAAACTCCCCAGAATTACATAATAACATTATTATCTTATGAAATACGGCAGATTTGAGCTCAGAAATTATCTAATTTATTTCTTTTATTGAAAACAAATATATCCGTTTGAAAACATCGCCTATCAGAATAACTTGTAGTAAGCGGCTGCAAATTTTTTAACCGGAACTAGAGTAGGTGCCGAGCTCGAGATTGTTATTGTTTACATTCCTATTGAAAACACCATCCATAGTCCATTGTGCAGCTCTAGTGCGATGTAAATTAACAACAATAGCGTTTCATTTATAACGCATTTGCTTAAAATTTTCATCTTTTGTGTTAGTAAAAATTTATCTTAAATTCAAAGTCATTTGGGCCAATTGAGATCTGGCAACAAGTCTAAATATCTATAGGTAACCGGAAGCAGTCCCTCCCGGAAGCATTAACCCTGTGCGCCTCTACAGTAAATAAAGTAACATCATCTTAAAAGGAAACCTTTATCTTTTAAAAAATTGAATACTTTCACTTTCTCTGTTTTGTTTAATTTTCCTAAACATTTCATGGTGAATATGATTTGTTTTATTATTATTCTTAGCTTCACCATATTTATTAATCTTTTCATTTTTATGTTATGATATCTTTTGCTTTGCTCTTCCTGTAAAGTAAATCAAAATTCATTTGTTCAAAAGTGTAATTTATTACTATCATTTTACCAATTTAATGCTCCTTGCTTTTTTTTCCTTCATGTAATGAAATTGAGATCTGGTGTTTGTAAGAGTAGAGAAATTTTTTAATCAATTTTTTATCTTGAGATGGATAAAAAGTTTACTTTATCTTCCTCTAAAATTTTCTTTTTAATAATAAATTATTCAAGTATTTTTATCGTAATGTTCGTGTATCATTCTGAATTATTTTCTAATTATCCTATATATTTCCTTTGATTAATGAAGTGTATAAATGTGTTACTTTTTTGACAACCACCATTATTTGTTCCAATTTTTCTTCCTGAGAGAAAACAAACTAATAGGGCTTTTTGAGTTATAAATTTCGGCTTTGAAATATTTTTTTTTATATATTTTACTATCATGTTACCTAATTGTTAAACAATTAGAATGTCTTATGTTATTTTAACTATGATTAAACAGTTTATAGCTATAGTGTCTCCATTTTTCCAATCTTTAAAAAAGTTTTACATTAGAAATTTAGGATTCTGCTTGTAATAGTGAAAAATCTAATAAGTTTTTTTTTGCTAAGAAATATTAATTGAGAACACAATATTTATATTGTATTGTCATATATTGCATTGCAAAATTTCATTTGTTTATCATTTTAAATGGTTATTTTTAAGTTGATATTATTTAAGAACATAAATTTTCAAATAAGTTTTCAGTCTTTTAATTAATATTAATTGTTTTTCCCATTGTACATATATATTATTTTCTTTTCATCCTAATGTAGTGTTTACTAATTTATGCTGTTTTATTTTGTGAATTTTTTCATAGCCAGCATTACATCACTTATTGTTTTCACCTTAAATTCTCATAGAAAATGATTGCTAAAAGTTTAAATCATATTAATTAATTAAATTTTTGTACAGGTAAATCATATTCATAATATTTTAATTAATTACTTTTTTAAACATTAATTTCCCTAGAAAAGCTCCATTTTTATTGAATAAGTCAGAAGCTTTGAATGAAAACATAGTATCTACCAACATTTTGAAGTCTAATTTTCAAGTGAACCATTAAATTGTGTTTTAAAACTAACTTACAGTTTTCCTTATTTGAATACTCTTGATAGGTTGTCAAAAATTAGAATAACGTCCATTACATTGATACTTTTAATTTAAACATTTAGTTATAGATAGTGCAATAGATATTTATGCTGAATCTATTTAAGCATTTGGAAGATAGACTATTGAATTGAAATTTATGGTGTATCTATTTGAATTAGCCGAGCTATAACCTAAATTGACTTTTCTTTGAAACAGATCCAATTTTATATGCTTGCGAATCTTTCAATTAATCATTAATTACTTTATCATAATATTTTCAATTTCATGATATAAACATATAATTTATTTTAAGAAATTTTTCATTAAAAATATTTTTGGTTAATATGATTTAATCTTATAAAAAGTATAAAAAAATGTCAACTTTTAAAATCTAGAAAATATTTACTCTTTATAGATCTTTATTTTTATAATTTGAGTAATTAGTTTAATTAATAAGTTGAAGGAATAATTATTAATATTTGCAGTTTATTTATTTTAAAATTTTAGTTCTGTAATTAAAAGTTTTATATGTGACATAGATCATTTTGCATGTTTATTTAAAAATTGATGTTATTTTAAAATGAATTAAAACATTACTTTTAATAAAATAATAAGCATACATATAAAAAATTTATTACTTATAGTAAGTATCATTTTATCAAAAATTTTTTGCAAATTATTTCGGATTTGAGTGTATCTGTGTGAAATTTTCATTAAGTGTTAAAAATATAAGTTAGTATATTTCACTGCTCTCAGAAGAATGCTTTTAATATACTTATTTAAATGCTTTATCCTTTAGAAATCTTTAAGCAACTCAAGTGTAGCAATTTCAGTAAACTATCTATAACTTAAACAACCTTCTAATTCTAATTATATGTTGTTGTTTTTTTAATTTTAAAATTTTCATTTTTGTGACAAATTATTAGTTTATATTGAGTTATCAGGGTTCCCACGGTCCTTGAGAGTCCTTGAATTTTTTTGTTGCTAAATTCAGGTCCTTGAAAGTGCTTGAAAAACGTCTTAGGTCCTTGAAAAACTTGATAGGTCCTTGAATTTGTCCAATACTGCCGGCGGCCCTTTTTATAAAACACCCGCGGATCTTTCTGTTTCGTTCCCGAGTTCTCTCACGTGGTTTTTAATGCCACCGTTTCTAACCCTGCTTAGCGTCTTGGTTTCTGCCAAGCGCGCGGAGCACAGCAGACAATCAATGCGTTCGGGGCGAGACTCCACTTCATCTTCTGTCGCATATGCTTAGATCTTCTTTTTTCTTATCGAAACTGGAATACTCTCGAATTTCGTAACAATATGTACCTTGTAGTTTTCAATAAATTTGCCGTTTTACCATCCGCACTTGTCCTTACGTTTGCGTCATTTCAAAACTTTATTGTAAAGCGTATTCGCAAAGGCACGGCTTCGTATTTGTGTTATGTAGTTTAGACTAGTTATGCCTGGGAAGTGCTATTTTAATCCCCAATGGATGGATAATCAAGCTTATAAAGAATGGATTTTATCGATGCCCGAAAAGAAGTTCAGAGCCAAGTGCCGATTATGCATGAAGGAGATCGATATCGCGAAAATGGAAGAATCTGCTCTGAAATCACACATGAAAGAAAGGTAAAACAAAAAAGCAGTCTCATGCCCTGAGTTCTCTTTTTCCAAAGACATCAACATCTAATTCATCTGGTGTAAATACTCCTTCAACATCGTGTGCCCCATGTGAAACAGAAACTTTAGTGGCCGAGGTAACATTGTCTTCTTATCTGGTCAAAAGGAATGTGCTTGATGCTGAAATTCTCTGGAGTCTGAAGTGCATCACTAGTAATTATTCATGTAACTCCTGTGAAGGGATTAGTAAATTGTTCTCCAAAATGTTTGCTGATAGCTGTATAGCGAGACAATTTTTTTGTAGTGCCACAAAGTGAGCCTATTTGGGCTCCTTTGGATTGGCACTATACTTCAAAGGGATTCTTATAAATGAGCTGAAGAATGTTGATTGCTACACTGTACTCTTTGATGAGACGTTAAATCAGTCTCTACAATCTAAGCAGATGGACATTATGGTAAGGAATTGATAATAAAGTTTGCACTAAGTATCTTACCTCCCAATTTATGGGTCATGGAACTGCAGAAAATATTTTGTCCTCTTTTTACAAATGCATGGATGATGGTTAAAAGCTCTCTAAAATACTTCAATTATCCATGGATGGACCCTATGTCAATTGGAAATTCTATTAGAAGCTTCAGTGTGAATTAAAAGAGAAATATTCCCACCAGGTCATATTCATTGGCAGTTGTGGATTACACATAACGAATAATGCTTTTAAACATGGTGAAAATGGGATATGTTCCTTCTAATTTTTATTTTCAGAAAGAATTGTTGCTGCATAACATTTAGAGAAGGTTGTGTAAATTATGGATGAATAATTTCAGAAACGATGTTTAATAGAGGAGAGGAGGGGGTTATGGAATAGTCATGGAATATGGAATACCTAAGATTTAGCTCTGTCTTTCATGCAGCCTTCACATGGAAATACACAGGATTAAAGGATTTCACCATTAACACCTCATTACCATTAGTTATAGATTGTGCTGAAAATGATTTTGTGAATTAATATGTAAAACCAGTAGGGTTGTTTTTAAAAAAATATAAATTTTAGTCCATAATACATATACTCTCTTCTCTCTATATAGGCAAAGCATTTAGGTATTATATTTGAAATTAATTATTGCCACAACAAGCATTGTTGCTTCTAGTAAAATAGAAGAGAATAATTTTTAAAATTGGTCTTAGATTAAGGTCCTTGAAAATTTTGTTGAGGTCGTTGAAAAGTCCTTGAATTTCAATCTCATCATAGAGTGGGAACCCTGGTTATAAATTTAATTGATCTAGCATGTAAATTTAATTCATTTTGGAAGAGATGTGCTATCTGCCGCTTATATTTTTCCAGAATTTTTTTTCTCATCAACTTTGAAGCCAATGTTGTGCGGGTTGTACTGGTGTTTTTAATTTAATGTCTTTTCATAAGTTAAGTTTTCATTGATTAAGGGTTAGTTTAGTTTATCATATTTTATTAAATTGTTTGAGTTATTGAAATATGTAAGTGGATCTGATCTAACCAAATAATAAATTGTTTGTTCTCTCCAAATATTTTCTAAAATCAATATTTTGTTAATTATTTAAGGAAAACGGTGATCGTAGCTCTTGGGAACTTTTTTGGTAGATCGTGTCTACGCTTTGGTTGGCTAACCTTGATTTCTTCATTGAGCTAATACAGCAAATGAATTTTTTTTTAAAATAAAAAAGGTTAGTAGTTCTTTTGGTTGATAGTTTCGGGAGGATTTTAAAAGCGACATGGTAGCTCAAAAATTTCGTAAGTTTGTTACCTGTTGAAATAAAAAAATTATCGATGGTGACTAAAAATAGAATGTTTGATTCTATCTGAGAGGGAAACTATGCATGACGAGAAATTTTATACAGAATTTCTAGACAAATTTTTTCCTTAATGATTAGCTTTTGTAGTTTCATAAAAAAGCAGAACTTTTATTTTATTTTAATCATTTGTTAGTCATTGTCATATTGGCTAATATGTTTCTAAATAATTTGAGTAGTTATTTGCCAAAATAGTATATAATCAGTGTATGGGTAGTATTATATAATTGGAAAATTTCCCTTTTGCTAAATGGAATTCCTATTTTGACTGAATCATATATTAGGGCTTTCAACTATTCATACATATTATAATAAAGGGGCATCCAAAGAGACTTCAAAAAAATTTCTTGTTGTTGAAGTTATAAATAACATAGTTGATAGCTTTTCCTATTTTCTCAAAAAGATTTTACTTATATATTTTAAGTGTTAGCAAAATTTATACTTTGATGTCTTATTCAGTGTTTAATAAATTTGATTTAAAATGTTCTTGCTAATCATCATACCTAGTTAATTTTACTATATAAACTATCTAACAAACAATAAAGTGGTGCTTAAGAGATTTATGATGGCAGTTTAGAAATTAAGTATGATTTGTGTAGTATAAGATCTTCAAATAAGCATATTAATCTAGAGATCTTCAACCTTATGCAATCGGAGGGCACAACAATAAATCAGGAAATCGGGCGGGCCGTGCATGTGTAAGTAAGATAAAGAAATTCAATAGCAAGAGAAGAATAAGAAGTTTATCTTAGTATTATTAAGTATTGAATATTTTCTGTTTTGGAATTTTGTCCTCGGAAAGAATTAAACTAACAACTCTTTCAACTTTAATGTGTTTACGGTATAAAAAATATAACCTCTGTGTATAATGAATTTTAGCAATTAATTTCTAAAAAAAATTTTTTTTATAGGAAATTTACATGAATATATTATGAAATGAAAATTTTCAATAATAATTCTTCAATAATTTCTTATTTTACAGGTAAATGTCTAAAATTTTGGCATGGAAGTTTTAGATTTTAATGCTGTTCCAGCCAAAGCTCTTAAATGTTCAACTAGGCTGAAATTGGGAGAATTCCTTGATCCGAAACAAGAAATTCTATTTAAAAATGGTTTCGCTCGGGACTATCGTGGATTGGCAGATCAGATGGACTTTCAATATAATGAAGTACGAAATTTTGAAAGATATGATAGTCCAACTCTTAAAATAATAGATGCATGGTCTGTACTTCCTCATACAACCATGGGCCAGCTTATTCAATACCTTGAAAATATGGGTCGACATGATATTCTGCAAGACTTACAACCGAAATTAGGTATTTTTTTCACATACCTAAATATTTATTATAATATTTTATCAAAAAATGTTTATTATTGTAAATAAATTTACTTTTCTCATCATAAATTAGTTTATAAAATGTAATATTTTTTAAATTTAGTGGTAAAAATTGTACGTTCATGAATAGTATGTTAATGTTAATTATTAGATTGAAAAATAAATTTTTATAGATTTGAATTTGCATCACATTAGATGCAAGTTAGATTAAGCTTCTTTTTTTTTTAAAGTGATTGCTTTTTTTTAAAAATAAATTTTTATATTTTCAGAATTAGATGCTAAATCTTATATACAGAGATATATACAAGCCCAGAGTCAAGAAAGTCCACTTCAAGTAGATGAAAGTAAGCTGTGTTAAAAACAACTTATTTTGTAAAGCAGATACTTTAAAGTTTATATTTACTATAAAGCAGGATAGTAGTATATGAATTAAAATTTTGATTATAGTAAAAATCTTACATTACCCATATTTTGTATGGAAATAGCTTAAGTGTATGAATTGTTATATTCAATAATATTTTGGAATATTAACAGTGCTTTTTAGATAGATATTAAAATAGTTATTATTTAATAACTTAACAAAAAAAATATTTTTGGAAAAAGTTTTTTCAAAAGTAAAGCATCTTCGTTATCTGGAATTTAAATTTTAATTAAAAAAATTATATTATGTTTAAAATATAATTTTTGAATGACGTTTGTTACTTAAAGTTGTAGTTAGAAAAAAAAAATTTATGAATTTAGATTTTTTTGGATCTTTTAATATTTGTGAAAAAATAAAGTAAAGCTCATTAATCTTTGTATGTATATACATATTAAGTTCATTTTAATTTTCTTATCAATGCATTTACTTTTTAGTATCATCATGTCGTTCAGTATCATCTGATGTACGTTTGGATGATTCTGGGATTTTGACGAGAGAAGATGCATATACTGGAGGTATTTTTTTACTATTTCTGTTTTCAAAAGAAATTCTTTTTTTTCTTCCGTTTCCTTTGAGATGACCCTTAACATTTTTCTAACTGAAAATCTTATTTTAGTTTTCTAAATTGCAGATTTTTCCACTGAAAGATTTTTTTAAAAACATATTTTTCTCCTTTCCAGCATTCTGCTCCCGAGAAAAAAATTTAGCTGAAAATTATCTTCTGCACATTACATTCCTATTCAATATCATCCGATTTCATATCAACAGTAATTGAGGCAAAAAAAAAAAACTGCTACTCAAAGTTCAGAAAAACCTAGAATTTAAACACAAAGGGTTAAAGATCATAATAACCAATCATAATCAATCAAATCATAAAAACTAACCAAAAATTTATACCTGTTTTTTAAACATTATATTTTAATTTTTTTTTCAATACTGAAATAGATATAATTATATTATATGGAATAAATCTATTATGAATCCATTACTTCATAGTTTGATAAGATGGTAATTAAGTTCAAAATTTTTTATAATCTGATGTGATAAAACTTAATAATAATGTAGAGAATGATAAAATTTAACCCCACTTTGTGACGTATTAAATTCTATTAAATACAGTTTTCTGAAAGCATATCGAATCCCCCCCCCTCAAAAAAAAAAGTAATGTAAACTTTGAAATCAGGATATGTAGTTTTTATCAAAGTCTTATAAACTGTTCACTGCTTAAAATAAATCTTTAGGAAATTTGAATAAAGAGCAAAATTAAACTAAACTAACTGTTTAAGCTAAATGAGTTTATCGTTTTAATCTGATATGTAAAAATTTTCAGATTACAAGATTATTTTTTAGCATTTCCATCACTACGCCATTGTTTCCATTTTGAGCGTTTCCATCATTAATAAGCCTTAGCAATTTTTATTGAGAAACTTTTGGTGCCATTTAAATTTACTACAATTTTTATAAAATTTCATGAATTGAAATTTTTAAAAAAAATTAAAAACTGGTTATTAGGAAAGTAATTTGATTACAATTATCACACCCAGGATTTAGTTTTTAAATTCCTAAAAGTTAATAAGAACTCCTGTATGTCTAAATAACATCAAACAAAAAATATTAAAACAGCAGGACTTTCTTTTAACTGAGTTACTTGTATTTACAGCCTGCAAATATTACCTTAACAATGACATTCAAACACATTCAAATTGCCATTTTATAACTTAAGCCTAATGAATTATCTAACTCTCTTATATTTAATTCAATAATGAAAATTAATAATATAAATTATGCCAAGTTTCATATTTTTTGTTGGTATACTTCATATTTTGTTCAAATGATTCTAAAATTTCCAAAACTGAGATACCTTATCTGAATTTATCCTAATAGTTTTCGACGAGCAATGTTCTTATCCAGTCTAATTTGTCTTTTTCTTCAATTAAATGCTTAACTGGCAATTCCTAATACTTAGTATTGCCATTCTTTTTTTATTCACGTAACAAAGTCCCAAAAATATTGAAAACTCCAATCAATCTTAATTTTTAGATTTCTTTAACCTAAAATGTAATCTAAATGGATTAAATTATGTATCTTAATTCCTAAGGAAATTCCCTTTTCTGAAGCAATATTTCTTGTTCACTGAAGCAACTGTGTGGAAATATTAATTAGTGTGGAAGTTGATTACTATCAGTTGTATTTTTATATTTACTTTGAAGTCTATAAATAATCAATGTTTACATCATTAAATTCAATTGTAAAGTATTAAGAAACGTATATGTTTCTTTTTAAAAAAAAGAAAGAGAAGTCATAAATAAACCACATTGCATCATTTGTTTTACTTTTAGGAGTTTCCTCTTTCACTTCAAAAATAGCAATGTCAGCTAGAGTATTAATTTTTTTTTTAAATGTTCATTTCCACTGCAAATTAAAAAAACAAAATAAAAATAGAAAAATGATTACATTGCTTATGTTATTGATAAATGCTATCTTAAATAGTTTTAAAAGCTCATAAACACAAGTGATTAGTCATAAAAGATTTTTTTTATAATATTTATGTCAGAATCATGATTCATTTGGTTATAAGAACAGAAAATAAATTTTTGATTACTCATATTTCTCTTAGATAAGAAAGTATTAAAGTTTCCCTTTGTGTTATAAATAGTAGTTGAGGCATCAGTCTCATATTTATGATGGCTTGATTATTTTTAAAACTAATGTATTAGATTTATTGCTGTTATGTGTTCCTGCAGCTACTGCTAATGATTTTATGAAAAAAATTTGAATTTGTTTGGTGTCATTCTTTTTTCTCTACCTTATTACATTGTAGCATGATTTAGCTTAATATATTGGTAAATGTTTATGCTCATGTTATGGCATAATTATTTCCCAGTGATTCATCCAAAAAATATAAAAAAATTGATGCAATTAAAATGAAAACCTTGTTTTTTAAATTTAGAAAGTTGACTCTTTTTTTTAAATTTTTTGTTTTGTTTCTAATAGTAGTGTGGGGAGAGTAGTTACAGACCATGTCAACCGTCATCTATGAAAAGGTACCCCCAACATAGAGTCCAGTTAACATGTCTTATATACTAGTGAATTGTAGCTGTAATTTTGTAGTGGTAGATACGCTACAGTAGTATTATGCCCATTAGCTCAGTAGTATTAATAATACCCCTGCAGCACGAGGGGTTTGGAGATTTGAGGGCACTCTCGCCAGAAAAAATGACACGGGTTTAAAATAAAAATATTTTATATTTTCTGAAATATTTTTAGCTTACTTTATAAATAGTAATAATACTTAACTGAACTGTGAATATAATGACTATAAGATAGTGAAAGATTTTGAGATATTTTAATTTCGATGTGGTAAGTGTATACAGTGTTGCAATTAATTGCCTAAATTCTATCGTTTCATGGCTGTTTTATATTTCTTAAATAAAATAATGATTATAAATATATCCTCATCACCACATTGTTTTTGTGTCATATTATAATATTAAACTTTTTATGTTAAGTCTAAGACTGGGACGCACTTTTATAAATCTTGCAGTTGAGCGCATCTAAGTGTATGTTAGCCTTTCAATTAGCCGCATTATTCACATTTCTTAGATCATTTTTCTTGCTTACCTGATTTCCCTTTGCAGTTTATCTTATTTTCTTCTCAATCTTTGATTTTGCTGCCCAATACCTTTATCTTTCTATTGTTTTAACAAATCCTTTATTTCAATTTTTATCTGCACTTTGTTGTCAGCTTCCATAAAACAATTACCTTTCCCTATCAGATGAGGTTTTAAGCCTAAAAGATCCTTAATTTTTGTTTCTTTTATGCACTCTTCTGAAATGTAAATTCTTAGCAAATTTTTTTCAAATTTTATTTAAGTCTACTGTATGATATACTGAAACCTTTCGATGCTATTTTGTTTTAGTTTCTTTTAAAATTTCAAAATTTTAATAAATTTAAACAAGGAAAAAAGGGATCCAACTTCAAATCTCAGCATTTGCTTTCTCGTGATATTTTCATTAAAAATATCTGTCTTGTTATCCAATATTCGTTAACTAATATTTATAGATTCATCCGAATTTTGTGATTTATATCCCAAAACCACTATAAATTTCATCCTGTCACTGATCGATGAAATAATCCTTTGTTAATGTAGGTTAAAGTGGTTTGTTAGATTATTGTAGGTTTAATTGATTATTCATAAATCATCATCTTTGTGTATTTTGTATAATCATGGTCATTTTTTTTGTAAGTTCTTTTTTTTCTAAGATGAGTTGTAAGTTATTTTTATAAGATGACTCAAGTTACTAACTAAATTACATCTTTTTTTAGAGGTCACTGTATATGATGCCTTTGTTTGTTATGCTGATGAAGATATTGAATTTGTTAGGGAGTTGGCAAGATTTTTAGAAGCTGTAGGTTTCAAGCTTTATATTCGAGAGCGAGATATGTTAGCAGGACAATCAGAATATGAAACAAGCTTGCAGCTAATTCATGAGAGGTATTTTATTTATGTGTTATTTTTTTAATGTTAAAATGCTGGTTTATAATGTGTTTTGCACCTTTAAATTGCTACTCCTACTAGCATTGAACTTTTTATATCCGGTTCAAATGTGAATATTATGATTCTAAAAGCAAGTTTTTTTTAAATATTTTTTTATGCCATGAAAATTTTCTGTATCTCCTAAAAAAATTTATGTAGATGTATATGCTTTATGCATTGTGTTTGCTTAGAAAATGCACTGACAGTGGGTTAAAATATGCATTTTAGTATTATGGTTTGTTATAGAGAAACACAAGGCTGTTTTTTTTTGTCATTGGAAATATATAAAAAAAGAGGGAAGGATAACATGACATTTATCAATTTGATACTAAGCAAGTATTTTTGTACTTACAAACATAACTTGAATTTACTTTGTATATATAAGCAGGAGTTCATGGAGCATAAGAGGAAATAAAGACAATAGTTTAATAATCAAACTTAGCATTTAATAGATAAAAGGAAATAAGTTTAACAGCGATATCATGACCAGTGAGAGCTGCCTACTCGCAGGGTTGCCAGATCAAATATGAATGCAAAATTATATTGTTCTATAGAAAGGAGTTAGAGTTAATTATAAATTCAGGACTTTTTCCGCCTAGACTTTATGGCTTCGTGGATATCGGGGCTTCCCTTTCTAAAGAGGCTGGCGCCTTTCAATGAGGAAGTAGATGATGCAATTCTTCCAAGTATTACATTCTGACACTGAGACTCTACATATATATTTATTTTGGCATATTGAATGGATAATTTTTTTGACTGAAAATGAAAACTGGGAAATCATTAAGTTGAGCAAATTGGCATTTGTTTTTCTCTTAAAAAAAGCACTTATATTATCTGCCGCAGTTTTGTGTGTGTACATTGTAATGTTGTTTGCACATTATCTCTCTGAAAGGAAACTCTGCCTTTGATTAAAAGGCACACTGCAACTAGGAAATGTTCTTACTTACCATGTTAGTAGAATTCTCTGCACCAATCTGCAGAACTCTACTAATCCTTAGCACCATCTTTATTAATCAAAATTTGTTGACCCAATAGGATTGAATCGAAGGTTAATTGTGTACAAATTAGGTAATCTACTTAGAAATTTTGTCTTGATTGTCAGATTTCAGAAGAGGGAATTACAAATGATTCCTAATGGTTATCAAAGAATAGAAAGAAAAACCTTTACTTTTTCACTTGATTTTTTTCTATCCGTCAATTTCATTTACTTTAAAAAAGAAAAGAGACAGTCATTGTTTTTATTGTTTGGCAGGTTTTTATTGTTTGTTTTCTTTTTGAAATCTGAAAAAAGAAAAATAATCAGCAAGTCGTGTGACTATCTGCAGGCTCTTCAGCTGTGCTGGAGTTTTTCTGCTTCTGGGTTGGGGACTGAATGTTTGTAACATTTATTCACAATTATAGATAAATAGGGTAAAGTGGATACACTGGGTAAAGTGGGTATATGTTAAGAAAACATCTATTTTCTCCTTTTAAGTTGAGATAATTTATTTGATATTTTTAGACATTAGCTGAAATTGCAGGCTAACATTTTTATTTAAATTTTGTAAACTGATAAACTGATTTAGAAACTATCTGTTTAGGATCAACTTATAAAGTATGTTAGTTTAAGCTGTTGATGAACGTTCTTTGAATCAGTGGCGTAGTGAGGGGTGGGCAAGGGGGGTCATCATGCCCCGGGCGCTACTCACAAAGGGGCGCCAAATGGTCCGCAAAACAAAAAATTGCTGGATAATTTTTATTTTTATTATAATTGGTTTCTGGAAAACATATTTTAATTTTAGTGCCAGTGTAATATAATTAATGTTAATTCATAAATAAAAAGGAACACTAATAGTCTAATTCAAAGTGTAATAATATATTCATAATAGAAATGGCACGTCTTGTCTACTGGCAGGGCTGACTCGACCTGTGTCCGACAGCACTTCCTTATGGCATCAACGCTGTGTGGTTACAGAAATTATCTCCTTTCTTGATTTGTCTGATGAAACAATATGTTATAAAAAATATTTGAAGTTTACAAAGTACAAACATTCTTTCTTTCAGAACAATATTTATTTTTATTTCCATAAACGCAATGTAGCTTACGCTTGTTAAAACGATAACAATAACACTCTAATGTACTTATATGTACAGTGAAAAAAGTAGCCGGAAAATAACAACTAAAGGATCGAAAGGAGACACACTACAAATACAGCGTTTTGCCGTTTCTAGGAAAGGACGCAAACGCCGTATTTGTTGTGTGCCTGAGAAATATCTATATTAAAAAAATAAATGATTCCTTATTTGTTACCTTCCGGATACTTTTTTCCATGACTGTACGTATCTTTGATACTTACGACAGGTTGTGGAAGTCTGCAACAAATTAGGGAAATACTCGAAATATTAACGTTTAAGTTATTTCGCGCATTCAAGGCATTCTTGGTAAGTAATGAAACAAATAATGAAGTCATGTTAAAAAACTAGCACTTCAAGTTGGTACAAAAGTTGGAAACCTATTATCTTTACTTAAACTTGTAGCTCAGTTTGATCCGCTACTAGCAAATCATCTTTAACATGCCACAGAAACTCCAAAAACTGTCTCATATTTGTCAACACAGATCCAAAATGAATTCATTCATCTTCTGGCATCTACAGTTCGAAATCAACTAATAAACGATATCAAAAGAAATAAATATTATGGACTTTAGTTTGATTCAACTCCTGATATCTCTCATCGAGAACAAATGTCCCAAGTCGTTAGGTATGTAGATGTTGATTTTATGAATAAAAAACTTTCCATCAAAAAATCTTTTTTTTTTTGGGGGGGGGGTATTGAAATACATGTTAAAAATGCAGCCTCGATCAAAAATACAATTATAGAATAATTAATTCCGATGAAATTTCTTTAACAAACTGCAGACCACAGAAAACATACATCTGTTTTTCTCACGTTCAACGTTACAATGGGAATTATTAAAAAATGCTTTAACAAAAACTGCAAAATGCAAGCTGTTAGCGTTATCATCAATGGGCTAAAGAATATAGTAGAACTATTTGAAAAATTAGCAGAGGACACTACCACTACAAGTGACACCAGAAGTGAAGCTACAATTCTGTTTCAAAATATACTAACTTTTAGTTTCATAACTTTAGTTCATTTCTAATATGAAATCTTAAGGAGGATTGATCGTGTGCAGCTCAGATTACAAGATCCTAGAATGAATTTTAGAGAAGGGTTCAATGATCTTGAATCATTAGCGACTGAACTACCCGAAATTCGAGACAAGCTCTGTGAAGAGGCAATAGAAAAAGCGAAGTCTCTTTGTGAAAAATGGGATATTGATGCAACAATACGTGTAAGAAGACGCCGCAAAATGCTCGCAGAATTGGCTAAAGATGTTGTTTTTTCCACAGAAAGTGAAATTTCTCGCTTTACGAAAAGCGTTCTTGATCGCCTGCAACAAGAAATATGTACCTACACGATTAAGTGACCTTAATTTCAAATTTGGATTTCTACTAGACATTGAAAATTTATTAAACGAGGATAATGTTGATAACGACCTTGAAAAAAAATTGCAAAAATTTGGGCGAATTTTATAATACAGATTTCAATGGAATAGAACTTTTTATCGAAATATGTGACTGTAAAATGTTACTCCGCAGTAGAAAATAAATTGAACCTAAAACTCCGTACTTTTATAATCTCGTATGGAGAAGATGTTTTTCCAAATCTGAGAGTGGTACTTCTGACTATCTCAGTATCAACTGCTAGCTGCGAACGTTCATTCAACAAATTAAAATTAATTTTGACATATCTACGATCTACGAAGGAACAAGATCGTTTAAGTGACCTAACATTAAGTGTGGAAAGAAACAAATTTGTAATTATCAACTTTGATGATATTATTGATAAATTTGCTTCATCAAAAGCAAGGAAAATTTATACATAGTAATTAGTTTTATTAATGTATTATAATCATATTATTAAATATATGTATCTCCTTAGAGATAATAAATATTTACTTTTTTATTGTTTTAAAACTGCGTGTTTTTAAAATATTATGTAAAATAAATAATAGGTATCTTTTGAACTAATTCTAGATGATCATATACAATTCAGAATCTAGTCTTGTTTTCTCAACTGCATTTTTTGTCTCAAATTTAAAGTCTAGCTTGAGCCTATGACTTTATTTACTTTACATTATTTATTTAATAATTTGGGAGCATATTTTACATATACTACTATATGGTTTTCGAATGGGGGGCGCTAAAATGGTATTGTGCCCCGGGCGCGAGTTAAGCTCGCTACGCCACTGCTTTGAATGTCATTAAAAACTGTCAAAAACTATTAATTTTTTTTCAGATTGGTAGAGGAACATCTAAAGAACAGATCCTTTTAGAAATTTAAGAATAAATTTCAAAATTTTATTTGTTATGAATTGTTTTCTGAGGTGAGGTAAAGTGGGTATATGGTTAGGCTTAGCTAAATGTTCTATGATAGGGATTTTTTTTTACTTCTGTGTTATCTTTAATACGTATCTATTGTCTATATTTTATAATGAAAAAGCTAAAAAGTAATTTATTTGTTTATTATAACCCTACATAGTAATTTTAACACTGAAAACGAAATTCCTTTTAAATTTTATTTTTTAAAGAAAAGAATTATAGGGGCAATAACAATCTAACAAACATATTGTACAATTGAAAGCAAAATAGCATAATGGTACAACTTAATGGGCATATTTAAAGACACAGATGAGTCTGTACGCAAGTTTCTACCTTCATATGACAGTTTTTTCATGGAAAACAAAATTTACTTAAAGTGTCTAAATTCAATAAAAATACATGTCTGCTATAAAGTAATAAAAACACTATTAATTACTACTATAAATATTATTTTAGCATTCTCATTTATATTTCAAATTAACCAAAAACTATTACACTTTTCTTGCTTTTTGATGAAGTTGTGTAGAGTTCAGCAAAATATACTACAAACGAAGTGAAACCTAATTTTGATAGCCATTAACATTAACTCTTTAACTCAATAATATGAAGAAAAAAAATATATATTTTTTAGCATTTTTTTAAAAATATAATCATGATACATTTATTTAGGAACATTTTTATTTCTAAAACAATATTTGCATACGTTTTCTAGTGGGGTAAAGTGCAGATATCAAACCATGTTTTTTTTTAATGCATTACCGTAAGAAAGCAATTAAACTAAATCGATAAGTTATGCCTCATATTTAGTCTATATAAATCTAATGTTTAAAGGCGTCAGAATTTTCGATAAAATAACTTTATTGGTTTGGTTTTTGAGCTTTCTTCAAAAATAAAAAAAGGTTGATTTTATATTCACTTTATTCCACCAGACCATATTTAACATCTTTTGAATGTATTTGAAACTTAATAATACAGTATTTTCTCAATTTTACAGGTGTAAGCGTGTGTTGATCATTTTATCACCTGATTTCTTAAGATGTCCTGCTTATGAAGCCCAAGCCAGTTTTGCTGCAGGTTTAGGAATCGGTAGGTACACATATTTATTTTAATTCAAAAAAATATCTTTTGCAGGGGACAAGCAGTGTTATCGAAAAGGTGACTAATTTCATCCCTCTATTAATTTTTGAGGAGTGAAATTTAAATTGAGTTAATTTTAATTATATTATATTAGGTTGTGAAATATGAATTGATGGATTTTTTAATGTATATTTAAATCAGCATAGCTTTTTTAGAAACTATTTTATTGATCAAAGTAAAAACCATCACAATTAACACATTTTTGCCAATGCATTACTAGTTTTTGGATGCCACTTTCATAAAAATTTGGCTCTCTGATATCAATAAAAGATTTAAAGTCATTTTTAATATGGTCTAGATTGGTAAACTTTTTATCACGGAGAAAGTTCTCCAAATGTTTAAAAAAGTGATAGTCAGTTGAAAATAGGTGAACCGGTGGATGTGTTCAGAAAACTTGTTTGCAACAATCAATGAAGCATGTAGTCGTCCATTATCATGAAGAAAACTGGGTCCTTTTGGGTTGACCAGTGGTGGCTGCATATGACATAATGTTTGATGCACAACTTCAATTTCTGCACTATACTTCTCTACTGTTATTGCTTCACCAGTTAGGGTATAGCTAGGCCTTAGATGTTGGTTTTTGTATTTTCATCTGCATCAAACCATTGCATTGAATGATACCTATTGTCATATAGGATCCATTTTTCATTAGAGGGGATAATTCTGTTCAAAAATGGTTTTCTTTTATCTCTTTAAGCAAAGAACTGCAGATTTCAGAATAATTTTTTTCTTTCTTTTTGTTCAGTTTGTATGGAACCTATATATCCAATTTTTTAACTTTTCCTATGGTTGAGAGTTGGTGTGATATCGTTGATGTCAAGTTCGATTCTGTCGGCTATTACAAAACAAAGAATTTTACTTAACTCTTAAACTATCTTCCTTTCAAATATCTTTTATCCCCTTATGCTTTTTAAATATATTTTTATAAATATAAATTTCTCTGCTTTAAAATTATGTTAATATTTTTCAGATGAAAAGTGCCGCAAATTGATTCCCATTGTACACAAGCCATGCGACATTCCCATGATGCTCAAGTTTATATCGAAAATTGATTTCACAAAACCAGGCTGTGTGGTAGAATGGATATGGGACAAAGTCATATCATCTCTTCGAGATGGCCATGGTCCATCTTCATCATTTGTATCGACTGAGAGGCGATATCCTGCAGTGTTACCGCAGTCATTCCAACAGATTCAACCAGGATCACCTGATCCAGCTTATCCATCAATTACTTATCCACCCTCAACCAGTTCAATCATCAATACTAGTTGCAGCATCTCTCCTCCCCAAATGATATTTCAAGAGGAATCACTGTCTGACTCGGCTGTAAATTTGAATAGAGTTGCTTCGAAGCAGAAAAGCAAATTGGAAAATTTCAGATTTTGGAAACTACCTAAAAAAAATACGAATGATTGTTCTACTTCTTCATCGAATGTGACGAGTGGTTTTCACAGCCAAATGTCTGACGAGGGTAGTGAACCAAGTCGATGGGCGCAGCCCTTTTCAGCTACTTGGGACCGAATGAATCAGGGCACATAACTGTTCAACTAACTACAACTTTTGTACTTAATTTTTTAAATGGCTTAAAAGTTCAAAATTAAAACTAAATATACATGTATATTAATTTTTTTTTATTGATATGCATACAAAGTGTTCTGTAAACGTTATCCTTAACTTCTATTTTTAGAACCTTAGGCTGTGCATCTGTATTTAAGTGAGGAAAAAAAAGCAAAATTTAACAGAATGTAAGAGTGCAGTTTGAAAAAGGCAGTGTTGAAATAAATTTGTTTGATTTCAAGAAAAAAAACACAAAGGAGTTGAAAGGTGATATTTAGAAGGTGCTCTAAATATTTTTAAGACAATCAAATAAGTTTTGATGTTTTTCATCCCACTTTCTTCACTAGTAATTTAAAATGGATTTTAATTGCATTTTGTTTAAATATTTATTTTGTGTTCACTAATATACATACATTAGTGACAAGGATCATAAAAATATATATATTAAGGGCTGCCTTTACAGAATAATTTAAATAAAAATATATATTAATGCCACATGCATAATTGAAATCAACATTCCTCAATATTTATTGTTTATACCTAAAAGTAAATGATTATTTTATTAGTAAGTAAGGAAAGGATTCATATATTTTTTTATCGTAATATTTTGTGCGTGAAGAATATTGTGAAACAAAAATATCTTATAAATGGAGTATCTTAGCTTTTAGTTTCTTAATAAGTAAACTTATAACTTTTTTAAGAAACAAAAATGTCCATATAAAAATATATATGTGTCATTTTTATTTTCCTGTATCTAAGCCTTACAGTTGTTATTTATCCTTTTTATTTAGTGTCCCAGAGTTTAATACATTTTACTTTAGTAACCCATTAAAAGTTTGGTTTTGCAAGTAAACGTATGTTCATAAATTCTTTAATTTTTTATTTTGCAAGAATATTTAAGAATTTTTATTTCTCCAAATTATGATAATTTAATTCATAATTATAACATTTGTTTAATTTGTAATAATTATTTTTAAAAAGATTTAAATGACACTCAAAATATTTTTTAAATGCTTGTTCTTTAATAGCTGCATATTTTGAAAATAGTTGTTGGAAATGTGCAATTGAATTGAATCACAGTTTCTAATATCAAATTATGTGTATCTTTTTTAAAAATTTTAATTAGTGACGAAGCTTATTTTAAAAATAATGTGATCTTCAACATTTTGTGATATATTGTAGTTTTTTAATTTCATACAATGTACAAGTAGTGCCTTAGTGAAACTGAAAGCGTGTCATCTAGTATAAATATACTTTTTATGACTCTCCTATTGTTAAATTTTTTTCTTTGAAAAAATGTTCAGGAAGAAAATTTTATTTCGAATAAATTTAATTTTACAAAAATATTTTTATGAGGGCATTATAAAACTTATTTTATTTCTTTCAATTTTATGAATGTTTTAACTTATATGTTTATATAATAAAAAAAATATTTGTTATGTTTTTGTTATTATAATTATGAAAAAAAAAACTTGTTTAACTTATATATACTCGTAATTTGTCAAATTTTAAAGTATTTTGCTATGAAATATTTTAATGTAAAATGAGTATAATTCTCTATATGTATTATTATTTTAATGTTTGGTTTTTTTTAGCAAAATTTTATAATTCAATGAGCAAATATGCATTTACAAAATAATTTTATTCTGACATGTTTTTAATAACAAAACAAATTATAATTATACAATATTTAACAAAATTGTTATAAATCTGTTTGTTTAGAAATCATTTTTAATCTAAATTAATATTTTGTATGATGTTAATTCAAAGTTATTTAACTTGAAAACTCCAAGTTAACTAGACAACTAAAAGTTAGTTGTCTCGTTTCCTTGCAAATGAAATTTAGTTTCAAAATCAGAAATTCAATATTTTTGATGACCCCTTAGTACCCCTCTTGTCAAACAGTTTCTGAATCGGATTAAGATATGGTGATTGTAGGGTAGAGGCTTTGACATTACTTGTAGAATTTTTTGCAACTCTTTTGATTTCAAATAATTGACACACACTTTAGATATATGTTAAAGGCCATTATGCTTTGAAAAAATAATAATCATTTTCCAATATATTTTTTTCAGATGAAAGTGCATGAGGAATTAAGGTGTTATGGTTCATATTTTTGTACATTGTTGAGTTTATTTGCACAAAATCACCAATTCTTCCACTTCTCAAAACATTCCTGGCCATAACATTACCTTCTTCATGTTTTATACTCTGTCATAAATAACTTTTCAACATTCTTTCTCCAATATTTTTTAAGAATATATAATCGATGTTTTCTTCTGAACAACAAATTTGAATTTATTGGTTTAAAAACACTTTTTTCCATTGATATTTTTGAGCCCACCCTAGACATTTCCCTTTATTTTTGTGTGTCAAGAAAGATTTTGGGCAAGATAATCTATCACTTAAATCTGCTTTAGTTGTCACCCGTGTTTCATATCAACTAAAACTGAAATTTATCTAATTTCATTTATTTCTTCCTTAATTATAGTTTCTGAAAGTTTTTTTTCACTTGCTCATTAAGATTATTTTAAATTTTTCTTATGCATTCCATTTATCATTTGGCTCCTCTTATACAAGCAAGCATATATCATCTATGCAACACTATTCATATATGCTTGGATTTTTCAATAAAGCAATTTTTGGATGAAAACTTTCCTGCAATAAAATTTGTAATTTTCCATCTAATTCAGTTGATTATTCTCAACATTTCTTAAATTTGTGAATATTTCATATTCTTAACTGCAATAAGTAAGATAAAGTTTTTAATTATAATGTGCAAAAGGCAAATTAATGTTGAGTAAATATACAACAATATTAATAAAATATATTTAGTATCTATACCAAAATTTCACCTGAAAAATTAATTAATAGAAATGTTTTTGGTATGAAATTTGTTACAACTATACCCATAAACTTTCAACTTGCACTTGTTAGGACATATGTTTATGTTTCAAGCAATATTAGGTATTGTACCTTTCAAATTAAAATTTTGGATAATACAACTTGTTTATATTCATGTAAAAGACTTATAAAATCAGAACTTCGAAACTTTAGATATAATTTAGAATATTTGTGCAGATGTACATCGAAATGACTTTGCATGCATGTTTGATGCTCTGTCGCCAAGGGAAATAATAAAAAAAAGCCACAGTTTAAGAGCCTTACACTTGAAGCAAAATGATGATTTTAAAATATATATATCATCTTGCAGTGAAGAATTATCTGAGCTTTAGAATGGACAAATAGTTTGAAAGTTATTAAACTTTTTTAAAAACTGCCAATTTGGCGACATTTTCCACCTAGATGAACATTATCAAATACTCTGTCTTATTTTCAGTTCGTGCAAATTTTATGAGCCCAGATAATGCAGCCTTGGAGTAAGTTTCTAATTATTAAAAAAATTGACCATAAACGGTTTTTATTTCTGCAAAACAGGTTTTTCTACTTATTGACGTTTTGCCCTATTTTCTGAATAAGCATATACAGTGCTGACATTGGATAGACTAAACTTGTCCTAATTTAGTCATGAGTAACTGTTGTAAGCTCACAGCAGTTATAAAAATTGCATATTATTCGTAAAAAAAAAGGTATTTCACAAGACTACGAAGTCTTCAAAAAACAATCTTAAAAGTAGAATTTTGATTTCAATAGTCGAAACAATTTTTGTGTTCCAGAAATATGACACTCTGTTTAAAAATAACTAGTTTAGTGACAATAACTATTTAATACTATTAAAGTGACTTTCTGTCGTATATTTCAATAAGTCATATTGTTGGTTGTTAGACTTCATAATATTTTTATAAATATGCTCTTGTATTTAAAGAGTATAAAAATACTTAAAGATTTTTTTATTTTGCATTTAACAAACATTTATTTTTTTGTAAAGCATGCATTTTATTCTTTCTGTAAAACATGCATTTTTGTGCAATATATAAATAAGCTATTGCTGATAAAACATGCAAAATGAAGATGTTTAAAAATATTTCTGGTATTAATTAAATCTTTTTATTTTTGTTTCTGGTAGTTTAGTGCCTGCTTATTATTGTAACAGCTTATGCTTATTTGGTGTACTGTATTATTTGAGTTGAAAGTATTTTGAGTTACCATACATTTATGAAAATGTATTGTATTTCTTTTTTTGGCTTTAATATATTTTCAAACAAAGAAAGTGCCTTATTGTTGAATGTAAGTTTTTGATATATTTCTATTCAATTATTATTTATTGTTTATTGAAAAAATTGTTATCTCTTTGATAATAAAAGTTTATTGTAACCTGAGTTTTTTTCCCCGTTCAACTCAGTTTTTGACTACATTTTGTAATAGTATATCACACTTAGTCATTACATATTTTCGAAAATGTTTTCAAATTTTAAGCATTTTCCTGTTAACCAGTGAAAACTTATTTTCCATTTATGATTTCTTTATATAGTTTGTATTATACTATGGTTTTATTTGACAATAATTTAAAATTGGAGAGGTTTTGTAGGATTTTTAAGTAACACACTCTTAAAAATTATTTAAAATTGGGGGGGGGGGCGTAATAATTAGAGAAAAAAAAATTCTCGGACATACTTGTAAGTTTTTAAGTTGAATGTGCAGTTGGAGTAATATTTGTATACTTCAAATATTTAATACCGATCCGCGATGACTCAGGGGATGGAGCGTTCGCCTTCTAATGAAGTATACCGGGTTCGAATCCCAGTCTATACGAATTCTGCATCCGTCTTGCACCGACTACATTGCTGATGTGAAATATCCTCAGTGGTAGACGGATCATGGGTTAGAGTCCCTTTGCCGTCAGGCTAACCGTGGGAGGTTCTCGTGGTCTTCCTCTCCATGTAATGCAAATGCGGGTTAGCTCCATCAAAAAGTCCAACGAAGGCAAATTTCTCCCAACACTTGATCCAAGAGTTTCCTTGTCTTCTAGATTGGGTTCAAAATTACAAGGCTACAAAGTTGAAGATAAGTAGTCGTAAACCCATAAAATTGGGTCGGCTATTCAACGACGATTACAATATTTAATACAGATGAAATTGAAAAGACAGTTTTATATTACCTTTCATGTCCATGAAAACTTGCCCATATCAAATAAACAACACAAACTTATTCCAAGTCATCTTTCAAAAAGTCTTAATCTATTACTTATTTTATTAGCCATATTTTTTTATAATGGTTAAACGAGGACTGATACCGCACACCCTCTGTCCCTTCATAGCCTGATTAAAGTGGTCACCCACCCGCACACTGGTCGTAGCCAGTGATGCTTCACTTAGGTGTTCTATTGAGAACCGTGTCTTGAGATCGGTCTACTGTGTTTGGCAAATTTTGCTGTTTGGCATAATGCGTAAATTACCAGTTTCAAAAATTTAAACATGTTATGATTTATAAATTATTAAAATACTTCTGCAGTATATTTATGACATGATGATTGGATCGATGAAAGCAACTTAATCTGTATTTCCTTAAAGTTTGGTTGAGTTGTTTAATACAAGTTGTGACTATTTTCAGCCGATTTCATATCCTTTCTCAAAATATTAACATTGGTTATTTTTGATGATTGGTATTTGAGCTTAAGATGCACGATTTTAATTTATTGTTATTTTTACAAATATTAGTCTTTATTGAATTTGTTCACTCTAGTACAGTGTTTCCCAAAGTATGGTACGCGTACCCCCAGGGGTACGGGAACAGTTTAGCGGGGGTACGCGTTCTTATGCGAAATATCTTGCAACAAACGAAAATTTCAAAAAATTTTATTTAAAAACAAAGTTAGCCATAAAAATTTACAATTACGTATTTTTTTACTGACTATTTTTTGCAGAGTTAACAGTTAATAATTAGTGGTGTCAACAACCAAATGTGATTTTTAATTTTTGTGCAATATTACTCACAGCGTTACGAAAAGGTACGCAAAAGTCATAAGTTTGGGAAACACTGCTCTAGTATATAAACATTATGCATAGAGCTGGAAGTTTTAATATTTAGAGTTTCAACTATACTCAAAATTTGTTAAAATTAGAATAAAATATATGTAAAACTAATATAAAGCTGAGTTGAAGCTAGTAATAAAGCAGAGATAAGCAGTTATTAATACAACACACTATACTATTATATTATGTAAATATTGTGAGAGAGCATCGGATTTGAATAAAGCTGACGTGCTCCCTTTTTAAGGATTACTAGGAAAGATAGGGCAAGAAATTCCCTAATCACGTCAAAACGTGTGATAAAAGGGAAAAGTTAAGCATTTTGAATGTTTCTCATCATAGTGGCAAAATAACCCGAAAGAAAAAACTTTTGTGTAATTATTTCTAAGCATTACTTCGAAGGTAGTTACATCCTAACAAATGCCCTGCATTTATACCTGTTTACGATAGACATAAGAGAAAAGAATTAAATAATTATAATAATTTGGTGAAATCTGTATTTTATATAATATTTAAATTAAATCTTTATGCTATCCAATTTTTAAACCAAAATTAAGTCAATTCAATGGTTCAGATTAAATAATTACAAATTAATGAAAATAACAAGTCTGATTTTTGTAATAATTATTTTTCAAGAGCAAAGCGGAAAATTAAAGCTTAACTCTAAAGTTTCTTCTCTTTACTGTTTACATTTTTACTTGTACATCTGTATTAATTGATAGATTAGCTATTTTTTTAATTTTACCGGAAATCAAGGTTGTTAAGAAAGTTAACCTAAACTTATGTAGGTTAATTTCACGCGTTTTATATCATATACACTTCTGAGTAAGCAGTTTTTTTAAAAATTTTTTTTGTTATGCTGATAATTACTTTATTAAATTTTATTTTTTTCAGCATACAACATTGTTTTTGTTTGTTATACTGATGAAAATAGAGATTATTTTTGAAGTAGCAAAGTTTTTAAAGCAGTAGGTTAGAATAGAAACACATGCCCGAAAGCGTTACCATACGCCGCTAGGGGTGCTTTCCTATTTTAAACTATTATCTCCGTGTTTCTGAACAAGTATTGTTAGAAACTTCTTAGAAACTATAAATTTCCAAGACATTAGAATACGACTTTTTTCATAAGTTACCAAATAAGTAAATAAATGAAATGAAAATATCATTTCTATATTGTCACTACCCTATTTAAATAAAGAAACAACTTGTTCAAATTTTGTAAATTAAAGTAAAGTCTCCCTCCCAAGCCTTACAGTATAAAAGGTAAAAAATTTTCAAAATTAAATTTTAATGTGTAAAATTAAACAATTTTAAAAATTAAACTTCCTACCTTAAAGTTAGTAAACATTAATATAAAAGTTATACAACAGATCTTTAGTTCGACTGATCTTTTATGAATTACTATAATCTTAAGTTCAGGTGCCTGATAAATTTATTTCTGCGTTGTCTAATATTTCATTAGATAAAGTTCACATAGTTTCACTTTCACATAAATTTTATACTAATAGCGAACAAAGTTAATAATTTTCTTAAATGTGAAAGTTGCCTTTAGATAAAATTATAATATATTGTACATATATTACAGCTTTAAATATATAAATAAAATACCGCATTTCACAGGTCTGGAATTATATAACTTTTAGATCTATGCAGCATTTTAAAGCTAAGTCTCAGGTTCAGCTTAAAAGCAAACAAATCAGCACTCCCCGTTATGAAAAATAAACGTTTTAATCTTAAGTATCATTAGTGAAAATTTTAACTTCGATATAAATACTCACATTTTTAGCCTTTTAGTCAAAAATTACTTATTCCTATTGATTCCATTGATAAAATTTAGTATTTCCGTCACCAACTACATAGAAAAGAACATTTGCCCATTATAGAAGCTTGAAGACATGGATCGAAGAGTCCCGAAACGGCTGAAAGAGTGTGAAATACGAAAACGGAGCAGAACGGCCGAATACCGCCACCACATCGTTCTCCACATTCACCCAGATGTTGTGGAAAACTTCGCTTCACACAAACAAGCTTCGACGTCCCCGTAGTGTGCAGTCTGCTTCCAATGACTTAAAAATTGGATTGTGGGATATAACTGATTTGCTAACTATGCATAAAGATCTCCGCGTTGCTTTTTGATGGCTTTGTCACCAAATGAAATAGCTCGTATAAGAGAATTAAAAAAATAGCTGACTTGTTTTTAATATTTGCGACCTACGTTTTACCGTTATTTAGCCAACGTTACCCGTGATAATTATGAATCTGAGGCCACGGTTGGAAAACTGAAAAATTTATTTTTTAACGCTAGAAAAATCCCTGCATCTACAGGCTCATTAGATTTGTAAAAGAGTTATTACATACATTTAACTTTTAATAAAAGTTTTAAAATTTAGCCCTCATTATATCTTTTGTCCGGCAGTGGACTGATGGTTAAGACACGGTTCCCAGCAGATCACCAAAGTCAAGCATCACTGGCTGCGGTCAGTGTGCTGGTGAGTGACCACTTGGATCAATCTGCGTAAGGACCGAGGATGTGCAGTATTGGTCCTCGCTAAACTGTTCTACCGTGAAGTGCTTGACTTCGCTTGCAGGTCGTTGGGCTACCGAAGCGGGGGTGCCATCCCCTCTGCAGAGGATCAAAATTGTGATGGCATGTCATCGGATCATCCTCAGGGATGTTTCCCAGACCGTCGCCAACAGCCCATTGTTCTGCTCTAGTGCGACGTAAATGAACTACAACAGCAACAAAATCAAGCTAATATAGCAAAAATTTTATTTCTACCTTTTTTAAAAAAATTTCTTGCTGTGATAAGATACGGTATGATCAAAAAATTGAAAAGAAAAAAAAAAAGTATCAAGAAAACGTTAATAAAAAATTTAAGGTGGCAAATATTGGCCCTAAAGTTAGGAATAGAATTGCAAAGGCGATAGTTATAATTTATCATTGCACTTCCATTTCCTGGCATTACAGGAAAAACGGAAGTGTATGAATGAACAGATTTTTTTTAATGATTATTTTCCCTATCGGAACCAAACTTAAATGTTTTGTTTTTCCTTTTACAAATGTAGAAGTCCCTGTTCTTTAGTAAGTACTTTCTGTGTGCATAGTTATTATTTGTTGTGAGAATTTACTACTTTGAGAATTAAATTGATTATTAATTAAGGATCGCATTAGCCAAAAATCAAAGGTAGCAAAAATCATGATTTTTTTAATAAGAAAAATTAATTTTTTCGATTTAAATTAGATTTTTTTTATTTAAATAAGATTGTTTTGAACTTTTTTCTTTCAACCACCTAAGCATCTGATAAAATTTAACAACACTTCACATTATTTAATAACAATATAGTGGCTAAAATAGTAAATAATAGGATTTAAAATGCATAAATTATTATTTATATATATTGCAACCTATTAACTGAACAAAAAAATCATTTTAATAAATTTTGAGGACAGGGAGATAATTTGTCAATCAGATATTTAAATGAAGAGTAAATAAATTTTGGGTAAGAAAATATTACTGAAAAAAACCTCCAATTATTTTCAGTTACTCTGGGTAGAACAAAACTTTCTTCATTATTGGCATGCAATTACTATAGATAAAATAAGTCTTAAATGCACTTGTATTTAAATAAATGAGACTAAATGGGTACAGTTAAAATATATTTTTATTACCATTAAATTATTTTGCAAGTAGTTAATGGAAAATTTTAATTTGAAAGTGTCAGGCTGCTTGAAACCAATTTCAGTCTAGTAGTCTAATCTTAAATAAAATCTGCCTGTTTAAGTTAATTATTTTTTAAAAAAAATCATAAATGATAAAAATCAACAACTTTTTTAAAATAATCAAGTGATTTAAATCTCAGGTCTAATAATGATTTGAATGAAGTGATTTAATTTCCAGGCCTGATGTCTGTAATCTCATTGCTTAATATAAACAAGTTGTACTATCCAAAATTTTAATTTGTAGGGTTTATAAACTTACATTATTTTAAATCTAAACAAATGTCTTAGCAATCGTTTATAAGTATTGTTACAGGTTTATTATAAAATCAATTTCTATTCATCCGTATTTCAGATCAAAGTGTTTTAAATAACATATTTTATTATAATTTATTACTAATAATATATTTAATTATTATAATCGCGATAAATGTATTCCACACTAATTTACATTTTGCACATTAATTTAAAATTACATCTATATTTTTGCAGTAGAGAAAAGACTATAATTTAGTGATAAAATACAACTTTTTTTATCGCTCAGCACTTGAAATAAACTTTTTTTTTTTAATTTTTAGCCAATATTAATCGCATTTATTGCAGCAAACTTATGCTGGGCCGCCATATCCTGGTTGGTAGGGCACTGGGCCCATGTCCAAGAGTTCGTGGGTTCGATCCCCACCGACTGAAGACTCCCCGTGTAGTAAATGGTGACTAATGCACGTTAAATCTGTCGAGTCGCAAAGTCCTCCATGTTCCCATAGCAAATCAATACCTCTGGGGGTACTGATCCAGGAGTTTCCTTGTCTTCTAGATTGGTTCAAAATTACAAGGCTACGGAGTTGAACATTAGTAGTCGTAAACCCAAAATTGAATCGGCTGTTCAATGACGAATATAAAATAAAATAACAAGCTTATGCTGTTTTAAAAACTTTAAGAACTTTCTGCATTTCTATGTTATACTGTGTAACTTTGCAAATACAATTCTTAAGAAAATTATTTTGCAGGTAAATTTATTATTGGAGATAGAAAATATAGATTTGAATGTAGCTCTTACTGATTCGACTTTAAAAAACTCTCTGGAAGTATTTGAAGGTAAACTATCGAAGGAGAAATGCTAATGATAACAGAGCGACATTCATTCACGTTCGTGGGTCTAGCTAATATTGTAATTTCTAAGAGAACGAAATGAAAGAGACGATAAATATCAGAGGTGAGGGGATCATCTCTTTAAAATAAGTTTGTGGAATATTTTGGGGTAACAGACAGGACAATATACCAAAAAAGATGAAACAAATTTCAAAAAAATTTTTTATTCGATTTTTGGCAATATTAGGAGTACTTCAAAAAACGTCTATCCAAATCTAACCGCACCAAGATGAGTTTTTTTTTAAAGATGGCCTTGTCTAAAATCATAGATAACTTGGTAATTTTTTAGCACAGAACAGTTATTTTTATTTTTAACATAAGTTTTTTTCTTCATGTTTATAAGTAACAAAGTTACGGGAGTTTAGCCGATTTGAGCAGTGGCCATCTTGGAAAAAATGCACCTTCTCTGTCAGATAGATTGTTTTTTAAGTTAAAGTACACGCATAGTAGTACCGAAATCCGTCTACAGACCGAATTTTTCTATTTTGGGTAATTTTTTTCCCGCTATTTTTTCACTACCTATAATACACTATCTTCCTGTAAGTATCTGGATACCTATACATAGCATATCGTAAGTGAAACCGTAATATTCGGGTACTTCTTCTGGAAGGAACCCTTGGTCCAAATTCAGTATAAGAACAACGCTGGCGTCTACCACACTTTTTTAGGTGATATTGGACTTCTTCAACAGTAGCATGTTTTACAAGTTGAATCCTGTTACTATTAGGGCCATAGCAAGCGCTATAATGTATGGTAACAATATGATTAACCGAAAGTACTTATAGTGTGTGGCTTTTAAGAGAACTCCTCCAGACTAAAAGTCTGTGGCTGCTATGGTAACAAGCAAAAGCATATTTTTAATAGGGGTGAAATTGAGGAAAGAAGGTGTAAATTGGTTTACTTACGACGACCTACGCTAAGATTAAGACAAAACTATACACCCCACACCCCTATTCAAAGTGACCTTTCCTCGTAACCATAGTACCCGCGAGACGGGTGTCTGGAGGAGTTCTCCTGAAAGCCATACTATAACTTCCCCGACACATGTAAACTACCCATAATACTCAGAGGAATGGATCATTGAACTAACAGTCTGAAATTGGTGAAGATCTTTGCATGTCTTCTCCAAGCCGAGTGGAAAATGATCGTTATTTTAAATTTTTTTTTTTTTTTTTTTATTAAATGATCGAATAATTTCTTAAAACCATGACTCAATTTAAATTTTTTTAGCTACATCTAGCAGCATGACTGATGTACGTTTGAATGATTTCGAAATTTTGACAAAAGATGACTCAAAAACGGGAAGTTAGTATTTTTTTTTAAAAATTCTTCTTTTAAAATGAATTATAATTTCAACCCTAATTTCGTGCAAAATACGGAATTTATAATGATTATCAATTTTTACTAAAAAATGGGTAAATGTAGAATGGCGTAATATAGGGAGGCAAAAATGCCAAAATAAATAAATAATAGGATTTACAATTCTTTTTTCCTTCAATATAATTTCTAATATTTCTAAATTTGATACATTTACTTATACCATAAAATAAAATTTGGGGATTTTGAACTATTCACTTTATTTCCTAATTATGAAATGTAATGGATTGCATTTCGGACAGTAGAAGCGCCCTTTTAATTTAAAGAGGTACCCGAACTAGGCTTTTCAATTGTTAAAATCTAATAAATAACCAGTAAGCATTACTGTACTAAAAATTAGTTCTAAAATTTAGCAGAACTTTCATTAAGGAGCATTCTATTTTTAAAAAATAGTTTATTTAATTACTTATTTTTAATTCTTTTTTGTTCCGAACAACGTTTTGGAACATATACTACTCTTATCAACCACGTAGTTACAAGAAAATAGTGCTGGAAAATAGAAATCGAAGCATTACTTACGAAGAAAATATCAGAAAAACTTAAGAATCAAGTTTTATTTTTCTATATTTGGGAATAAAGATAATATTTCTTAATTCTGAATTGAAATGGACTGGACATCAGGAGTTCACGTTCAATTCAAAAAATTTAACACCAGAACTAGACTTTTCATATATTAAAAATGTATGAATAAATACTATAAGCATTACTGCAATACTAATTAATTCTGAAATGCAATGCAATTTTTGTCTAAGAGCATTCTATTTTAAAAACAACTCTTTTAAAAAAGTGTTTTCGATGACGAGCAACGTTTAAAAACATGTACAATTTTAATCGACCCCCTAATTACATGAAAATAGCAACAACAACAAAAAAAAAACTTCCAGAATCTATCTAGATTTTAAAAAATATTATTTGTCAAAATATTTCTATAAAGAAAACGCTCAGAAACATTGGTTCAACATTGAACAATGATATAGTAACTTAAATCGTAATGCTTTTACTTGTTATGATAATTTGCTTATGAATAATGTTGACTTTTAAACGCTTTTTTTAGTATGCACTTTGTATGATGCCTTTGTTTGCTACTCTGATGAAGATATTGACTTCGTTTTGCTTTTAGCAAAATACTTAGAAACTGATGAAGTCGGTTTCAAGCTTTATTTTAGACATCGAGATGAATTAGCAGGGCATTCAGAACATGCAACAAATTTGAAGATAATGGAAGAAAGGTGATTATTTCTTTGAGAGATTGTACATTTTAATGCGTTAATTGAACTTTAAACCTTTTGAGATAAACTATTAAATAGTATTAAATAATTAATTACGAAATATTTATTATGCAATTATTATTACATATCAATTTAAACTGACACTTGAAAAACCTTCATTTTTTTCTAACAGGTGCAAACGTGTAATAGTTGTTGTATCTCCAAGTTTTTTGAAGTGTCCTGCTGATGAAGCACAAGCTGGTTATGCTGCTGTTACTGGATTGAGTAAAATCATCCGATTATACTAGTCATACTATCTAAAATATGTTATCACAATAACTGTTTTTGCTTTGGAATGCCTAAAGTTAATCAACAAAGTATAAAGTGATTAATATTTCACACATTGCTTTAGAATGACTTATTTAGAGCTGCCAAAGTATAAATATTGATATTTTATGCTTTGCCTAGGCATTCTATTGAAATACTAAGCATAAAGAAAAAAAATACAGACATTAAATACAATGACTAGGCATAGTATAGTAAATTTCATATTTATACTGTTTCTAAAAATACTAGCAATTCTAAATGATAACTAGATATTTAATAGAATATCGGCATTTCATACATTGACTGTAACGTATCTATTAAAAGACAATGTGTATAGTACCGGAAAAGTACGAAATGCCATCATCCTGTAGAATGCCTAGGCATTGTATATTATAGTGGACGTTTATAGACAAAGTAAGAAAGATGGGAATCGTTACATACTTTTTATAGGTATTGTAATAACACTTCAATAGAATGATAAATGCTATTTAGGCAAAATATAAAATTTCTCCTCATAAGGCTATTATATAACTGACGTGCATCACTCGAAAGTACAAATGTTATTCTGAAACAATAATTAGAGTGTATTAAAAAATTAATTCAAAATACGTGAAGAAAAATGAAAGCCGTACAAAACTAAATTTATGCTTTTCTTAGCAAGGGAAACAAAATTTTCATGGAAAAAAATTAGTTAAAATGGACCTGCTTGTTGACCGTCCTGCATGATAGGCTTGAATGGCATTTTGAATAAAACTGAAATAATTCGTAACGAATCGGAGATGTGTTTCATATTTTGCTAGCTCCTCATTTAACGTTCTATTGAATGCTTAGGCAATGTGTGAAATATGAATCGTTTATACAATGCCGGTTAGCTTTAGGCATTATGAAAAGTCTAAGCATTCTGTTGAATTCGGATTTCAAACTTTGCCGGTAACATATATGTTTTTTCAAATTAATAATTGTAGAGTATAGGATGGCTAAAGTGCTCGTTGGGAAAATTTTTAATTCCTCGATTTAATTAGTAATTCTAACTATCAACGATCAGTAAGTAATTCTAACTCTATTCTCTAACTCTCACGCATAGCTCAAAAACTCCAGAAACATTAATTTCCTTGATTTAGAACCAAAAGTTCTTAAAACTTTACATTGCCTTTCATTGCAAAAATCATATTATTTCATGTCAATCTGATATATGAAGCATAATTGCATAAAAAGATAAGATGTAGGATAATATGCATAAGAAAATCAAAAAGTTCATTAACTTTTAAAAAGAAAATGAGTAATGCGCATGTGCAAACGTCTTTGAGCATACCCGTGATTGGGTTTTAAGCAACTATAGAGTAAAAGCTGGAAACCTTCTTGTAGATACGAACCAGAATTAGCAGCCATATCGGCTTTGTGAATCACGGATCTTTTCTCACGATGCTAATTTGTTCGCCTTCTAAATGTATAGCAGCCTTTAGATTGAATAGAACCTTTAGAAAGACTTAACAAACAATTTTTCGGCAGCTTGTTCAGCCGTTTGCTCTTCCTGCTCAGCCATTGAAGGATCAAAAGAGTTGGGAGTGCCTCAGAGGAGATTAAATAAAGAGCGTGAAAGGTTAAGGCTTAGATTGAGACATTCAATATAATTTTCTTGATTCAAATTTAATGGCAATCAAACTGAAGAAAACAAAAAGGAACTAATTACATAAGGCAAAAACAGGGTTTTTCGAAATACGCGAAAAAAATATCTGAATCGAAAATTCCCCTAAAGTTAGTTTATTTTTATGTAATTAATTACTTAATTTATATTATTAATAAAATTATGTTATTAATTATGTTATTAATTTTATGTTATTAATCATTCGATTGGATTCGAATTCGAAATATTTTAACCACTGCAGGCTCTTGAAGACATTTGTTGCAATTCTAATTCCCGGACTCCCTTACTGACTTAACGAAGCGAGTTTTTTTTTCACTTTCTGATAATAAACTGGTGGATGTTAAAATGGTATTTTAAAATTTTAAACTTACATTTAGAAATAATCTGTTATAACAGTCATTGTTAATTAATTTAATAAAATTAAACCCTGGTACTATTAACTCAATGTTTGTATTTTTTAGACGAAAGGTATCGCAAACTTATTCCTATTCTATATAAGCCCTGTGAGATGCCTAAGATGTTCAGATTCTTTACCAAAATTGATTTTACTAACGGAATCCGGAAAGAGGAAGTGGACAAATTAGTAGCATCCTTGCGAGATGGTTATGACACATCTTCATTTATGCCACCAGAAGATCCTCCACATCACAATCCATCACCTCAGTATGGTCCAAGAAATAATTTTCTGCCCCCGACTCGTATATCAGGAAATTTATTTCTAGCTGATTTAAGAATGGTTGATTATCAGACTCCTGAAAGTTACAAATGTTGAGAAAATATATATGTAATCTAAACAGCTTTTTTTTTTAATTAAAATTCTTTCTCGCTTTTGTATTTGTACTCTTACATAATATTTCACTCTACTTTCGTTTTTGAAATTAAATGTTATCATTAATATACACACAGGATAATCCTTAATGACCATCTCTTATGATGGAGAGAGTCAAACTGTTTGAGTCAAGGGGTTATTGAAGACAAATGGAATATTTCTGTTATTTATCAGTCAAAAAAACTCAGTAAATTATGGCAGATTAGCAATATTGCATTATATTTTCTTGAATAGTTTAAAGACAAAGCTCTAAATGATTTTGTAGCAAATAAATAAGTAATTATGTAGCAAATAAATAAAAAAGGTTTCAATGCCTAGTTTTATTCATCGTTTCTAAGAATAGGAGTAATTATGTTAGGAATAAATATGCTTGTTACATATTATCTTTTAAGATATGTTTATATTTTAAGATACGTCTTTCGTCAAGTTCGCTTCGTTTTAGGACATGTCCTTCATTAATTAACGGATAATGAGGTTAAAAGAACTAATGAATGACTACGCGGGGCTAGTGTGGAGGAGTCATTATTAAGTCTGAGTCTTTTAGAGGTAATGAATTTACGTCACTGTTAAGAGCAATTTTCTTTTTTAATGTACAGTTAAAGGTACGTTTAAACGGTTGAAGGTTGGGTTAAGGCACAGTTCTCATACAATAATATTTTCCTATAAATATAACGCATGAAGGTGATCACAAATTTATTAAATGATCGAAATTTGTCTCATTTTCGCTTAACCATTAAAAGTTTTCAAAGAATTATAAAGACTCTGTTACAATATTTAGATATTTCTAGAGGCGGAGATTGTAGATTCTTACAGTATTTATTGTGCCTAATGTAATAACGATTAAGGTTAGCAAAGTTTGTTTAATCAGGCTATCACTTTAAAACTTCCTCGCACTATCATCTGGTCTCATATAATTGTTTTGATTGTTTAATTATCATGTTGGCCAAATCGCTGTAAATGAAATTTATTGCAACAAAAATGCATAATTAAATCGTAGCATTTGCAACCACTTTAAAAATATAAGAAAAATCACTCACTAAGAAGAAAGAATTCTGAGCGGACACAACTTAGAGTTTGCGACTACAGTTGTTCAACTCCGTAGCCTTGTAATTTTGAACCTAATCTGGAAGACAAGGGAACTCCTGAATCAAGGTTTTTGAGAAATTTACTTTCGTGGAGAACTTTTTGATGAAATTAACTCGCTTGCGTTATGCGGAGAGGAAAACGTCGATAACCTCCCACGGTTAGCCTGATGCAAGGAAGGACTCTAACCCATGATCCATATACCACTGGAGATATTTGACGTCAGCATTGTGGTATGTGTTAGCCGGGAGTGGCATTCGTATCGACCAGCCAACGCTAATTTTCGAGATATTTAGTGTTAATTAGCCTAAAATTGACAATATTGCTAACTAATATATTTTTACCAAAATAGAAGTCTCAAATTTAAAACATGAGTTTTTTTTATCAGAGAAATAGAAGGACTAAGAAAGTTTCCTTTCAGTATTTGTGATTATTGGTGTTTGTAGGGATAATTAAGGCGTAATTAGCCTAATTGGCATGCAGTTATGCTAAATAAAGTTTTTACAGAAATACTTGTCCCAAATTTGGATCAATGGTTTGAACAATCAAATGGAAATCAATTTGGATAAATGATTGAATGGAATGAACTAAAAATATTTCATTTCGTTAGATGTAATTATTGAGGTAAACATGCCATACAGTAATGATAAATAACATTTTTTTACCAAAATGGAATTCATAAATTTAAACCATGACTTTGTTAGATAAACGGAAAAACTAAAAATGCTTCCATGCAATATTTGTAAATATCAGAGTAAAAATGGGTAAATTAGCCTAATGTTTTACTAAGATGAGATTTGAACCAGGTATTTTTTATGAGATAAATGGGAAGACTAAAAAAGTTTTATTATTTAGAAATTTGTAATTTTTGTGGTAAATAGGGGTATTTAGTTCAAAATTGAGAACAATGTTAAGTAACACGTTTTAAGAAAGATATAAGTCTGCTCTTTAGCAGATAAAAAAAAGAAGGTAAATTTTGATGTTTTTAATAAAAGGGGTAAATATGGGTATTTAGCTCAAAATTGACTGCAATGCTAAATAACACGTTTTAACCAAGATATAAGTCCCAAATTTAAACCATGCGCTTTTTATAAAACAAATAGAATAAATAAAAAGCTTTATTTCGATATTTTGAAACTATCGGGGTAATTAGTCTTATTAGCAATTATGTTACAAAGCACGTCCCCACATATTATTACCATGAGCTTGGTTCATATTCGAGTCTGCCTCTTGTGCCACTAAACCGTTAAGAGGTGAAATTGTGTTGGTGGACTACTATGACGAACTTTGAAGCTGCGAGTTTGTTTGGACGGACCAACTGGTCCCCGCAAACGAATTCGGGGAAATGTTTAACTCTTTTATTTTCCCTAAAAATACAAATGCTGGAGATTTCGAGCAATCCTGTCGAAGGCAGCAGGAAGAGAGTCGCGTATCGATGAATTCGAGCAGGTGAAGGACAATGTGGAATCTTAAAGCAGTGAGCTCGCATAGGCACACTAGCTGGTTTAAATTACTTCTCATTTTTAATTGTGTTACACATTCTGTATTACTAAGTTTAACTGTTTTTTTTTTCAAGTACTGTTGATCATTATTTTTGAAATTTATGTAATCGATTAACATGCTCATTATATATTAAAATATTATACATTAACATACATTATAACTTAACATATATTATATGTTAACATATTAAAAATATGTTAATATATAATATATGTTACGTTATAATGTATGTTAATTTATTAAAAATTGGCCATTAAAAATTAGCATGGATAGAGTGTGACACCAACAACATTGGTAGAGTTTATTCTATTCAAAGGTAAGTGTGCTAGTGTTCAAAAGAAAACCTAACTTTGAAATATAATTACTACATAACTAATTGGAAATTTAAGCAAAGTTAAATGTATTGTTCATCATCTTCAGAGGCAAGAGTACGTGATTATAAAGTATTGTACTTCTACTGATAACAAAGTTCACTAGACAAAATATTGTGTGTAAATAATTAAAAAATCACCCTGACGTGAAATAACTCAATATCTAATATTCTCTTATTTAAATTAGGCTACTCTCTCCGTTGACTATCGCTAGTCAATCCTTAGAGTTGCTTGTGCAGTTGTTTTTAGATTTCTTTGCTCCTTTTTTTCATCTGTCTCAATGCTTAAATATATTCTACTTCGTGTTCCAGATAAAAGAAAAATTATTTTCACAAAATCGAGTTTTCCTAGAGAAACTTTTTCTGATTTATTCATGGCTTTACTTGAAATGCCAAAATAATACTTTGTTTGAATATCACAAAAACAATTGCACAACACATAAACTCGTACTTTTATCTTTTGTTCGTATTGTAGCTCTTTTAAGTTATCAGAAAGAGCTTCATTAGCTTTTTTTCGTTTGGTAGATCAGACATTAATATGGCTTCTGTCAATTCTGATATTCACTCTCGTGTGTTCACTTCACTTTGGATCGGAGAATCCGGCTATCAAGATCGACAAAAGGATTGTATTGTGTAACTAACATTAAAAGTTAACTAGATTAATTATTTTTTTTCTTCGTTATGACGAAAGCCTACGAGTTTAACTGGCAAGTTTCAATTCCCGAAGCTCTCTTGAAGGGATGCGTTTTTGATATGTGGGAAGAGGTAATTTTTTTAAAAATAGCTTTTTTTCTTCTAAACATGGTCTAAATTATTTAGAACTACCCCATTACACTGACCATTCCATTATAACGATCGATGTATTAAGTCCCTGTTGCTATTCCATTGAAGCAATGTTATTTTAATTTCATTTGTAATATTGTAGAGTCGATGTCACTCTTACAAAAATATAACCTTAAGTATATTTAATTACTATAAAATAAAACTATTCATTTTTACATTATTCCAAATGTAGTGAACTACATTTAAAATAGTGTAGCTTTAAGAAAAGAGCAATGCAAATTAGTTACATGAAGACTATAATTTAGAGACCCTTTATCAACACCCATACTGCTCTTTCGTAGCATTTCTATTCTAAAGACTTTCTTCTAGAATTACTTCTAGTTAAATTAAGCAAATTAGATTGACCATTCCATTACAGCGATTGATATATTAAGCCTCAATTTCTATTCCATTGAAGCAATGTTATTTTAATTTCATTTGCAATAATGTAATGTCAATGTCACTCTTACAAAAATATATCTATATTTAATCATTATAAAATAAAACTATTAATTTTTATATTATTCCATGTGTAGTGAACTACATTTGAAATAGTGTAGCTATAAGACAAGAACAATGCAAATTAGTTACATAGAGTCTATAATTTAGACCCCTTCGCAACACCGATACTGTTCCTTCGTAACATTTCTATTCTATAGACTTTCTTATTGAGTGACTCATAGCTAAATTAAGCAAATTATATTGACGATCCATTATAACGATTCCATTATAATGTTTTCTAAAAGAGTCGTACTCTGTAGTGCTGCCATGCGCTTTACGTTAGAGTTTTAATTTTTTCTAGAAAAGGCAATCTATTCAAAAGTTTCATATTATGATATAGCTATGATTTAATGTAATAACACAAAAACAAGTTTGGGATTTGTTTTGCAAATTTTGGACAACAATATTTAGTTTTTCAAATTTTACTTCTTTTTTTTTTACTCTTTAAATTCCTTCAACTACAGTTTCCTTATATACAGATACTGCGAAATCTACATTTTTCAATTACAAATATTTATTTTGAAATCATTCTGTGAAATGGTATCGTATATACGTTGGTTTTGAAAAAAAGTTTTTTCTGGTAACGACAGTTGTTGAATCTCAAGTTTTTTAAAAATTTTCTATTTATTTATTTTTTACTAGCACTGAATCTTTAGACACCACAATCTAACATGATTTGACATGATTTTGTTAATTTAAAAATTTTTTTGGAATTCAGATTTTTTAACATGTATAAACTGCACAGCATTGTTTATATTTTTACAAAATATGAAAATTTCAATTTTTTAATTTTTTTTAAAAACGGTAAAAATCTATCTTGTGATAACTACCTATGGTTAATTCAAAAAATGGTTAGAAATTATACAATATTTTATATAATTTACACAGTCACATAAATGTCCATATTTATAATTGTAGTTAAAAATCTAAGTTTTTTCCCATTAAACTTCAAAATTTTAAAATTGCTCAAAGACTACTTCCCAATTAATTAACAATACGTTTCCTTTGTTAAAATTTATTTTAATAATAATTCCATCCACGATTGTTTTAAATATTTAAAGAAAGAAACTACAATTAAGTCAAATTTGTTTTATTTTTTAAAATTAATTACTATTTTTTAATTACCTTTGTGGTACATAATAATAAAGTATGTTTCAATTTTAGAATTTATCTTAAGTTTTTTGGTTGAAAAAAGTAGTTTTAGTTTTAATTCAAAGAAGCAAATATTAACATTTTGGCGGTAAAATTAAAATAATTATGTATTAATAATGAATAATTCTATACAATCAATATTTTATGGTTTGGTTGTGATCTTATTTGTTTATATTCACTTGTCAGATAGATTTAAAATCATAAGTTTGGATTTTGGAATAAATAAAATGGAATAATCGGGATTAATATAATGTTTAAGGAAAAGAAGAACATTCTAAAAGTTCATTAAAGCATTGCTATTCTAAAAAGTGATGAATTATCTTACATAAGAAATAAGAACCTCCTTTAAAAAATGTTTTTCTACAGCAATAAGATATCATATTTAACGATTTTCGGTTTTATAATTTCAGCTTGGAAACGGAGTAGAAAATAATTTTTCTTGATTCACCCAACAGTCACGTGGTTTCATTGTGAGGACAAAAATGAGTGAGCTCTATTCTATTTAAACTCTATGGTAAAAACGATGCCATATTTTAAATTCAGCTTTAATTCAAATCTGGATCTTTTATGAAATTTTTTTTAATGAAAATGGGTAACATTTTAATGTTACAAGAGACTGTTTAAGAAAATTTCACAAATTAACAAATTTTGTCAGACTTTTTTTTAAAATTAAACTTCAATCTTAAAACGTTGGAGGTAATTTCTCGTTTTCATATAACTCGCGAACGCAACGATCGATAGGGGGCGTTGTTATTTGAGACGAATGACTGCTATTGCAGAACAACAGGATCATCAATTGCACAGGGGATTTCTTCAGTGTAGCATGGTAACGTTCCGTCTTTATTGTGACTTTTTAAATTTAAAAATGAAAGATGTTTGATATTCTTTCTTATGCAAGCAAATACAAAATGGAATCGCATTTTTGGAGAAGGAACATCCAAAACACATGGGAGAAATATTTGTAAATAAACAGAAAAAAATATGTTTCTTATCTTCATATTAGAATGAAAACCTAATACCTGACAAAAGCTTTTTGACAGCAATTAATTTTCAATAAAAAGTTTCAATAGAAAATCATCATTTATAAGTTAAAAACGTAAAATAAAGATTGTTTTCCACTAATTCGAAATACAAAATTTTCTTATTCAGTTTTTTTCCCTTTTTTTTTTAAGTCTTCAAGTTCGTAATCAGATGTAGAAAATCATTCTGTAGAGAATTATGATGAAATTAGAACAAAAATTATTTACAAGTAATTTCCTTATTATAAAAGTCATAACACTTACCTGCTTTATAAATCCGGAGAATTCCAAAGTGAAATGTTCTTCGTTTGAAAATTTTATTCTCAAATAATCTCTATAGAATGCCTAGGCATTGTATATAATGCCGGATGTTTTTAGGCAAGGTATGAAATATGAGAAGTATTGCATACTTTCCCTTGGCATTGTATATAATACTTAGGCATTCTATAGAATGACAAATGCTATTTAGGCAAAACATGAGGAAAAAAAAACGTCCTGATGAGGTTAGTATGTAAATTATGTGCATGTTACTGTGGTTGAAATCATCGGTGGTTGTTGACTTTCACCGGCGAATGTTGACAATTACACAGTCGCTTTGGTGAATGTCCGAAATATTTATTACATCCGATTTGATATTAATTTATTCGTGGATATAATTACATTTGTTCGATATTTTAATACTTATACTGACGATAGATTAGAAGAAACATCAGTGTTTGGAGTATCGGGCAAATATAGACCGGGCAATGGTACTTGATCTTAAAAAAATATCAGTGTAGGGTATACTGGGCAAATGTATACCGGGCAGTGGCACTGAACTTTAAAAAAACATCAGTGTAGGATACACCGGGCAAATGTATACCGGGGAGTGGCACTTAACTAGACCTAGTATGACTAGACCTTTGGTAAATGTCCGAAATATATAATAGGTCTAGTTAAGTGCCACTGCTCGGTATACATTTCCCCGGTAAATCCTACACTGATATTTTTTAAGGTCAAGTGCCATTGCCCGGTATGTATTTGCCCGATTCTCCAAACACTGATGTTTCTTCTAATCTATCGTCAGTAAGTATTAAAATATCGAATGAATGTAATCTATCTACAGTAAGCATTAAAATATCGAATAAATATAATCTATCGTCAGTAAGTATTAAAATATCGAATAAATGTAATTATATCCACGAATAAATTAATATCAAATCGGATGTAATAAATATTTGGGACATTCGCCATGCCGCGATGTGATTGTTGATATTCACAGGTGAAAGTCTCCAGATTTCGGTCCTTCACAGTAACACGCATTTCTCAAAATTAAAAATGTTATTCTGAAAAAATACTGAGAGTGTCATTAGAAAACATTTATTCAAAGTGTGTAAAGAAAAATAAAAAGTTGTGTAAAACATAATTTATGCCTTTCTTATTAAGGGAAACAAAATTTTCATATAGAAAATAAGAAATTAACCCACTTGTTGCAACATGGCAGGCTTGAATGACGTTTTGAATTTGTCATTTTTGAATGACATCTTGACGAATCGGAGATGTATTTTATACTTTGTCGGTTTCTTATTTGGCATTCTATAGAATGCCTAGGAAATGTGTGAAATATAAATCGTTTCATACACTGCCGGCTAATTTTAGGCATTATATACAATGCCTAGCCATTCTATAGAATGCCGGATTTCAAACTTTGCCGGTAACATATACATAGATTATCTCTTCATTACTTTAAAATGACATACCACACAATAAAATTTTATACTTGTAAGATCTCAATATGAATTTCAATAACTTAAAAGCAATAAGCTTATGTAATTTAAAAATAGAATGGCCGAATTCCAGTTGAAATTAAGCACTCAAAATTAAAAAAATATTTACCAAGAAAGCGATAAAAATGTATTAATTAATATTTAATTTATAATGAATTGAAGATAAAACAAATGTACCCAATGTTTTACCTTAATACACACATCTTTAACAATTTGCGATCACGAAATCGGAAGTTATCGGCTGCAAATTTGTTGATAATGGAAAGGAAAAAATTATGAAAAATTGTTCTTCAAATGTTGGGCGCGTTCTGTTTCCGAATGATTTACCAATATTCTGGATCGTTTCTTCAAGTTCTTCTGCGTTTTTCTTAGCGAAATTTTGCTTCCTATTTGCTGCTGAAAAAAGCGTTTTTTTCTACCAATTATTTTGATAGAACTTAATGAAAACTTAATAAATAAAAGCCTGAAAATATCCTCCCCTCTAGAGGGCGTATTGAAGCTTTGCTATCGCAAATACAAACAGGACTATTAATTTACATTTTAACCAATGATTATAATTACAAAATTTAGTTTTGAAATTTAAGTACATAGTTTAGTTTTGATTTTTAACGGATTTAAATAAGAATTTTTATAAATTAATATTAATGATAGTTCTATTAATTCACTTTCCTTTATTTTCTGAGGGATTATACGAATCTTATGAAAATGAATGATAATGAAAAGATAATTTTGTGCTACAAGTGCATGTTACTTATGAAAGTTAACTTTTTTAGGATAAAGAAGAGATCAATTATGAACCGGAATCTTTATTTCGTGTGGATGAGTTAGGATTTTTCATCTATTGGAAAAGCGTTAGAAATGTAAGTGTATTGTTATCATTGTTTGTTCCGTATATTGTTCAAGTAATATTTTGTGTCCTTGTTTGTATTTTTATGGACAATTGCTCACGATATTAAATACTGTAACTTTCGGAACATAAGTCATCTGTGTTTTAGCAGCGAATATGTTTTAATTTTTCCTAATTTCAGCCAAAATTCAAATAATAATGCTAACTTCTGTAAGAAGAGGTTAGTAGAAGTATAGAATATTTTGATTTATATATTCATTACGAATAAAATATTTAAAAAAATATATATAGTTTTTTTCGTGTAAAGGTCTTATTATAAGTGCTTCATTCTATAATACGCACTATGCGATGAAATTCTGAGCATTATAAGGGAAATTATTCTGGTCGGCAAATTTAATTGCGCCAACTATAGATTAAATAAAATTTTACGCTAAAAAATAAACTTAAATAAAGGGTAAAAATTAAAAAAAATTTCCTTAAAATTCTTTTATTTATTTATGAGTTAGGATCATATCAATATCCATAAAACATTTTGTGAGCTCTATTTTTGAAAATATGCGAAAAACACAGAGATTCAGTAATGTAACAAAGAAAAAAAAAACATCGTTTACTTAAAAGCTGATTTATTCTCTTAAACTCTTATAAACGTCACTTAAGTCTTTCCTCCCCTGAGTTCTTCGATATCACATAATTTTTATACCTTTTGTAAAATAATAATTGCAAAATATTAGACAATGTTTTAATTTTTTGATCGTTATAATACTTGAATTTTTACAATGTAGGTTAAGAAATTTCGGGGTATTTTTCACATATATTTTTTCCGTAAGCTCCTAGTTTACGTTAAATTTCTGTGGCTACTAAAGAGGAGTTTAATAATGTGTTCGTGTTATTTTTTATTTTCGGTGCACGCTTTGATACATTTCTGTTGACAGGTTGGATCCATATGTAAGTGTCGATCTCTAAAATTTCGCTTAAGATAAAGTGCCAAAAATTATCCATTTATTACTTGGAAAGAACGGTAAATGATTTTTTCCCGTTTATTTTTAAATCATTATTAAAGGATTTTCCGAATCATACATTTTTTAAAGAACATAACAATTTTACTCATTTTTATTACAAATTGTGCCATTTTTTAAAATTAAATTACTGTTTAATTATCAAAAATTTTTATGTTTCTTTAATTTTTTAGTATGGTCGAGTATTGGAGCTTTCTCACGTAAATGATATCAGAAGAGGAGGCTTGCCGAAGGTATTTTGACTGAATTAAAAGCTATAATAATAAACTTAGAGCTTAATAATAAGCTATAATAATAAACTTAGATACAAGACCAACATGATAGAAAAAAAACCCTTCCTATTGACTCGCAGGACTATTTATTTGCTTCTTGTAGCAACACTGTAAAAAATAGAAAATCAAATTTTCACGATACTTTCTTCGTTTTTGACGAAACCATTCCTGGTATATACTCCAAGAAAAAATGCCGTCAAAGTGGCAAAATAACTTTTGTCACTTCTTCAAGGAAACGAAAAAAAGCCTTCAACTTCTTTAACTATCATTTTATTATAGGCACTATATAGGTGGATCAACGTCAAGTAAATTGTGCCTATGCGTGAAGTGGTATTCGAACCTGCGATTTCCCTGGCACGAGGCAGACTCCTTGACCACCATACAGACAAGTCGGCTTGTCTTCTTTCTTGTTTTGTTTTTCCAGTTAACAATTTCCCACAACTCACTTCGATGAGGTTTCGAGTTGGGGAAACATTTTCGTCATTCATTTTAGAGTTCGCCAATCGTCACAAACCACGTGACTTCATGACGAAATGATTATAAAAATTAACGAAATACAGCTTAAGGAGCTGAATCGTCAAAAGTAAGAATTTTATTTCTGAGAGTGTGATTGCGATAATGCTTGATTTTTAATTGTTTTTTTAATTACATTTCTAAATAAATTTCGTTCTATCACATATCAACATTGCACTATCATATACACTTTCTATTACCTTTTATTTACTATTTCGGTTTAAATAGTTTTTTTTCATAGAATACCCAGGTATAGCATGTAGTGTCTAAAGACTATTAGAATGCTATTTGATACTTATAATGATTTGTATGATGTATATACGAAGTACGTAAATTAAGTAATGACATGATATTTTACATTTTTTTTCTTCTCCATTCGGATAGAATTGCAGTCCAATATTGACTCATACTCGTATGATCTGGATGATTATTCATATAATGATTTGGATTATACCTATACGAAGTGTGTAAATTAAGTAATGGGATGATGTTTTACATTTTATGGACCCAATATTGTACGGATATTATGTTATTAAATGAGTTCTTGCACTTAAAATTTCAATGATTTCATTTTCATAACAAATGCTAATCATTCTTTACGTTTGTATATAAAGAAAATCTTGTAATTTTACTCGTTTTTACAGAAAATGCCCATTTTTTATGATTTCATGGGTAAGAATAATCATTACGTATTTTTTTATGAGAAAAAAGTTAAATTTGGGAACGTAATGTAAAAGTAATTACTTATTAGAATAAATGATAAATTAAAATAAATTATTACGTTTTAGCTATGCAGTACATTTTAACGAGTCAGAACCTAAATAATAGTATCAATTAAAAATGACAACTAATCCCGGTTTACCCAATTAATTATTTGTGATAAAAAGCTGAATTTTTTTCTGAAGCTTTAAAAAAATTCTTATTGTCATTTGAAAATATTTTAAATGCTTATTGGATGTCATATGTACTTTTTTCATGTATTTAGGATTCTAAATTTATGACAGAATTAATGTCTCGAAATAAGTATAACCTGGATGATGTATCCCTTACCATTTGTAGTGGTACCGATATGGTCAGTATTAACTACACTCACGTTGTCTGTCCTGATCCTGATACAGCTCAGGTAATTATGCATCATTACTATTTTTGAGTCTTATGAGTCTTATAAGTGCATATTCTATTGCTGTTATTTTTATATTGGGCAAAATTAAAACATTTTTTTGTTTGCCAGTGGCCAGTAGTAGTGTTTTTAACAGTGGCGTCTCTGTTTTCCAAAAACGAATATTTCAAAAAAAAGTTTAAAAAAAGTTTTTAAGTAAGAGGCGTGAGCCGTGATGGCTCAGGGGACAGAGCGTTCACCTTCCAATGAGGTGACCGGGTTCGAACCCCGGCGATGGCTGGTCGATACGAATCCGCATCCAGGCTTGCACCAACCACAGTGCTGACGTGAAATATCCTCAGTGGTAGACGGATCATGGGTTAGGGTCCCCTTGCCGTCAGGCTAACTATGGGAGGTCCTCGTGGTCTTAGTCTCCATGTAACGCAAATGCTGGTTAGTTCCATAAAAAAGTTCTCCACGAAGGCAATTTCTCCGTATACTTGATCCAGGAGTTTCCTTGTCTTCTGGATTGGGTTTAAAATTACAAGGCTACGGAGTTGATCATTGGTAGTCGTAAACCCAAAAGTTAGGTTGGCTGTTCAATGACGGTTGTAAAAAAAAAAGAAAAAAAACGGAAAGAAAGAAGTTTTCAGAATGTCATGAAATAATCATAATAATTCCATGTTCATTGAAAAATAATAAAAGATGCATATAATGCATTTGCGACGAACGAAAGAAGTGGCGACGTAGTTGCTATGCGTAGCCAATTTTTTAATCGTAATGTAATATAGTTAGTTGCTCTGTGGCCAGTGACAAGTGTTAATTTTGTCCTATATAGTTTTAATACCAGTAATTTAAACTACCACTATTTTTAAACCTCCTTTTAAAATAAAAATAATATAAATACAATATGTTTTATTTCGATTATCTTAATTTTATCAACTTCAATATATTTGTATTGATTTTAAGTTTATCTTTGCTTTTCTTTTACCAAATCTTCCTATTTACATATTTAGTTATTTCATAGTGATGTACCTTACAATTAATTGATGGTTTTTTGCCATCGTTTGTCAAGTGTAAGTTTGTTGAACTATTTGTACATATTGTTTTCTGGATTGTAAATATGCCTGGCTCTTTTTGAAATCCCCTGACTTTTATAAAATTTGGCATTCTGTTGTTGTTCTCTGTATGGAGGTGGACACCCCTGGCACTACTGTGTCGTACTTTATGTCGGTTCTCTCTCCTGGTGGTTTTGATAAATCATCATTTTCTTCCATTGGAAAGTGTTTAAGTTTCATATATTTTTCACAGTAACTTTTAAAGCTGTACTATTGAAATTTGCATAACTCCTCAAGACTTAATAATGAGTCTTAATAATATGACTGAATATTGATGATTTGGTTATCTAACTTTAACAGCAATTATTTTTTTTAATATACTGATTTCTTTTTTTACTGCAGGCATGGCAAAGTGGGCTAAGAGCTGTGACGAATAATATAAAAGCGAACAATGTTTGTCCAGCTACGTGTCTTAAAAAACAGTAAGTCAATTTTAGAACTCAATCAGCGTATACATTTTGTTAAGACTTCATCTTTTATTGAGAAATCATCCTTTTAAAAGAAATAAAATAATGTTTTATTTAACTTGCTAGAATCTTTCTACACAAACTATGGCAGGAGTATGCTATCTAGAAAAGTAGAAGAGCACACGATCCTACCTTTACTCGCAGCATTGCTTCAATTACTCAAATGTGAAGTGGCTTAAATTGCCCTTTTTGTTTGATGGAGAATTTCTGTTTCGAATTAACAGGCTGACAAATAAATTTCGCCGCTAAATAAATCTTTTCTGCAACATTGACTTGGGAAGTTTATTTAGTGACTTAAATAGAAAGCAAATATTATTTATAAAGGGCTCCACCCGTACTCGCTACTGCTTGATAGCGTACAATTTGTACTGAGTAAACGATGTTAAACATTTATTTAAAAGCGTCGTTAAAGCACCGAATTACCTTCTCATTGCTTTTTACAAGTCTAGATATTAGTGTCATTTTATACATTAACACATAATTTACTTAAAATATGTTTTGGATTGCCCGAATATGTTGATATCACAAACGTTTTATAATTTCTTCTATGCCGGGCAGGTAGCCGAGCAGTCAGTGTGTCTGACTTTGAAGGGAGTGGTTTTTGGGTCCGATTCCGGCTCAAGGCATGGAGGTTTCTCTCTGTATGTTGCCCTCAGATGTGTGAATGTGGTGCACCTTAAGAATTGAATTTGCGGAGTGGGTAACGTTGCTCGCTTGGAAATGAAATAGTATAGAGTTGTTATCAACGAAAATTCTGAATTAAGAATATTACAAAATTTGCACTGTTAGCTATCACATTGCTTTTTAAAAAACCATAGCTGTAAGAACTTTATAGCTGTTAATGAGTCTTAAAGCCAGAAATATTTGTATTCTGAAGTCTGAGAATACCAATTTTTAATTCAATAATATTAAAGTATAAATTAATGCGTAAAGGTAAGTTAATACTAAAGAATTTTCAGGTGCTTTGTAATAAAATTGGTACCGTTTTTATGCATAAACTTAAAAAATTAACTCTACCTTAGCTTTCCCTTAAAATGGCTTTAACGTCTTACAGGCGAACGATGACATATTGAAATAGGCTTTTATCAATACAATTAATTTAATGAGTTCGAAGTAAAGTACGTCATTGAAATTGACCCTTAATTTTGTTTTAAATACCTCAGTCAAATTCATAGTTTTACATAATTCAAATTCATTTCTACATAATTCATATTCATATAAATATATATTTATATAATTCAAATTCATATTTACTTTTTATTTTTTTCAGTTGGATGAAACTTTGCTTTATGGTAGATCCAAACGGAAAAATACCAGTTCGAAGGTAAATTTTTGTTTTAGTTACTCAATTATTTTACTCATAAAAAGCTACAAGAAAGTACTACTTTAAAGATTTACATGTGATTTTTTATTTTGTTTACTCACATTATCAGATTAAGAACGATATAACATACTTCTTATAATATTCACTTATTTATTATATTTTTAACATTTTTGAAGCAATTTCCCTTACAAAGCTCATCCTTCTACATTTTTTTAGTAATAGTTTAATGAAATAACACATAAAATTATCATTTGAAAAATAAATGTAATGAAATTTACGACAGTTCACGTACTCCGGCAATAAAAACACTCATATTTCATGTATGATTTCATATTTTTTGTGCAATTGCTGATATGACTTTGAAATTTATATTCACTGCACTATTATTTTTACTTTCATATATTTCAGAATAGCACAGACATTTGCATCAGGCAAAACAGAAAAATTGGTATATCAATGTCTAGCTGATGTTGGGTTGCCAAGTGGAAAAGTAAGCGAAAATAAAATCATTTCTCGACTTCCAATCACAAGCGAATCTTTTATTTTATAATATATCTTGTAAATATACTATATTATGAAATAATATATTTCAGAGTGATGTTATTGAGCCAGGAGACTTTACAGCAGAGAAATTTAATCAGATCTATCATAAAATTTGCCCAAGAAATGACATTGAAGAACTATTTCAATCAATGTAAGTAATATTAACGTTAGTTTAATTACCCTATATTAATAAAGTCAGAGAAAATCAATCTAGAATCGAAGAAATTATCATTGATGGGTTGGTTTTATTTACATTTTAGTCTTGTGAAAATGAGGAGTCAGTGATATAAAATATAATCGATCAATATGAAAATATCATTTTATGATGATAATATTAAAATATATTTTAAGGGTAAAAACTATTTGCAAATATCTTCTTATGAGAAAAATTGTATGGAAATATTTTCTGAAAATATTAATAAAATGGAAATATTTTCAAATTATGTATTGTTAAAATTTTTTCGATAGTAAAAAGATGTTAAATAGCAATTTTGTTAATTGTTACTTTACCATATTCCACCAAAACTGTTAAATGACCATAAAAAATGATATTCAAACTGTTAAGTGTGAGAAAAAACGTTTATTGATTGTTTTTCCCTAATAACGTTAAACATCTAGAATTCTATCAGCGCCAACTTAGCCTACCTTATAAATCAGGGTTTCTTAACCTGTGGTTCACGGACCCCTTAGGGGTCCATGGGTCATATCTTGGGGGTCCACTGACTACTCCTAATTTTTAAAACGTTTGGATCAATAATATTTAAATAAGATTGATATTTTTTTCTTTCTAAAAGGTGAAAATACATACAGATTTGAAACTAGGTGATCGAGATACCCCAAATTCAGTACGGACTGCACACAGCCCTTTAATATTCCTGTCATATTTTTAACATCCTCCACTAACCGGCTTTCAGTTTGCACCATTAGGGGCAACCCCCTGATGACGTCCGCTATACTATTTTTATTATCCCCTATCAAGCTACGTAAATTTGACACCTTGTTCAGGTTACTAGATCTAGAATTTTTTACTAAGAAGAAAGCTTAGTTTTTGAAATCTGGAACATTGGACAAACTTGGATTTTGTATTCCACAAAAACCTCTGGTTGAGGCATCTCTCAAAGTTGCATATCATATTGCTAAAAGCAAGAAACCGCATTCTATTGGAGAGACGTTAATTAAGCCACGTGCGCTGGAGATGGTTGAATTAGTTTGTAGATTGGAACAGAGAAAAAAAACTTGAGGCAATTCCATTTTCAAACGATGTGACACATTCAAGAATAGTTGAAATTTCTTGTAATATCTTGAAGAAGATCATCGATGAATTGAAAGTATCGCCATTTCCCTTTGGTATGCAACTGGATGAAACTACAGATATCTCGAATTATAGTCAACTTCTTGTTTTTGTTCGTTACGTGTCTCTTGATACTATCAAAGAAGAATTTTTATTTTGTGAGTCTTTTTTGCAAACTACAAAGGCAGTTGATGTTTTAGCAATGTTAAATGTTTTCTTTACCAAACAAGACTTCGGCTGGAAAGAAAAACTTCATTCACTTCGTACAGATGGAGCACCTGTGATGCTTGGCAATAAATCTGGTTTTGCCCTGTTGGTAAAAAAAAAGTCTCCTAATGTTCTTGTTACTCATTGTTTTTTACATAAACATGCGCTGGCTACAAAAACTCTTCCAACCAGCTTAAAAGAAGCATTATCAAAAGTTATTAAAACTGTAAATTTTATTAGACGTAGAGCTCTTAATCATCGTCTCTTTAAAACGCTGTGTCAAGAAATGGACGCAGAACATGAGGTACTTCTGTACCACACGGAATTGCGCTGGCTGTCACGAGGGCAGGTTTTGAAACAATTTTTCATGTTGAAGATCGAATTATCACTTGTTCTAGAAGAAAAAGATAACTCATTCTTCGAATATTTAAACAAAAAAGATTTTACCTATAAATTGGCTTACCTGGCAGATAATTTTAACCACATGAACAATATAAGTCTTTTAATTCAAGGACCCGATATCACCATTATGGATGCAACTGAGAAATTACAAGCATTCTAATTGAAGATGCCACTTTGAAAAAAATAGAATTCAAAATGAGATATATGCAAACTTTTAAATGTTGGACGAAGTGCTTTCTGAAAATGGATCTTGGCAAGATAATTTGTTACTGAATAACTTAAAAAATGAAATCTGTGAACACCTGGAAGTACTTCAAGTTTCATTGAAAAAATATTTTAATTTAGATGAGATAAAGATAAAAGATGAGTTGTGGATTCGTCATCCTTTTCTTTGTGATATTGACTGTATCGATGATATGAACCTTGCCAAAGATGAGCTTATTGATCTTAGAACAAAGTCCTTGCTAAAAATGGATTTCGATTCAAAAACACTCGGAGAGTTCTGGTCTTCTGTGAAAGAAGCCTACCCATTGCTTGTAAAGCGAGCTATTTCAGCTATAATTCCGTTAGCTACAGTGTATCTTAACGAAGCCGGACTTTCCACAGTTGTGACAATAAAAACAAAACATCGTTATCGATTGAATGTTGAACATGTTATGCTCGTTGCTTTGTCGAAAACCATCCCTCTATTCAATTTATTAATTAAGGAAAAGCAGCAACAACCTTCAGACTAAAAATTTTAATTTTAAATATTTTGTATACTATTGAAATAATAAAATTAAATGCTAAAATAAATTAAATACTAAAAATTGATGTTTTTTGCAAATTTTTTTCTCAGGGGGGTGGTCCGTGACTTAAAATTTTTTAAAAGGGGTCCATTGTATCAAAAAGGTTAAGAAACACTGTTATAAATCTATTTTGTTCCGAGTAGTTGGGTAAATAAGTAGCTGAGAAGGATAATCGGTCAATCTCATAACCGGCTGACCGGGGGTTCGAATTCCAGGCTTGATACCACAATATTTCTTCCATTCCTTTAATACATGAAAAGTTTTTAGTGTCATGTACTCTTCACTCAATTACCCTAAATTGGGTCGGCTGTTCAGTGACGGTTATTAAATAATATGAAATAAAATCAGTTAGCCGAGACTATTAGAAACGAAACTGTCATTCGCTCATAAATGCATGTGGTGCAGCGCCGACAGAGCTCCAATGTCCGTTTAAGTTTCATTTTAGAAACTGTGTTAGTTGTAAATGGTTACACAACCGTTCAGATAGGTTTTTCGGTTTTTCAACCGTACCAGTTTTAAACGGTTTTAAAACTGTAAAAGTAAAAAAATGTTCCCAACCATAAACTTTATGGTTAATTAGATGAACAGACTGCTGCCGGTTATGCCACCATAGTTTCTGAATGAAAATTATAGCAGTGTAATAGTATTAAGAAAATATATTCTGATGATAAAAATATCATAAAAATATCTTCAATGTTTACAACGATTTCAATAATATTCTTGCGTTTTGTCTTTATTTTTAAGTTTTTTATTCTTAAGCAAAAAATATAGGGAATATTATTTTTAATACTATCTTCAATAAAAACATTCTCTACCCGAGAAAAATATTTTGTTACAATTTTTAAGCGAAATAGAAAAAAAATGAAAAAGAGTTAATAATCGTATGATTTTGAAAAATAAGCAGCGTTTGTAGAATGAAGGCAAAAATTAATTTTATATTCTTTCATTTAGAACGCAGGGAAAAGTTGAAACAATCAACATTCAGCAACTAGTCACATTTTTAAATGATGTAAGTATTACAACAATTCATTTCCTTTAATCCTTAACTATCAAAAGCTACTTCTAAGGTTACATTTTTAAAAACGAAATAACCTTCAACTGATATCGATAATGTCTTATTCCAGGTGTTTCAGATATTGTAAAAAAATTAAACACTTAGTGATGTCACATTTAAGTGGTCAAAAAATTCAATCATCGAAATTTAAATTGTAAAAGAAAAATATATATAATATTAAATATTTACTTCATTTTTCTAATTTGATTTGATTATGTAATTTTATTTAATATAATTATATTAAACTAGCTGCCTTGGGTGACCAGCTAGGTCACCTTTTAAAATTATCTTGCACAAATTATAAAATTTAATAATTACAAAGCCGAATGCACAGCACAATTGTGTTTAAATATTCTAGCCCTTCCACCCTTCCCCAAGTAATCTGTAAGTCCTTAATTAGTTTTAAACAATATATCAACTAAATTTTTTCTCCGTCTAGCTATGGCCCGAAGCTTTGCCCGAATGGGAGTATTGCTATTGCAAAACTTTAACTATTTTCAAGAGATGTCCCTGATATTGTCAAAGTTATCCATGTATTGAATTTTAGTAAACATTTAAAATATGTCCGGCAGCCACTAAATCAGACAAACCATCGGGAAAAAGAGTTCGGTGAATTTTAGTAATAATTTTCAAATTATCAGGTAGCCATTAAATCAGACAAACCATCGTAAATATCAGTTTGGAGCATTTAAGCATAATAGGCAATATAAATATTAAAATTATTTATTTCTCTGTCGTGATATAAGATTGAAAACTCATTCCACTGTTCCATTACGCACTGATTTACTTCCTCAAGCATCTCTCGAACAATAATTTCAGTATCGTACAGTATATATAAGCTATTGCTCGGAAAAAGGCAAACCCCATCACCAATAATTGTTACGACCATAGCATCGTTTATGCTTAAAATTACTATATCCATTTTAGAAAGGATAAAAAAAATCTGAATAATTACTTCGTTACTAAGTTTTTATTTCTATGCAAGAGAACAAAATTATTCTGAATAAATACTTAACGTACATCTAACTCTTCAACACCACATAAATTAATACTAAAGGAAACCTAACAAGATGAATCTAAATAAATACTTAACATACAACTGATTTTTTAACACTACTTAAACTATTACTTAGAAGACAACTAAACAAAAGGAATTATAACTGTGTTGCAAAAAATAGCGAAATAACTTAATTTATGGTGTCACATAAGAAATATAGATCAGAATAGATATTCATCTCTGGGTTTCTCTTAATCTTAAATTAAAATCATTATGCTTATTTTATCTAAATATATACTTTTAACAATTTAAAATTAGTAAAATGTCGTTTAACAGTAAATATTTATAAAATTAATATTAGCTATTTATTAAATTACTTAAAGCGGAAATTTTTCTTAATTGATGTAGTTGTGATTTGAGTTTTTATATGAATTATTTATGTCTTCTAGCGTCAAAGAGATCCTCGATTGAATGAAATTTTGTGTCCAAAATATAATGAAAAGCGAGCAGGCGAAATTCTTGGAGTTTATGAGCAAGATGAACTGTTAGTCAAAGAAGGTGTCATTATCTACTATTTAGTATATATGAGTCTTTTAATTGAGAAAATTTTTATAATTTCTTTCGATAGTTTTCATCTGATTTATTTAAAACTTAGTAACAGCGTTTGTCAACTTAATTTCAGCACTAATTTTTTTTTAAAAATTAATTAAACTTTGCACATTTTGTAAGCTTTTTAAGGGATTTTTCAGAAATATTTATAATATAGACTTTTTATAAAATCAATGTGTACTTTTATAGCTTTTGAAAATGTCTGTGTTCAACATTTAAATAATAAAAAATGATTGGTCTGGATAGCCTGGTTGATAAGACGTTTGGCTCGTGGGACGTGAGAATGGAAGTTCGAATCCCGATGCCGAAGAATCCCTGTGTATTAAATGGTGACTGGTGCACATTAAAATCTGTCGGCGTTACAACGTCCTCCGAGTTCCCATAACAAATCAATACCTCTGGGGGAACTGATTTGGGGATTGATCGTTTTCCTGGCTCAGGTCAAAAATGATCTGTGGATAAATAAATGGAGTATGATAAATGGGGTTGCAGTCGTATTCTTGGTAATAGATGGCGCCACTGAAAAAACGAGAAATGCCGCCTCTGACTTAAAAAAATTAGCTTGATTCCAAGTAGGCTTGTTGATTGGCAAGTAGCATCAGTAACAGCAATAACAATAAAACAATGATATTGATAAAAAAAAAATCTTTTGCGCTTTCGAAAACTATAGCAGTTATATGTTAAATTCGCTAATTAGTAAGAGTAGAGGATATTTAAGCTACGAAAGCAGACACAAAAATGTACTTTCTCCGAATAAACAACTCTGGTAAAATACGAAATTTGAACGAAATCGGTCGAATAGTTCCTGATAAATCGAATTTTGAAAAAAATCATACATTTCAAATTTGATTTCTGAAGAATTGATCATTAGATATAAAGTTATTTAGGGGAATTCGTTTTTTATTTTGCGCACTGTACATGAGATGAGAAGTGTCAGTGATAATACGCTGCGTTTTGAGGTTCATGTTACAATAACGTCAAGTTCTGAAACTAATTGTTTTCAAAATCACATGAAGTTAATTTTACTTCATTAGTAAATGAGAAGATCAACGCGATCAATTATTGAATAATTGTATGCATAATATATATTTTTCTGTAATGTGCTTAATTGTTATAATTTTTCTCTTATTTTTGGTAGGAAAAATGAGCAAAGATGGTTTTGTTCGTTATCTAATGTCCGATGAAAACGCCCCAGTATTTTTAGATAGATTAGACATTTACATGGAGATGGATCAACCTCTTGCCCATTATTACATTAATTCCTCTCACAATACTTATCTCTCAGGACGACAATTTGGCGGGAAATCTTCTGTTGAAATGTATCGCCAAGTTCTTTTAGCCGGTTGCAGGTAAAATTCACCCCCTTTTTTTATTTATAATTATAACATTATTTATTTTCGTTTGTAAAAATTGGAGAATACATCTAACTCTCTAAGAATGTCTCTATTCAAAACAAGTATTCCGTAGTCATGAAATGCATAGTTTTTGAAATGAACGCCATGTCAATATTTAGGAAACTTGTTTTATCCCAACTTATCTCATAAGACATCTTTATAATCTTCATGGCCACTATAAAATATTAATAATATAAAGCTGTAAGCTAATTTTTTGTTCTTTTCATTTCATAACCAGTGTGGAACAGTTTTAGAATTACGACTATCATGTTTAATTCCATAATCCTATAAATTTAAACCCAACCTAGAAGACTAGGAAACATTTGGATCAACCATTAAGATAAAATATCCTTCGTGGAAGGTTTTTTGATGGAACTAACCCTCATATGTGTGACAAGGAGAGAAAAACCACGCCAACCTCCTGGGGGCAAAGGGTCATGATCCGCTGAGGTTATTTTACTTCAGCACTGTGGTTGACATGAGTTGGGAGTAGAATTCGTATCGTCCAGACATCGCAGGGAATTGGGCTCATTGGTTGCTTGCAAATATAGCCACGAATTCGTCAATGCACAAGGCTGATAAGAAAAGTAATCACTATTTTCTCTATCTCATGGTATTCTAGATTTTTAGAATCAACCCATATTTGCTTTTAGAATCATTAAAAATGTATCAATATTTTTTTAATAGGCCGGAATTATTTTAGGCATATTACCATGAATATTGTCTTAATATCACCATTTTGAAGTAAGACGTATAGTGAATCATACTAACTCAGCAATGAATGATATGTTTTCTCATTAGTTAGAAATTATTTGAGGTAATAGTGAATGACCTGAAATTAAACAGGCTGATTGAGTGAGTGATAGGTTTTCTTACTAGCTTAAAACTTTCTTGGTTCATAACTATGAGCCCAAAAAAGATGCCCGATGACATTCATCCGAAAATGTAGTCTAGGAACAGTTAGTCTAAAACTTGTTCGGCTGATTAGAAAATAATGGAGACTTCTTTTTTAATTTGACAGGCTCATTGGAAATATCAGCAAAGGGTTTGATTTCCCCATTACTCAATGGCATAAATATAATGATTTCACGGTGACTGCAATTTTTTCAAACTTCGTGGTTGGGCCGGGATAGCCTATTTGGTAGGGCACTGGGTCCATGTTCAAGAGTTCGCGTGTTCGTTCCTAGGCCGGTCGAAGACGTAGTAAATGATGACTGATGCACGTTACATCTGTCGAGTCGCAAAGTCCTCCATGTTCCCATAGCAAATCAATACCTCTGGGGGTACTGATGCAGGAGTTTCCTTGTCTTTTGCATTGGTCCAAAATTACAAGGCTACAGAGTTGAACATTAGTAGTCGTAAGCCCAAAATTGGGTCGGCTGTGCAATGACGGACATAAAATAAAATTAAAAAAAAACCTAGTGTTTGAAAAAAAAAAGATTTAGTCACTCAAAAATTATTATATTTATGCCATTTTTTTTCTTCAAACTTAATGGTTGGAGGCCGGGATAGCCTGGCTGGTAGGGCACTGGACGTATGTCAAACAGCTCGTGCGTTCGATCCCCTCCAACCAAAGGTTAATTTTCGGGTCACAAAGTACTCCATGTTTCCATAACAAATCATACCTTTGTGGGCACTGATCCAGGAGTTTACTTGTCTTCTGGATTGCGTTCAAAATTACAAGCCTACGGAGTTGATCATTAGTAGTTGAAAACCCAAAAATTAGGTCGGCTGTTGATCGGAGGTTATAAAATAAAATAAAACTTAGAGGTTGAGCCGTGTTGGATCAGGGGATAGAGCGTGAAGTGAACCGGGTTCGAATATCAGCGACGGCTGGTCGATACGAATTCCGTACTCGGGTTGCACCGACCACAGTGCTGACATAAAATATCCTCAGCGGTAAATGGATCATGGTTTAGAGCAGTGGTGCGCAAACTTTTTTCGACTGCGACCCCTTTTGTAGAGAGAAAATTTTTGGCGACCCCTAGAGATAAATGTTCACAAATACGATGTATATTTCGAGCATTTCTTTCGTTTCATCGAATAAAAACATCATCATATTTGACTCATATTAATTTTATTTATAATTTTAAGAAAATACTTTTTGTATAACACAAAAATCAGTAAATTGCCCTTTAATGAGATGTATGTGGCTGCAAGTTTCTAATTATCTCATCGATGTTTGGATGTATGTTGTTAATTGCAATTCGCATATCATCTTCAGGGTTTAAACGCGAGCGGTATTTTGTTTTTATTGAAACTAGTTTGCTAAATCCAGTTTCACATAAATACGTTGAAGCAAATTGTATTAACACTCTGATGGCATTCCTGCATAAAATGGGATATTGTTTTTCCACGGATAGACAAAATTTTTTGTCAAGGCTGAGTCTTAATTTGATTTCGACTCAGTAGTTCTCACTAATTTGAAGAGTTGAACTGCATATGTCAAAGGAAAATGGATCACGAATCCAACCATGATTTTCAGGGGAATCCTCGAATCTTCTCGAAAAATTTTTCTTTAACTTTTCAATGTGATTGGAAATGATGTTTTTAAATGTAAATATATCTATATTATTTTCCTTGATAAAATCGTTAAAGCAAGGGAACATGGTGGTGTTGTTTTTATTCAGTTCAGTTTGCCAGAGACTAAACTTATTCTTAAAAGCTTGAATTTTACTGGCTGTAGTTATGATAGTTGAATTCTCACTCTGCAAGCTCAAATTTAAGTCGTTAAGTTTTTCGAAAATATCAACTAAATAGCTCAGCTTCCCTAGCCAAACTTCATTGATATAATAACTTGCCAATCTATGTTTCTTTTCGATTTAGAACATGTACACTTCATTTCTCAAATCAAATATCCGTCGTAGTATTTTCCCACGTGAAAGCCATCTGACTTCGGTGTGTAACAGTAATTTCTCATACGTTGAGCCCATCTCATTGCAAAGTATTGAAAAGAGACGGCTGTTGTGGCTGTTGCATTTAATGTAGTTAATTGAACTAACAGCGTCTTGTAATACGTTGTGCAACTCTTCATCCATATCTTTTGCAACAAGAGCTTGCCGATGAATCATACAGTGATTAAATACCATATGAGGCGCCACCTTCTGAATTAAGCCTCTGAGCCCTTTATTCGAACCTGTTAATGCTGCAGCACCATCAGTACAAACCGCAACACAGTTTGCCCAGGTAAGGGACTTTGTTTCAAAATATTCATTTATTACTTCGAATATTTTTTCTCCAGTTGTTTTTCCTTCCAAACTTTTGCAACATAAAAACGTTTCTGTTATATCTTCATTAAAAATAAACCTAACGTAAATAATTAGTTGTGACATTTTAGTAATATCGGTAGTCTCGTCCAGTTGTAAAGCAAATACAGATGAATTTTGTATGCGTTTTATGACTTCTGACTCGATATTTCGTGACATTTCGGAAATCCAATTGCAATTAAACAGTGAGTGATGGCGCTTCACTCTTTATATGTACACTGTATGGTATGCAGCATGCAGGGATAATGCATTTCATAAAAATTTGGCGACCCCCAAAAAACTTCTGGCGACCCCCACAGGGGTCGCGACCCCTAGTTTGCGCACCACTGGTTTAGAGTCCCCTTGCAGCCCGGCGAACAGTGGAAGGTTTTGTAGTTTTCCTCTCCATGTAATGCAAATGCTGGTCAGTTTCATCCATAAGTCCTCCATGAAGACAAATTTCTCCAAATGCTCGATCTAGGAGTTCCCTTGTCTACTGGATTGGGTTCAAAATTGCAAGGATTGTCGTGACATAGATTGTCGTAAACCCAAAATTGCGTCAGCTGTTCAACGACGATTATGAAGTAAAATAAAACTTAGTTGTTACTAAAAATGAAATACAAAAAAATCCCCACTTTTTTCATGAAGGTACTTTTTGTCTTTCAGGAAAATTGCTCAAATACAGAACAGTAACAGACAAAAGCAATAAACTGCAGTGTTTATCGAAAATTAAAAAGTGGAAGCCAATTGAGAGATACTTTATCAAAATATTGAATTTTTAACTTTCACTCTATTTTAACAACAACACGATCGTCCGATTTTGGAACTAATTGTAATAATTGAAGTAGTTAATGTGTTAAGTAATCAATCTATCGTAGTTTACCCCAAAATTGATGAATAATTGCGTAATTCTCTTATAACATTTTTTTAATTTCTGACAGTAAATTTCATCTACTGAGAATGGATAAGAAAAAGTTAAAACTAATTTATAGAAACGTTTTCGATCAAAAAAATTGCTTACTTTCCTGTAAAAGTAGAATGAGTTACAAGAAGAAAGAAAAGAAAAAGCTAAATGAACTATAAATCGAATTAAAACTCTATTATAAATATTTTTTATTTGTATTTTTTGAAACTGAGAACGATGAGTCATCCTAGCGTAATCACGTGATTATTTCTGTAGGTGTTTAGAATTGGATTGTTGGGATGGTAAAGGAGAAGACGAAGAACCTATAATTACCCATGGTAAAGCTATGTGTACAGACATTCTCTTCAAGGTATTAATTTGTATTAATTAAACTTTTACCATACATTTTCGATAATGAAATATGTAGATTTTGAAATTATGATACAATATATATGCCATCTTTTCATAGCCACGGAACTCACAATTTCGAGTTGTTTCAGTGATCTTATAATTTGTTTTTCTATCAGATTTAGTTTACAATATTTTTAGATTAGATGAGCTGGAGTTATGTAATGTCATTTGCGTTTAGCGAATGTAGCCTGTACCTGGTCTAATGATATTAAATTCAATTTTCATTTTAATTCCTGTTATAATGTTACATGATATATGCGTATTTTTTTAAAAAAAAGTGACATGCAAGTAAATTAGGGACATAAAAATACAAACACATTTGTATCAACAACAGTTTCAATAACTCATTCTATATAACTCTATGTTTAAAGAGACTTTGTATGTGTAAGACGTAGCTTTCAAAACGAAACAATTCAATCATTTATTTCAGAATATTTTTGTAAGGCTTCATTGAGTCTTGGTCAACAAAAGGAAGTTTTCTCACTTGAGTTGTATCTTTCACTGACAAGAGTTTTTTGTTTCGTTAAACTTTTCCTGGATGTTAAATAATCTTGAATTCTGAAGTGTTTCTGCTCACTTTTGTATCACAAATTACAATCAGTCTTAATTAGTATTAGTTATTTACCTTGAATTTTGTAGTTTTTATATTGTAAATTATGACCGATAGGACTGTGTAAAGGGCAGGGAACTGGCTTTGCATCAGAAAGGTTCAGGGTTCGAATCCCCGGCAAGACATGGATGCTCTTTCATTCTCTGTACTATCTGTCCTTACTGTGGTAGCAACGTTGGCCCACTTAATATGGTGCCTCTGAAAGAGTTGCCAACAAGTCTGCCCTGTAAATGTCTGAATTGATGAAATGTTAACACAAGTAGGCATTGGAAATAAAAAAATAGCGTAAGTTATAAATGGACTTCTAAAGATTAAAATATAGCAAATTCTTTATTTAGAGATAATTTTTTTTTCATTCTTAAGTACAAAATAAAAACATCAGATATCACTGATTAAGAAAAATACTTTAATTAATTAGTAGCTAGATTGATGTCAGTGTTCGGGATTAAGTAAGTGTCTGGTGGGGAGAAAATCGGAAATGTCAAATAAAAAAGAAATTTTTTAATTTGACAGCAGAACAACATATGGATAAAAAAGAAGGTTTGAAGCATGGTTCTGATCGATGCGTCAGAGTAAAAAATAAAATAATTATAGCATTGAATTATAGCATATAATTATAGCACTGGACAAAATTCTCTCTTTTAATTCATAGGATGTAATTTACGCTATAAGGGACTGTGCTTTTGTTACTTCTGAATATCCAATTATTTTGTCTTTTGAAAACCATTGCTGGTAAGTGCATTTTTGTCAAATTTTTGTTACGTTTACAATATAGACATCATTAGAATGTAGTTCACAGACGATAAAATTGTATATATCTCTAACTGAACAGAGTTTTCAAGTAGTTTAAAATTATTAATATGAACTCAAGTACCTAATGATATTTGATGAAATAGTGTTGAAGCAGTTTGGCATTCTAGCTAATAGGCATGTTCGCGCCAGTGTGAAGTCTTATAAGACTTTTTAAATTCTAATTTTCTTTCAGATAATAATCAACAATTTATTTTTTACTCGTAATAGTTTTGTTTTTCTCAACCATTAGGGCACCTTCTTGCTATCGGTCGACAAACTTCAAAAGTGTACTTTATTTTAGATTGCTTCGCTAATTTTTTTCTCTTTAATCTTATTTAAGACAGACGTTTTTATACTTTAAAATATTTTATAGTTTATTTCAATTATTTTAGAGGTTACGCCTTATTCTTGTTCTCATTTACCAATCATTGAGCTTTCTCATTAAAATAATCCCTAACACTTCTTCTTTAAGTGAAAGGAGAAAATTTGGCTATGATTCTTTTCAAAAGATGGAAAAAAATAGAATTTTTTCTTAGCTTCTTTGCGTTTTATGGAGAAAAAAAACCTTTAAAGCTTTACAATTCTCTTAAAAACCTATAAAATTTTTTTTAAAGAAAGCGACTTTTTTTTATCGTCTGTTATTAGAATACGTAGCCGAAAAAAAACTGAAACCTGTGTTCACTTTACATTAAAAAATCCAAAACTTCTCAATACAAACTATTTAAATACTCAAAATCTAAATCGAAATATAAAACAAAATGAGACGTCCTATTCATTTCCAGACCTAAGAAGTCTGGTGATCTAAAAAATTATAATTCCCCAGCGAACAAATTTCATTTAACTGAATTACATTGTGTAGGAAAGATCTTCAATTTTGTCCATAAAATAACTAAAACATTAATGACCACATCAACATTTTAAATCAGAATGTTATATAAACCTTTCTTTAGAAGCGCATTTATACAGTTTCCTCCTCATCCGTCGCATTTATATTGTTTCATCCATCATGTCTGAAGTTTTTGGCGACGGCGCACAGTGGGACAAAATCAGAAAAATGCGGTCAAAATTAGAAAATTAACTTCAATGTTCTAGAAATTGATCACCTATAGGTTTTTTTGGTCACTGATTTCAAATATGAAGTCAAAATTTCAAAAAAACAAAATGGCGGATCCNATTTACCTTTGTATTGGAATGTGTACAATTTCAATTCCGTGTCAAGCCAATCTTTATTTTTCTGGAGAAATAAATCTTTCTTGCGAGTGCATTTTTGCCACTTATTTTTAATAGTTGCATATATTTTTCTTAATTCTGATTTTTGCTGGCCATTCAAACTTTCAATATTAAACAACACTGCAACCGACTTATCAGCATTTTCGTATCGTTGTTGGGTCCAATTAGCATTACTTTCAATGAGAAATTCGAAAATTTGGCGTTTATATATTTTTGATGCCATCTTAAAAAAAATAATAAATATTTCAGAGAATAAGTTGCTATTTCATTACAGAGCATTTAATTTTGATATTTAATATAAGAAATATAAAAATGCCTACCGCAAATCACTAGCATAACTTGAAATTCACTCCGTTTAGAATGAAAAATGATAGTCGAAACACAATGAATGTGAAAATATTGAAAGCACTCCACTGACCTTGACGAAAAATGAATAATTTTTAAATCCGAAATTGTAGATTGTTCCTTTACATTTTGAGACTAAATATAATTACAAAATATGTAGTGCTGGCACCATTGTCATAAGGTTTGATTTAAGCAGCAATTTTAAAAAAATGACAAGATTGTTCAGCCATGTAGATATAAGAAAATCTTTATTATAAAAATGACGCGAACGATAAAAATCGATATATCAGCCAAATTCGCAAATATTCGCAGCTAATTTTTTTTTAGTTCTTGAGTATATATACCAAACAAATGTACAAAATTTTTTTTTTACCTCGGCAACGTAAGGCTTTTTTTATAGAGCACCCTAAAGTTGCAATTTCATTGTACAGAGCAGAAATAGGAAAATGGCTCTGATTTTAATAGTATTTATATAAAATAATGAATTAATATATATCTTAGAAATACATTTATGTATAAATCATGCATAGTTTTAATATTTTTATTTACTATAAGGAGTTACCATATTAATAAGAATTTAACTGAAAACTTTAATTTTTTTTATTTCGACTTTGTTTCCATTTAAATGCTATTTCCATTAATAAACCAAAAAAATAAAATACACCGTCTTATTCCTTGGACATTTTACTACAAAAAACCATATTGAGATTTTTTTTTCTTATAACTTCATTTTTTTTATTTTTGACCGCGAAAAAAGACTTTTGTTCCACAGTGCGGCGCCAGTGATGACCAGGGCAGTTACTTTTTTTTGTTTGTATTTTTATATTACATAAAATGTTTCTTAAAATTGCACCATTCAAGTTAAAATTTTCTTTTTCTTTAATGAAATATTAAGGTCTCACCGAAGTTTTAATAAGTAAGAATTTTCAACTTACCCCCAAGGTATTTGGCGAATTTTTTCACCTACCGGTAAGTTAGTATAGCTGGAGCAGTTTTTACTATTTTTTTTAATAAATTTAACATTAATTTTTAAATGTTTTCCATCGTTTTATTTTAGCAAACTATTTTTAGCAGCAATAGTAATATTTCGCGTAAGTATAACAGAAAAACTAGATGACTCAAAAACGAAAATAAATTCTAATTAGTTCTGTTCTTAATTTATTAGTTTCGCGATTTCCTCATGTAGCTGGATAGTCAGATCAAAGAAGGGAAAAATACAGACTCTGATTTTTTTCTGTAGAAAAACCCTAATAAATTATAAAAAAATTCTTAAATATCCCCAAATTACTAGTTATTTTTAATAAACATAATCATTAAAAGCATTGCCACATAGTTTATATTGAGAATTCATACTGAAATATGACTTACTTTTGGCACAAAGAACACGAATTCCGAACTTTCAGCACTAGTTTTATTCTCCAAGTTTGTTGATATACATAAAAATGCAGTTTTAAATATTTAAAGTAAATTTATATTATTATTATTGATATATTTTGGTTGATATAACGTATATCGAAATATATTATTGTAGCAAAAAACAACAATACAAACTTGCTAAGTATTGCGATGATATATTTGGGGATCTACTTCTAAAAGAACCTATACCTGGTTTTCCGGTAAGTTACTTTTTATTTTTACTTATTAGAAAGATTTAGGAATTTCATTTTACATCCCACATGTTAACATACGAATGTTCTAAGCAGAGCAGTTACAATAGGTAGCGTGAAACATGTTACGTGAAAATATAAAATTTTTTAAATGTTTTTTCCCATCAAATATAGATTACGGGACAACTTATGGTCACGTGACTTTTCGATTTGAATTTATTCCAATACATTTACGTTTTTTTTTTTAGTGTAAAAGTTTAAAAAATAACAAATTTTATTCTTCATTTGATTCAAATGATTTTATTCACCACGACATACGTAATTAAAAATATAAGTAAGAACCCTGAAAATGGTACAATAGAGTTGGTAGGTGCTGGTGTGACTAAAGAAATTGCAAATTACTTTTGTGCTTCTGCTCTACATTTTCATTATCCCTGTGAAAAATCTGCAGCAAAAATCAAAAAAGTGGCGGTTATATATGCCAGTACATTAAAAATATATACAAGAGTACTAAACTTTCACTTTCTTTGTAATTTTTATTTTAAATTTGGGGATAAATTACGAGATTTAGCTGAGCGGCTTTTTATTTAAAAAGATAAATATAAAAAGTCGCTCGTGGTGGTAGATCAATTATTTAATTTTTAGAGTTTATTTCTTAGGCACAAGAAAATCTTATTCACCATTATATATTCAGAGCATAAATGTCATTCTTTTAATCTAAAATCATGTGCATGCGATTTTTTTTAAAGTTAAAATAGTCGCAATTACTAGAAAATATGTGTTTAATTAGAGCACGTGTGTCATAGTACCTAATTGTTTTCTAAAAGAGCTTTGACGTAGATAAAAAAAAAGGATAAATTTCCACCCTTTTGCGGGAAATAGAATTACTACGCCATATTAATTAGTCAATTCATATCTATAAGATATTTCAATGTAGATCATGTTTTTTTCCTTCGTTATTTTATACAGTCGTATTACGATATTAAAATTTTTTTCTCTTGCTTATTTCAGTTCTTGAATTTTCCTTCTTCTGTTAGTAGTTTTTATTAAATTAATATTGTGATTAATTTTTGTCAGTTAGAACCTGGAAAGCTACTTCCAAGTCCTAATGATTTGAAACGAAAAATTCTCATTAAAAATAAGCGACTGAAGCCAGAAGTTGAAAAACGTGAGTATTTTACAATTACATTTAAAGTAATCGACATTTTAGTTTACTTTTTTTTGTAACAACACATAATTTGATTTGTTAAATTGGATGAAAAATAAACTAGAACGAACTTTCATTCTGGCGTATTTAACTTTCGGTTGTCTATTTGTTTCAGAATTTTTGTTTGAGATGTTTTCCGTGTTATCTCATTGAAATTTAGTTTTTGAAGCTAAGATTGTAACGATTAGCCTTTCGTTTAAGTGTTAGGTGTAAAATCTTGAGGTGACTTGAAACATGAAGTTTGTCATAAAAAACCTTGATCTTGATTCTTGACTCAACTGAGCAAGCTCTTTATTTCAAATTTTATTAGTCTGTGCTTTTTTTATGTGTTAGTTAGTACAAAAAAGCAACTTGCAAATCTAAAATTTTTTTTTGCAAAAAAAAAAGAAAGATTAAAGTGATTAAAAAAATGATAAAAGTTGGAAGTAAAATTTAAACATAAAAAAAAAATCAGAATCATGTGATTAGAATTATTAAACGTTTGCGAGATATCTTTTTTTAAAAGAGAAAACTAACTCTAAAGAGGAAGAAGAAAGAATTAACCATCTAACAAATGGCTCGATATGGGAACACTAGATATATACTGTTAATCAATAACTTGGACATTCAGTATATGTAATATTTCTGAGATAACGATCTATTGTAGTTTGAAATGCTGACTCATATTTCAATTTTAAAAAATTGTTCTTATCGTTGTAAAATAACTACAATTAATCTCCTTAAAGATCTCTAAATTATGAAATGTTTAAATAATGCGTATTCCACTTATGTTTGTGTATTAACATGATTTTATATAAAAATTTGTTTTCTTTTCCTTGCAAACGTACTGAATAGAGGAATTAGAATTGTTTTTGAGAGGTCAATTGGGAAATGAGGAAGATGATGACGACACAGACGCTGCAACCAACAACACAGGAACCGCCCAAACTCCCTCTGAAGGTATTTTTTTCTAAACAAGAAGCAAATTAATTTATATTTGAATAATTTAACAGAACTATTTCTTGAATACTATGTGTTTAAAACTGTCATAGCTCATAATTTGCTTAAAATAATATTTATTTTTGGTTAAAAGCAATATTTGAGTAATTGTTTTTCTTCAAACAAGCAGTTATTGAAATATTGCAACATATAAATATGTTATTTAAGCTAATCAGGCTCAAATTTATTATTATTATTTTTTTTAAGAGGGTTATATTTCTTGGACATTTAGAATGGTAACAAGTCTAATGCTTTATTATTTTACTTTTTATATTTAACTATTTGGATATTTTTTGTGATTTTGATCAATACTGTTAATAAAAATTTATACAAATATATCCGATACCCAATAATCATGAAATGAAGTTTTCAAGGGCCAGCAAAATCAAACAAATTAAGTTTACCTTAATTATTATTTTATTTCCGTCTAAAATATAGTAGGGAGGTAAGACTTCCGAGTAGTTTATGACTAATCTACTTTTTAATATTGATACGAATGACTTAATTTTTTGTTGACGAGCTTTGCAATATTTTTTAAAGGACTGTCTTATATATTCTAAAGTATTACATCATTTTGACATTAGGGTTGCTCGAAAAGTAATTTCGTTTATTCACAACGGAGGAATTAATTTTATTTTTTCACAACCTGCTTCACACTTAAGCTTGCATATCGTTATATATTTTGAGAGCTAATTTAACAACGCTTGCTTGTAAAAAAGTTCGATTGATTCTAGTAGTTTTTGGTTCATTCTCTTTCAATTATGCAAAGTGAAAAGCGGAATTTTAGGCATATTTTACATTTTTACTATCGAAAAGACAAAAATACTGTTCAAGCAAGAAAAAAACATTATCTGATGTGTATGGAAAAGATGTATAGGCCATACGCCAGTGCTAAAACTTTTTTTGCAAATTTTGATTCGGTGGAATTTCAATTAAGATGCACCACGCCAGTTTAAGCTGATGAAGACATTAATTGATGCAAATCAGTGAATAACAACTTGTAAAATCGCTGAGAGACAAAATTTACCGAATTCTACATTTCATGATCATTGAGAAGCCTAAATGTTTCAACTCAAAGTTCGTCATATTGATACCTCATGACCTTATGGAAAGAAATTTGTGCTGTCGCTTTGACGTCTATGATTTGCTTCTCAAAAGTCAAGGCAATTATCCATTTTGCAGCCATCATCATTGGGGACAAGAAATGGGTTGTTTACGACAATGTTCTGATCTACTCAAAATGTTTTAAAGGTAAAATCTTTACTTTAAATAAAAAATCAAAAATCACTGGGGTCAGTCATAAACTAATCATAAAATCAAAAAATTTAATGCACATTGAATCATGTATCTGTAAGAAAGATGGCAAAAGGTATTGGACCAGAATGGACAATATATGATTTAATTATATATTTATTCACTATAGGAAAATCGCCTTTTAATTAAAAGAAAAATACTGTCCTGCTTAGACATTTGTTTTATATTTATGATACAGAAATTTTTCTTGATTGCTTATGTATAACTAAACAATATTATAAATATGTTCAATTTATTTTTCTTTGTTTTTTTGTTTTAGAAAAGAAAGTAAGTTGAATCATACAAATCTCTTCACTCTGTTTGTTAAAGCAGCTGATGATCCGTATGAGTTTCTTTTTTTAAAGAAAAATATAAGGTAAGATAGGCTGCTATTCTATACACCTTATTTCTAAATTTTTTTGCAAAAAAATGTAGCAGTTAATGAGTTGAGATTTAAAACAGTTGTAGCCAGTAACTCGTTGAATATCTAGAGACAAGGAGAATTATATACTTGTAAGTAAAATAATGATTTTAAAGGTCTGGATATATTTTAAATATTTTAAATATTTTTTTTTTGTTTTTTTTTTGTTTTTGAAAAAGGACTCATTATTTATTTCCACTAGGAAGTTTCGGAGGAACAGATGGCTATGGCAAATTACCAATACACTGGTGCAACTACGCATGTCCATCCTTATTTGTCAGCGATGATCAACTATGCTCAACCAGTGAAATTCCAAGGATTTGACATAGCTGAAGGCAATATACTTTTTTTTCCTTTCCTCCAGACGCGGACACGTACCTAGGTTTGCAAAACCCTTACCCGTATAGTCCACGTCTGGCTACCAGTCCAGCTCGCCACAACCCGGCGAGCTAGCCTGATCAGGGGGAGTTTATTTAAAAAAAATTTATATTACAAAATACATATAAAAATTTTTACAATGAAAAAAACAACATTGAAAGTCCTGCAGAAGACAATGAAGTGCAACACATTTGCTTAAGAAAAAACAATGACTGAAGCAAAAAAAAAGAAGAAAAAAGAACATGAACAATAAAAAAAATGAATTTTGTTATATACATAAAAACTTAAAAAAAAGAGAAATAAAAAGAAAAAGAATAAAGAAAGTGTACATAAATATAATGTATCATGTTAGACAAAAAAAAAAATATTGTAAATATATGAATATAAATATTTTATATTAAGACAATTTTTTTTTAGACAGACCATAATCTTAATGAGGTTAACATTAAAATTTTATTAATTTATCATTAATGGATAAAAAATGCATTGTGTTTTTAAGTTTAGTTTTTAAAGTCTTGTTAGTTAGGAAGTTTTTCTGCTATTTGTATAGGTTAGATTCATTTGGCGGACGGGTATGCCAAGAGGCAGTGTAAATACATTCAGTAAGATAATATTCTGGAGTGCCCAGTTATCCGCATGTACATTGATCAGTGTCAGTTATGTTTAGGAATTTGAAATATGTAGGGAAGGGACCATGTCCAGTAAGGAACCATATTTCTTGCTTTGTAGGTATGGATTTAAAGTAGTTTATTTTGGGAATAATGTTATAAAGTCTTCGGCCCTTGTCGATGTTATCCCAATATATTTGCCAGCCTTTATTGATTGAAGTTTTGAGTTGTTTCCTGAGAAAAGAAATAGGATATGGATAGAAATAGTTTTGTTTATTAGTTGTGGATAATTTGGCGAGGGCATCTGCTTGTTCATTACCTTGTCTGTCTTGATGAGCTTTAATCCATGAAAGTTGTATATTAGTGTTAGATAAGAGTGTTTGGATTTTAATCGATAGTTTATTATTAGTACAAGAATTTTTCAATGAGAAAAGAGCCGATTTCGAATCTGACCAAATANAGACATTTGTTTTATATTTATGATACAGAAATTTTTCTTGATTGCTTATGTATAACTAAACAATATTATAAATATGTTCAATTTATTTTTCTTTGTTTTTTTGTTTTAGAAAAGAAAGTAAGTTGAATCATACAAATCTCTTCACTCTGTTTGTTAAAGCAGCTGATGATCCGTATGAGTTTCTTTTTTTAAAGAAAAATATAAGGTAAGATAGGCTGCTATTCTATACACCTTATTTCTAAATTTTTTTGCAAAAAAATGTAGCAGTTAATGAGTTGAGATTTAAAACAGTTGTAGCCAGTAACTCGTTGAATATCTAGAGACAAGGAGAATTATATACTTGTAAGTAAAATAATGATTTTAAAGGTCTGGATATATTTTAAATATTTTAAATATTTTTTTTTTGTTTTTTTTTTGTTTTTGAAAAAGGACTCATTATTTATTTCCACTAGGAAGTTTCGGAGGAACAGATGGCTATGGCAAATTACCAATACACTGGTGCAACTACGCATGTCCATCCTTATTTGTCAGCGATGATCAACTATGCTCAACCAGTGAAATTCCAAGGATTTGACATAGCTGAAGGCAATACACTACTTTTTTATATATTGTTTTATATCATATCTTCTTGAACTTTGTGTTGCGGTTTCCCAGATGGGACGGACAACTTTTCCACTTCTGCCATTAAATATTTCCTAGTGGTAGCGTGATTTAAGTATTAATATTAATTTCTATAAAATAGTTTTACAACCAGTTTTTTAAATTTTGGGGTGAATTTACACACTTGATTATGGTTCTTATTTAGTTTAATTATTTTATTATTAAAAGTACTTGATAACTTCTAGAATTCAAATTTGGTGGTTTATGTTTTACAGATAAAAACATACATCATAATATGTCATCATTTGCTGAAACAGCTGCTTTGGGATACCTAAAGTCTCAAGCTATTGAATTTGTTAAGTATCCTTTACAAAAAGTAAATTTCCTATGTTGAAAGTTTTTTTATGCAATAAATTTAAAAGTACTTTGTAAATTATGTTTAAAAATTCAGAATTTTTGTTACATTGATGATAGTTGAAGAAAAGTTGTATTTTGACATTTATAATGCCTGTCATAACTAACTACTCTTTAGAATTTTGAAAATAATTTCAGATTCTTTTTGTGTCTAGAACTACAGATATTAAAGTTAACGAAAGTGAATTGAATTTTTAATGTGCTATTAAGTATTTATATTGCTCTAAACGAGAGTCTGAAACTTTAAGGGTTTATTAGTATTATTAGAAAAGATAGTTTCAAACTTTAAGGGTTTATTTTGAGGACAATTTCAACTGGTTCTGTGTCTAGAACTATCAATACTAGTTAAAGAAAATGAACTGAATTTTCAATGTGCTAAGTATTTATTTTGTTTTAAATGAAAACGAAATATTGACGCTTCGATAAATGCTATCACACTTTTAAAGCAGCCCAAGTTATTCTGTGTACGAAATGAGATACTTATATTCTTTATCTGGAATGAAATGAAATTGATAGTTTGCAAGTATTTTTCTATTAACCATATACAAGTTATAATAAACGGCAGATGAGCAGAATCTATCCAAAAGGTACAAGAGCTGACTCCAGTAACTACATGCCTCAAGTAAGTTGCAATCAAGTTGTTGTTTCTCAAAGTGATTGTTTTTAAGTTATTGATTGCTAAAATAAATATTTTAAATCTATACTTTCGAAATTGAATTTCACAGATTTTTTGGAATGCTGGATGTCAAATGGTTGCTTTGAATTTTCAAACATCTGACTTACCCATGCAATTAAATCAAGGGAAATTTGAATACAATGGGGGCTGCGGGTAAGTTTAAACTATAAGCTTGTATTTAGTGTTGGATTACAAACAATATAAATGTTTACTGAGATTCAACTGACATCAATGTTTACTGACATTGCCATCACGCACTGCTAGAAATTTTTCAAAGTGTTAAAAAATTATTTCGCTCAAGTTCGCTACAACCTTGACCATGTTTTCGCGCTTGAACTTTCTTAAACTTGATCTTGGAATAGAGCGTTCGCCCTTAAGTAAAGTGCCCAAGTTCGAACCCCAGCGTTGGCTGGTTGATGGGAATTTTGCTCCCAGCTCACACCAACCGCAGTGCTGACGTAAAATATGCTCAGTTGTAGATGGGTCATGGATCAGAATCCCCTTGCCGTCAAACTAACTGCGGGATGTTTTCGTGGTTTTCCTATCCATGTAACGCAAATACGGGTTATTTAGGATTGAAAAAGTCCTCCACGAAGGCTAGATTGTCTCAATACTTGATCCAGGTGATTTCTTGTTTTCTGTATTGGGTTGAAAATTACAAGGCTACGGAGTTGAACATCAATAGTCGTAAAGTATTGGGTTGGCTGTACAAAGCCGATTATTATTATCATTTAAGGTTGAACCGTTCTTTCTGATAGTAAATCAGTTTCTATTCGTACATGAGCTAAAATTTTTTATCCAACATTAAATTAATTGAGGACGGGCATAAATTTCCTTCTATCTAAATACAAAAGAATTTCAAATTATTAATAAAATATTTCTTATGAATTTTTAATTTTCAAAATAAATATCACTTTCACAATACTATTTGGAATTAAAACAAATAAGTTACATTAAAGTATAATGGATGATTTTTTTTTTCGTTTGATGACTATCTTTATTTCTAAAGAAACGAACTTATACCCTTATCTCTCATAAGATGTAGATTGCCAATGATTATTTTTTTTTTTACTTTTCTATTCTATCTATTTAAATCAAATAAAAATTGAAAATTTTGAACTTTCAATTGAATTTATATTGATTTATTAGTTATAGTTCATGCTTTGATAATTTAATTTGAAAATAAAAGATTCTTGTAGAATAAAGGAATTCTGAAGAGTTATTAGATTTAAGTTAATCTTTATTGTAAAACACTACTATTTTGCGTACATTAGAGCAAAGATATAGAGGTAGACATAAACCCATAGCAAGGGACGCTAGCCCCACGACATGGGGTTAGAATAGACAAAGACTACTTTTAAAAATATTAATAAAAAAAAGTATTTGTGATCACAACACTCGAATACGCTATCTGGAAAGACGACCGGTTCCATGTCTAGAGCATCCCTTCTTCCCTCTCCTCCTCTGTTCCGATGTTTGGAAATATTTTAACGTTGTCCCCATTAATATATTTTGCAATTAGATTATTAAATATATATTTTACAATTTGTATAACGTTTTAATTAAGCACTAAGCTTAAAGCAGTGTTGAATTGCGTTTAGTTTCCGAGCTTAAAAAAATTTAATTGGTTTGAATATCAAAACAGAAACTAACCTACTTCCTTCTCCTATGACTATCCATACGCTAATGGTGAAAGCATGCCTAGCATTGTCACAGGTAAAGAGTTCTGCTATTTGCCACCTTTATCCCACTTCAGAAATAACTTGTTCGGACATCGGATAAATATTTTCGAGTGGTAGCCTCTTAATGTATGATTCTTGATTTAGTATATTCGATTTATAGGATTTTTATGTGTGTACTAACCACTACTTTTAAATAATTTAAAGGCTTGCGCGATACGTCATTTTGCTACAAATATGACGTGTTGAGCCTTTTAAAACCGCAAAATCTAAAAATTTCAGTTGTAGTTTTCAACCGTTTCTTACAATATTTTGTTGAATACGAAGCAGTCGGCATCTCTGCCATTTTGATCGCCTATGCATCCAAATTAGGTAATGTATCAATTTAAGATAAATACTGAAATTTTCGTTTAAAAAAATACTAGATGTGTTCAAAATAATAATAATAACTTCTTCATAACTTTTTTTCCTTCTAATTTCTCTTTATATTTATTAACAATAGCGTTTACATTTTTCAGATATCTTCTAAAGCCAGATTTCATGAGACGTGTTGATAAGATTTTCGATCCTTTTGCTGAATCTCCTGTAGATGGCGTGATTGCTGCTGAGTGCTCTGTTAGAGTGATCTCCGGTCAATTTCTATCTGATAAAAAAGTGGGAACATATGTGGAAGTTGATATGTACGGCCTACCTACAGATACCATCAGGAAAGAGTTCAGAACACGATTGGTACCTGCTAACGGTCTGAATCCCGTTTACAACGAAGAGCCATTTGTTTTTAGAAAAGTGAGTCTTGGATATCTATAAAAAGGGAGCAGGTTTATCTTTGAGTTTGAGTGTAATATCAATGCACCAAAGTCTTCTGTAATCATCGCTTTAATATAGATTTTTAGAATTCTTGTTAAAGATAAATTCGAAAAAATAAGCACATAGGGGATGCTAGTTAATATTTAAATGTGGAAAGAAACAGAAGCGTTTAGCGTAATCTGTCGACTCACTATCGAAGAAGGTGGGATTCATTTGATTGCCACTTTAGTTGCTGTATGAATGTGTTTAATTGCTGTATGACATTCGTTTCTAAGTTAGCAGACACTAAAGATTGCCTCCATTTTCTTCTCTGTTTCTTTCTGCAATCAAATAGGTTTTGATATATTTAATATCTCCTACCTCGTTAACGACTTTTCAGAGTTTTATGTAATTTTTACTCTTTTTCCTTGTCAAAATTATTAATTTGTTTCCTATAATGTGTATATTATTAGGTCTCATTTTTGATAATAATTCTGAAAATATATATTGAAGGTGGTGATACGGAATACCTTGAATGTATCAAATAATAAAGCAGTAATAAAAAGTTATACAATTAACAGCGGCATTAAAATCAATGCCAAGACACAGAAAGAGCATAAATCTCAACTTCTACGATTAAAATAATTTAATTATAATTCTTTGCAAACCAACGTACAATATGTCAGAGTAATTGAGTCTACAGTAATTGTGCCAACAATGTATGAATGGTTGTCTGCCTATTAAACTATTTTTCTTTCACTTTATTCGTCGTTATATACTTAATTACACAATTTGTATTATATTAACTTTTTTGAACTAGTCATTTGCTAATAAAATCACAAAATCAATGTTCCTTAGTAATTTACGACACTTTCGTTCAAACATGTCGACGAATCGACGAGCGCGTTTTTTCAAATGTTCATACATGAATGATAGTCATAAACAGATCGATAATGAATTCATTTAGCCATTATATCTTTCAATAAATGCGCTTTAGGTAATCCGAATAGAATATCCGATTTTTTCCCCGTATTAGATTTTTATCTGAGTATAAATTATTCGAAAATATGTTGCTGTTTCTAATGACACTTGGACAAGCCAAGCTCGTTAGCCATTGGACTTGCGAATTAAGTCAGGAATGATCATTCATTTCAATTGACGAAAGAGCACCGCTAGGGTGAAAGTGTGCCTTAGCTCAGAACTCTCCGGATAGAGGGCAGCACCATTAATTTTTGAGGCCACTACCACAATTTGAACTTATATCTAAAGAGGAATGAAATTTTCTCTAGATCCCTGTATCCACAGTACTGTTCAGCGACCGACCCCAGGACTTTCAATTTCTCAGATTTTACGAGCTTGTATATCGGCTTTGAGATCGAACACCAGCACCTCTGGACCGAAGTTCGATGTTATAACCACTAGGCTACCATAGCCCTTATTAAAAAATGCAAAAATATCCACTTTTGACGAATTAGAAATACAAACATTTACTAATTTCTGAATAAAAGAAAGTTAGAAAATAATATCTTTTTTTTAGGTAGTTCTACCAGATCTAGCTGTGTTAAGAATAGCTGTTTTTGATGAGAATGGGAAAATGCTTGGACAGCGGATTTTACCATTAGATGGATTACAAGCAGGTAAATTTTTAGTTCAAAATTCTACTTAATAGGTAACTGTTAGCTTTATAAAATGTTTGTATTAATGGAATGTAGGGAAATTTCTTTTTTACCGATATAAAAATATTTGCCGAATATTCTTTTCCTGTACATAAAAAATTAGCGCACTACTAACATAAAAAATAAGTTCAAATTTTTGTTTAGTGACTAATATATTTTTCCATAAAACCATAGGAAATAAATATTTAGCTTGAATGCGTTTTTTAAGCTATTATTAGGTGTGAGTCGTCACGAACATAAAATTTGTTTCAGAAATTTATAAACAGCTGTTTAAACTTACGGTTAAAAAACTAAAAAAAAAACTAATGGTAGCAACTCTAAAAAGATTGGTTGTAATTTTTATGTATAGTGTGCAAAAAAAAAAAAAGAAGAGGAAAAGGACCACCATGAATAACTTATATCTAATGATTGGATTCTCATGTTCTAGGACTCAATCTTCATGGTTTAAAAGGGTGATCTCAAATATGCTAAGTAATTAGTACATACAATATTTTAAGTTACGAAATCAGATATGAAAACGTATTATCTTTCGAAAAAAACACATTTATTTTTTGATAGATTCAGGTTTCTGGTCTCTAAAACAGGGGATAGTCTCATTTTGGGGAATAGGGTCCCAATAGTTCGGTCAACAGAAAATCCAATTTTAAAAAAGTCGTATTTTAAGAATTCTATTTTTCAAGAACTATTCGACCGATTTTACTCTAATGTAATTTTTGCCATCATAAATCGTTTTTTTTTTAAATGAATGTAAACATTTTATACCATAAGGACGAGAGTGTACGCTGACGGTTCAAAAATACAAGACAGCACCGGAGCAGGAGTACACAGTAAGCTCTTTTCTCACAGCGCCCCTGTGGGATACTATATGTCAAATTTTGAAGCAGAGATCTTCGCTATATTGATAGCCCTGGAAAACCTTAAGAATAAGATCAATTACTTCACTAAAGCAGTAATTCTTGTCGACTCTAAGGCAGCTATCCAGGCAATTGCCATAAACCATAATTCAGACACTCAGACTATTTCAGATATTAGAGATAATTTGATTTTTCTCCAGAATGCCAACAAAATTATTATGTTCCAGTGGATCCCTTCGCATGTAGGAATCAATGGCAATGAAAAGGCAGACCAACTAGCCAAGAAAGGGACACTCGAACCACAATGTAATAAATCGATTCCACCAGACTCCCTCAAAAAAAGATTTTCCGAGAAACTTAAGACCAACCTAAAGCTCAACCAAGCAGTAAAATCCACTGGAAAACCCTGGGCTAACATCCAAAACAGTTGGAAGAAATTTTGTCACAGTCCTCGTATGAAGGCTGTGGCAAACTTCAGACTCTCAACAGGCCATGACTGCTTGGCAGAGCACCTCAACAGAATAGGTATCCTTCCATCTAGCGAATGCCAAATCTGAAATTCGGGAACGATGAACTCAGACCACTTGCTTGTATGCCCTTTATTGGACAAACAATCCCAAGAGCGGGGTGATCTGTGTAAACTTTACTGGGATGCCAGAGATCACATGAACTCTCTGTAAAGACTACTCCTCATTCTTCACTGTATTTACATTTTTTTCTTTCCATGTGTTCTTTTTGTATTAATATGTGTTTGTCATGTGTTTTCTTTGTTTGTTATTGTAATTTTGTTCCTTTTTACTCCATGTTTAAGTCCACTTAAAGTTGAACATTGTATATGGATTAATATTTCCAATAAAGCCATATGTAACAACCTACCATAAGTTCAAAATTTCTTCGACTGTTATTAAATAAAATAATAAATAATAATAAATATTTACTTAAAGTTATTTTTTTGCTCGGAAATATCTTTGGATAAACGAAATTTAAAATTTTGAGCAAATTTTTTTTAATTCGTTTAAAAAGTTGTCGAGATATGGTGAAATACGTAAAAATTAAAACTTACATTAAGGGGTCTAAACTTTGGACCCCTCTCCTGACCTAACTATTGGGACCTTGCACAAATTGCGGCTACCCTTATATTTGGGTCAAAAATCAGAATCCGTCAAAAAAAGGTGTGTTTATTCAGAGAAAGTACGTTTTTGTTTTCGATTTCGTAATTTAAATGTTCTCTTCACTAATTAATTAGCATATTTGAGATGACCTTCTCGAACCATGAAGATTGAGTCCTAGAACATGAAGATCCGATCATTAGATCAAAAATTAACCACGGTGTCCTTTTCCTTTTTTATTTTGCATTGTATTTTGTTTATCATAGCATTTTAACAACTCCAAAAAAATAAATTTACTTAAGAAATCTGAGGTATAATTTTAAAAGCTAGCTAGTGAAAGCTATTTTAAAGATATAATTTCAAAGCAAAAGCTAGCTAAAAAGAGAAAATTGCAATTTTTTATTACAATTATAACACGAACTTTACCCCGCCGGTCGGAGACTCCCCGTCTAGTAAAGTGACTGATGCACGTTAAATCTGTCGAGTCGCAAAAGTCCTCCTTGTTCCCATAACAATTCAATATCTCTGGGGGTTCTAGATTGGAGATCGATCGTTCTCTGATTCAGGTCAAAATTACGATCTGTGGATGAATGAATGGATGTATAAGTGGGTCAACCCTATAAACGGGTGCGACGTATGGTGTGGCAGAACTCGAATTCTTGGCCATAGATGGCGCCACTGGAAAACAAGAACAATCGCACCCAGTCTGCCTAAACAGGCACACGTCAACAACAACACTAACTTTCTTTAATAAATGTTATTTTCCTGGTGAAAGCTTTTTCCTGATCTGCCACTAGTTTTCATTTTTTATCAGAACGATAACTACCAACTTTTATGCGTTTTGTTAAGTATTATTTCCATTGGCAGGAAACCTCCTGCTTCAATCGGAATATTCTTGCCCTAATAAATGAGAATAAAATTCATTCTGGCCGCCTCAAAATGTACGCAATTTGAACAACGTATATGTTTTAAAAGTGCCGAAGAAATTAAGCAAATTCGTTTGAAATTTAATATTTTTAATTTAATGTTTTTAAATAAATGTTTAGATTAGTTCATTCATTTTTTTGAAGGTTATCGGCACGTCTCTCTGAGGACAGATGGAAACTTTCCCTTGTCTTTGTCCATGCTCTTTATATGCGTAGAACTGAAAATATATATACCTGATGGATTGGGAGGTAAGCTTTCTTACGTGTGGTTCTCATACTTTACATATCAATTACTTCATATTTTTGGATAGTGTGTTATAAAATGTGAAAGAAAGTCTTGTGATTATTCTAAAAAATATTATTTTTAATTCAGCATTTCAACCTTATCCTTTCACCCACTTTATGAGATTTTGAAAGTAATTTTTTTTTTAAAATATAAAAAAGACCAAGGTTTAATATAAAACCAAATGTCTTCTTTTCCAGCGGTCATGTCAGCCAAACGCTCTGTAGTATTCGTAGTCGGCTGAATAACACTACGGCAACACTGAATATATCCTGGTGATGTTCCTCTCTTGTATGTGGTACGTGTTCCTCAGGTTGACAAGGGCTTATGAGCCCTACTTAGTACTGAGTACAAATACTTGCACTTGTATGTGAAGCAATAACTAAAATAAAATAAATCAGACCAAAGGTTACAACAGGAGATTTTAAAAAAAGGTTTATAAAATAAGGTTTTTGAGAAGAAAGATAAATGGAATCAGTTAATTGTTTGGAGAAATTTCTAAATACTTTTTTAATGTTGAAATCACGGTAAAACTTTCCCACTTGAAGCTCGGTTCCCTTCCTTTAGGATTTGATAAATCATAAAAACCTTCACTGATTATATAAGGATACAAAAGTAATATCAGGAATTTCAATAAAAAATTTAACAATAAGAATACACGGAGAAAATATATGAAATCTCAGTTTCAAAGAATATGTTTAAAAAAAAAGGAGTCGCGTTAGCTCAATGATCAAAGTTATCATTGTGAAGGGACTGGAGTTCCTCAGCTGAGGCTTGAAGCCCATCCAGCTTTAGACGGATGCAAATCAGCTTGTCCGGGAAGCAAAGGCTTCCTGTGTGTCATGCTGACCAGATAACCATAATCAAGCTCATGCCGTTAGTCGCGAAATTGTGCAGCCTTAACCTTCATGGCAGCCTTGGTCCACAGCGGGCAGTTACGAGAGCCTTTACTTAATTTAATATTACTTATACGTAATTTAGTAGTACTTTACTTATATGTCTTCGATGTAATAAAACTATGTCAAACGATTCAATGCAACCTTCTAAGCTTAAGAAACATTTAATTAAAATCCAGTGATAAAAAAGATAAGGATTTAACATTTTTTTAAACAGTCAAAGAAAAATATTTGAAAACACCAACACTGCAACAACTGGGACATCTAAACGAGATGACGATGGACTGCGTGCTTCTTTAAACATTTTCTTGTGGATTAAAAAGTCTGGAAAGTGACACACTATTGGTGAAGAACTTATTTTACTAGCTGTAAGTAAGGTAATACGTACTGTATTGCACATACCAGTTTTGGACATTATAAAACGAATTCCACTGAGTAATAATACAATACAAAGAAGGATTGACGAAATGGTTCAATGAGAAAGAAATTCTTTATGTGAGTACTTAAAAACATTTGAATTTTTTATACAACTTGACGTGTCCACTTTACAAAGAAACGAAGCTTTGATTTTAGCTTATGTAAGATTTGTAAAGGAAGAAAAAATTTGTCAAGAATTGTTAGTTGCTAAGTGTTTGGAAACTGATACGAAAGGTGAAACGTTATTTACTGAATTAAAAAGATTTCAATGAGTTGAAGCAATACCCTTGAATAATATCATTTATGTTGCTACTGACCGTGTTCCGGTAATAGTAGACAGATACCGAGGCTTTCTGCTAACCATACAATACCATATCAATTTCGAATTTTTTGGCGTTTACGCTAATTTTTTAATTGCATTGCAGTATAATCGTTTACTACTTCACACAGAAGTACGTTGGCTATCTAAAAGTGCATGTTAAATCGATTTTATGCTCTCTTTGATTCAGTGTTGGAATTCATGGAAAGCAAAGACAATAATTTGTGACACAATTTAATAAACTCAAAAAAATGACATAGCCTACATGACTGGTTTATTTGTCTTTAACGAAACTAATTTAAAACTACACGGTGACCACTTAAATTTAATCAAGAGCTGAAGCGTAATATTCGCGTTTGTTGCGAAACTTTTTCTGCACAAATAAAATTTGGGAAAAGGAGAATGTTCTCAGTTTCCAAATCCTTCGCAATTGCAAAATAGAGAGGGAGATTTGCTTGCTTACTGTTGACACTTAACGACCCTTCATGCAGACCTAAACCAAAGATTTGAAGACAGTCTGTACTTGATATTCCCGACTGGGTGATGAACCCTTTTGCGCATGGACAAATTCAGGTCCCAAACACAGATTAATACAGGAGCTTAATGAAATATTCATTAATGAGGAACTTGAACCACTGTTTGAACAATGATACCACAAATTATGGTTACAAAAACAGATCCAAATTTTGTATCCCGCATTATGGGTTATTGTACAAAAGTTGTAGATCACTTTCCTATCTTCCTATATGGTAGAACGTGGATTCAGTGCCGTAATGAACCTCATCTCCCCCCCCCCCCAAGAGAAACATCGAGAAATTAGTGTTTGTGGGGATTTGCGGTTGCTACTCACAAACATTGAGCCGGACTTAAATACACTCATAAAATCTCATCACGTTCATTCAAATCATATTTTTTTTAAAAATATTTTACTTGAAGCAATATTATAATTTCAATAAATACTTCTTCAACTAAATGTTTCTTTTTTAAATTTGTAATTTTTATACTATACATTTATGCAGCTTTTAAACTTGGGGGTCCATGGACTCAAGTTTTGACTATAAAAATTGGTCCATGGGTTAAAAAAAGTTTGGAACCACTGCTTTATAATATCGTTTTATTAATTTTCGCCTTACGTAAAGTTTATATTTTTGAGTTGAGGAAGCATTGTAGCTTATTTCGATGTTTGTATCACTATGATCTATATTCCATTCCAAATGTAGTAGTTTCTAAAATGAGGAAAAATCTTAAAACTTAATGTGTTATTTTAACATGAACTGGCTATCTCTGATTACTTATTTATTAGATTTAGTTACAGCCGAAATTATACACACTAGAAAATATTTACTACCATTTTTTTTAAAAAAAAACCTATTTGTTTACCATATATTCAAAGTCAGTTAGTTTATACAAAGTAATAATTATAGTCTAAAACCGTAAATTGTTATAAAATGTTTCGAGACTCAGAGAAATTTATTTTTAAGTAGAAAAAAGGGGAAGGGCATTAGCTTATAATTCCCTGCAAATCAATGCTATTTTTTCTTTATTTACCTCAAGGTATTTTTAGGGTATTTTATGTAACATGTTTTTCATTATCTATGAATTTAAGTCTTGGAATTTTATTTCATTAGATTTGATGGATGCATTGTCAGACCCTAGAGCATTTCTCTCAGCCCAGGAAAAACGAGTAGCGCAAATGAAAGCTATGGGCATAGAAGAAGCCGATGTTCAAACAAGTGATTTAAAGTTGGGCAGCGTAAAAGTTGGTGGTAAAAAAGATGACGATAAGAAAGGTATATTCTATTTTAAATGTTGTTGCATTTACAGAATACATTTGCAACAGATATATAAAAGCTTTTTGCAACAGTCGATGGACAATATTTATACCAAAAAAAAAAAGAAAAAAAAATCTGGAAAAAGCACTTACATTTACAACAAATTTCGAACCAATTGGAATTTCGAAACAAAATTTGCGTTCTGTTTACAATTAAAAATGGCTTTTCCAGCGTGCTAATTTTTTACTGTGTAGTTACATTTCAGTGGGCTTCAGATTGACCAAACATGATATTTTTCCCCTTTAAAAGTTGAACAGTTAATAATTCTCAAATTTATTGCCGAATGATACTTTTTTTTTACTCCATCGTACCTCCTGGTCAACAGTCAAGTGATAGTAGCTAGTAATTTCGAATGTTTATATCTTAGTCATTGCGAAGCAAAACAAAATTTAATGTAAAGGGAAAAAAACGAGAAAATTTCGCGAAAAAAGCACTTCAAATTGCAATAACTTCGGAAAAAAAAGACAAAAAAAGGAAGCGTGTTAAGTTTATAAACAAAACTGATCAATATTTAACCCGTATGGTATGGTTTTTACGTCAAGTTTAACAGTTAATAATTTTCAAAGTAATAACTGAATATAAATTTTTTAACACATTTTTCATCGTACTCCCTATACATTTTTCTACAAAACTTCGTAATTACAACTTCTTATGTCTTATAGTTTGTGCGCAGAAAATTTAACTCCCAAAACAGCGACGGCGGTCTTTACGCTATTTTAATATACACTGTTGGAATTTTCATTCTAAAATCATGTTAAAATAAGTGGCAGCAGTCTGTCCATCCAATTAACTGTAAAGCTTACGGTAAAGAATATTTTTACTTTTACGGTTTTGAAACTGTTTACAAGTAGCATGATATCAAAACCGTAAAAAAGAAACTAAACTGGATATTGGTGATAGTTTAGCAGTTTTGTGGGGCTGTCATCTATGCGTGAATGAGAGTATCAGATTCTATAGTCCATTCCACCTTAAGTTGGCACTGGAGAGAAAGGTAGGTAGACCGGATTACATGGAAACTGGGTTACTCTTTAAGTCAGAACGGGGATGAGGTAGCAACAAAGGGAGA